ATCAGTAATATAATAATATTTACAGATAAATTAATAATATTTAATTTATTTATATTTATACAATTTAATATATTAGTAATTTAATTATAATTTTTTAGCATTATTAGTYTTTATTAGTATCTATAATCAATAGTCAAATTCCCTGAAACCATTTTAAAAATATTGATGTTAATAAATGTATATTAATTGTGTAGTATAATCTAATTAAAAATACAAATAATTATATGTAAAATATTATACAGTATTTAATACTACATACCGTATTACTAATACATTGATATTTTAATATTCATATCTATTTTAATATAAATATTATATGTCCTTCAAAATACTGCCAATTTTTATTGTTTGTTTTTATAATTTCTGTTATTTTTCATTTAATTAAAATCAGTATTAAATAAGTTAAAACAATTTTACGTAAATTGGAAAAATAAAATCATTTGATACTGATGAAGCAAAATAATTTTGTCAATTTTATGATAAATTTATTTAATTAATAAGAATAGAAAATTTTAGATTATTTTAAATAAAGATTAATATTTATTGATTTAAAGAGTTAGTTAGAAAATTATAATTAATATGCATAAAACTTTTATATGCTGTACTGTGAATAATAATATAAATAATATCAATTCAAAATAAAATTAACCATTATATTTATCATTATATTAACAATAAATAAATAAAATACATAAAAAACAAATAAAATTTTTAATTATAAACACTAATTAACAATAAAAGTCTTATAAATTATTATTTTTTTGCAAAAAAACAATACAAAAAATAAATACTTATTAATGACATCTATATAAATAACAATTGCTTTGTCCGTTGAATACATTTATTAAAAAAATAAATAAATGATAAATACTTTTTATCATTAATTTGTTATGTTTAAGACCTGAGTAAAATACCATTAAAAAATATATAATGATTTTTATTATTATGTTAATCCAGTACTTTCTATTAGTGAGACAACTATAATATTTTATTAAAAGTAAATTTTCTAAAAAATTATTTCGTCTATAAAACTAAAAATATTTTGGTGTTTATTATTTAAATCTGCGGTTTTATTGTTAGCTTTATTTTGATACTCTTTTGTCGTGTATATTATCAAACAATTTCTTAACACATATATTGCTCAATGCCATCGTTATTATAATATACTACTTAAATACATCCCAAGGATGACTAAAAAATTTATTTTTTATATAACTTTTATTTTTATTTTTAATTATAATTTTTGTTTATATTTCTCTCTCTCTCTCTCTCTCTCTCTCTCTCTTTCTCTCACTCACTCACTCACTCTTTACATTTTCAACCAATTGTATCAAGCAACATTTCTACATCAAACTGTTTTACAGACAGCTATTATAATATAAAAATAAATAAAAACAAATTCAAGGCTTTTCCTGTAAATTTAATGCTTATTTATCAATCACTCGCACTATAACTTTGTATCTCAATTTTAAATCAATTTAATTTAAATATAAATTCTTTATATTTACTATTTTAATCATATTCTTTGAATTTGTAATTATAAATAATGAAAATATACTTTATATATAAATACTGAATACATAAAATATTGTATTAAAACTTGCAAATAATTTATCATTTTTGATAATATTTATATAATGATTAAAATATATTTAATTAAATTAATTACAATGTTTATTTACACAGTATAACTAAAGTTTTTTATTATAATTTTTGTTTTAGATATACTATTAAAGTTTTTGATTTTATCTCTTATTTATATTATTTGATACATAGACTTTAAATATAAGTAAAGTATAGATCAAACTAAACATCTAAATAAAATAAATATAACAACAAACAAATTTAACTATAGTATATTTAAATTAATTTTAAATAATTTTTTTTAAACATTTTAATTATTAAATACCAGCCTAGTTACTTTGATCAAAAATTTATAATAATATTACTTGATATTTTTTAGTAATTAAAAGATATTAATAAAATTATTTTTTTTCACATAACAGTTTAGTTTTGTTATATTTGCATTCAATGTATACTTTTAAAACACAGATTTATCTTTATATATTATGTATAATATTTAAAAATATGTTTTAAAACAATATTAATGTTTACCTATTTAGAAATTTATATTAAACTATTTATTTTTATTTACATCTAAAATCTATTTTGTGGTTTACAGTGTATTATTAATAATGTTTATCTTATTGTATTTAATATTAAAATAACTTAATATCAAATTATTACTTTTAAAAAATAATTATCTAATTTTAAATACATACAGTATATAACTTTTATTATAAGTTTTTAGTTATTAATTTCATTATTATTGTAACTTTTATTATTAGTATTATTAATCGATATAATATTTTATAAAATAAAATCTTTAAATATCATCTTAAATACGTCATTACTAAGTTAATATTATTATATTATAATTAAATAACAAAAATAATATATAAAAAATAATTTGTTAAAATATTTTATATTATAAAATAAAAATAATATTTAAATGTCACTTTAAGCAATATAATACTATTGTAAATAAATAATTAAATTTTAWATCATTATTACAGACACTACGGTATAAATAAAAACATTATTTATTAAATATTTTTTTATAATAAAATATTTAATAAAACTAAAAAATAGTTTTAAAATTTTTTAATACATTTTTAATTTTTTAAAATCAAGAATATAATGTAAACCAGACCTTGAATTTTCTTATTACTTTTAATTATATTTTTTATAAAAAGTTATAATTATATTTTATTTTTATATTTGATACTTTTTAGTGAATCCATTTTTTGAAAATATATTTATATAATAAATTAAAATTAATTTTTTCAAACAAAACAATAACTTTTTTCAAATTTTATTAATTTAAAGAAAAGGGGCGTATAATATAATACAATATTAGAAGGTTACTATTTAATTGTCTATAATAAAACAGATTTTATTTGTTTTTAGTAATTTTAATACATTCAAACTAATTAAAGTTAACATTAATTTTTATTTATATAAACAATACTGTAAATAATGCAAAATATTAATTCTTAAATAATAATAATTATTAATTTAACATCTTATGTAACTTATTTGCTAAAGTGCACTATAATAAGTTACTAATTATTTAGCTATTAATATATATATAACTTTCAATCTATTAAAACAAATAATAATTATAATAATAATAATATGATTTTATAATAGATTATTAAATTTGTAATTAAAATAAACTTATTCATGTATTTATATATTTATATTAAGTTTAGTGTTCTTTATATCATAAATATATTGTGCCTAAAAAATAACATCTTTAATATTTGTAAATATTAAATAAAAGATTTTTCTATAGTTTAAATTTAGTGTACAGTATATACAGTACTGTATACTTATATAAAAGTCTGTAAATAAAAGCTTCTAAAGATTTGTATTTAAATTTTTTAATAGAAATACTGATGTTTGTGTCAATAGATAACATTAAATGATAAAATTAAATTAAATTACTAAAATTTGTTATTTTAGTTTTTAATTAAAATTCACTTTAAACTAATATATATGGTTAATTATAAATTTTATTGCAAATATTGATATTTATTTGCTACATTTTATAAAATATTTAATAAAAACTAGATTTTAAAAGTATTTTAATGTACTTTAGTTTTTAAATAATTTTTTGAATGCTATAACTGTCGGAATATCAACTAAAACAGGAATTTTATTTCTTTATATACAATTTAAGTTAAATTTCTGATACATAGTTACAAAATAATTAAAAAAAAWTTGAGAAAATTAAGATTTAAAGCACATATTAGGAAATAACTTAGATTTATAAATTTGTATAAATATATAATATTTTATATAAAAATTTAATAAATTGTAATTATGAGATATGCAAAATTGTATGTGTATGACAGTGTCAATTAATTGTTTATTTTTAAAATAATTTTCTACATCCAAATCACTATAACGTCAATAATGAGTTTTAAAAATTATTAAAATTTTTATACAAGTAATATCATTTTAAATTAAAAACAATATATATATAAAGCTAATAGATATTGCATAAAGATATAAAATAATAATGATTTTTAAATAAAGTATTTTAAACAAAATAAAGTAATTTTAGATATATATATAATATTTATTAATTTTCTGAAATCATCAATTTAGAAATTAAGTTAAACTTACAGTTAGTAAAATTAGTAGAAAATTGTGTAAATGTTTAAAAATTAGTTTAAAATAATAAAATKTTATTTAATATTTTAGTTATTAAAATAATAATTTTTTTCTGAGATTCCTTCACAACAGATAATAGTTATATTTTTATTTATTAATAATATTTTAATATAGTCTTTCTTAATTAKTTTAACAACAAAACAGATCTAAACAAAATTTAATTATATGTGTTATGTAATATACTATAAAAAATATTGAAATTATACTACTCTTTAATATTAAGTTAGGTCAATAGATTATTTGGATATTATAATGCATTTATATTTATTGTTAATAAAAAAATGTTGTGAATCTCAACCATTTTTAACAATATTATTATTAAATAATTAATTTGTATAATTTATTATATATTTTTTTATATACACTTAACATTATTTCTATAATTAACAACAAGKCATATTTAAATAAATTATTAAAAAATAATAAATTTTATACTMAAATTTAATAAATAACAATAGATAGTGTCAGATAAAAAATAGTTAAATAAGATTTCATAAATAAGAGCCCATAAGATCCCTACTATAGCCTGTCTAACAGCCCGTCCTTACTATAGTTAACTGTTGAATGCCATCCCAGTGCATGTGCAGACACCACAAACTTAAGTGTAGAGTTGCGATACTTTTTTATGAACATTGTTTAATAGTTTTTTTGTTATCCAATATATATATTAATTTTTTAAAAAGTCTTATAATTTATTTTAAATATTTTTGCAGTTAATTAATAATTAATTTATAAAATCAAAGATTTATATAAAAAAGATGTCGTACTTAAAGAAGTCACTAAAAAGGACTATTCCGTTGCCTCCCGATTATGAGATGATTCAGGCCATGGATTTGAGTCAATCGCCGGTGACTAACAAAGAGGACAATAAGATTAAAAACGACAAAAATGAATGCAAAATAACCGAAGACGAGTTCAGTGATAATAATTCAAATACAAACGATAACAACAGCAATAATAGCGATAATTTGAGTAATATTAGTAATAGTGAGACACCAATGACAACAACAACGAGCACTTGTAGTACAGAATCGGCTAAATCACGAAACCCTAAGTGTGCCCGATGTGGAAATCACGGCGAAATTGTGGCCGTTAAAGGTATTTATTTATATAATAATCAATATATTGTTTAAAAACATTTATTTATATTGCAWTCATTTAATATAACTATTAGGTCACAAACGAAAGTGTCGTTACAGAGAGTGTGTCTGCGAAAGATGTATACTGACTGTCGACAGACAGATATTGATGGCTAAGACTATTCGTGTGAAACGCCGACAAAAGGAAGATATGAGTGATCCGAATATGACGGACGACCAGAGATTCCCGAAACCTATTTACAAAAAACAGAGATCTGATGACTGTATGTATTCATTATTTATATTATTTATAGTTTATTTAAAATTTGTTTTTTTAATAAAWTTGTTTAATATTAAATATTTTTRATATTYAATARTAGCTAAAAAATAGCATAAATTTTAATCTTTAATATCTCAATCACAAGTATATCTTAAAAATATAAATAAATAAAAAAATATTTAATGAACATATTTTTGAATTAAAWWTTTTTTTTATTAATAAAATAAATAAAAAGATAATTACTRAATAAGTATTTTACTATGACTTTATTAATTAGTATGAATAATAGTAATTTTAGTATATATTTTTAAATACAATACTATTTGTTATTTTTAATAAATTAGTGTTATGTAATTAATAATAATAATAATAATAATAATAATAATAATAATAATAATAATAATAATAATAATAATAATAATAATAATGTTTATCTTTTAGTTTTACAATACTATCGAAAATTATATAACAATTAAAATATATATTTTTTAGGTATTTCTGAGACGGACAGAGAAAGTGGTTACAGTACTAACAGCGATGACAGCGATAAACGCAAAGATATGAACGCAATAAAACTTAATGAATACTTTGCAATGATTGACAACGAAATCAAAGAACTTAAAGAAATGATTTTTGACCACAATTTGTCTTTTGCTGATATTGGAGAAGAATTGATTGCACTCAAGAATAACATCAATTATTTTATTAATCAAAGAATTCAATCAAAAAATTGCAAAAATGTGTTGCCATTTGATGGAAATCATACAATTGGTAGTTCGGTTGGTCCGACTAACAGCACACCTACCGTTCCAATGGTAGTACCGCTTGTGAGTCCTCCATTCAATGCATATGAAACGTCTCATCTAAACGGTCCCAACTCTACAGTCTCTGAGCCAAACAATACTATTGAATCCGATAAGACTGACATTAGATCATTATTTCCCATATATTATCACCAGTTATTAATGGCACAAAAGTCACCGTTTTATTGTCCCATACCATCAGTGACACCAATTAATAACATGAATGGACAGTAAATCAATCATTAATTATTAATTTTGTAAACATTTTTAAAAAATGAAAACCAAAATACATATTTTTTTGTCAGTTTTTGATCACTGACTATAAATATTAAGATCAAATAAAATCTGTTTAAAAATATTGATATAAAACTATTTTCAATATTATTAAAATAAAAAACAATTGTTCTCACATTTTTTGTCAAATTAAATATGTATTTGATAAATACAAATATTTTTTTATAATAATTTTGTCAAATAATCAATAAAAAATATTTTTATAGCATTACTTAGTTTTTGATTGTTTTTATTTACTTTTAAATTATTTTTTTTAAAGTTTACTGTGACATAAAATTTTAAATTATGATATTATATAATTGTATTTATTTAAAATAATTTATTAGCCTAGCATATACAGTTTATATAAATAAATATAAATATATGTAAAAAGTTAATTCAATTAATTGTTTGTCATTATGATGTGTTAATAATAATTTAATTTGATATTACCGTAAATAGTTAATAGTATAAGTTTATGATTTTATACAGTATAGAGTCATCTAAAAAATAACTATCAATTGTATCAGTAAAAATTGAATAGTTAAAAAAATACAAAATGCTAAATTCAATTGCGTTTAAATATTTAACAAATTGAAAAGTGATTTACTTTATTGCATATAAAAAATTTACATAATTTTTTATGTTTGCAAATATTCAAAATGTTAAGTGCAAAATATTATGTTTATTTTAGTAACATAAATAATTATATGTATATTTATGATAGTCTCTCTATACTAACAATGAAATTGCTATCAATTTTATATAATTTATATCTTAAAACACAAATTCTAATTGATATAATATGTTTAAATTTGTCATTCAAACATAGTTTTATCGTTTGTTTAACATATGCCTAATTTGGATGTAATTTATGTGTTTGGTTTACAAAAAAAATAATATTAAAAAACTAATTTTTATTAAACAAAGAAAGTTATTATAAGTCAAATAATAATGTATATATAAAACGCAAATTTTCTCATGACTTATGTGTTGTAAAAATTTACAAATCATGTATTTTGTCTCAAAACTCGTGTTTAAAGTTAATAAATATTATAGAAATCAATGGATACAATCTATAGAAATTATTTTAGTATATTTGATAACAAAAATTCACACATTTGTCAAACTCCAATAAAATTACATATTAAATATATTTTGATAATTTTGTTTTTAGACATAATTAAATTTAAAATAAACCTAGTTAAAAATTATCAGTTTTAATAATTAAATTATTTATATTATTATAATTTATTACAATATTAAATAATAACGTTCACTAAACTTAATTTATATTAATTACATAAATTTTACAAAATTGTTTTTAATTATTTTATATTWACAATATATTATAAAAGTAAGTTAAAAATTTTATATTTTGGAGATTGAAATCTGTGAATTATAATATATTTTAAAACAAAAACTGCAAAAATTCATTTAAATTTCTCAATTTTTATTTAAATTGTTTTTATATTTAAATTAAAGCAAAATAACCACAACCCTAAAGCAAATATAAATATAATACATAAAAACTGAAATTAAATTAAACATTTCKATTTCGATTTCACTAATTTCTATTAAATTACATAATTTATATAAAAATAAAAATTATTGAATATATCAATAATTAATATATTRTAATAAATGTAATGATCATTTAGATATAATAAAAAATTAGTATTAAAATTATTGCTTTTTAAATAAAATCTTATTGGCTTTTAATTTTCAAAGTGATTATTGGCAATAATTGTTGTATTAATATAACAGGGATTTATTTAAAGGGCGCCACAGATATCAAACACTATGCCTTAACAACTATTTTAACAACTTTTTAAAAACTCTATACACATGCGCTTTATATCATTATTATACATATATTTTAGATTAGTTTTGAAATTATGTAGTATAGAGTTATGTTGTGCGATATATAGGGAACAGTTAGATAGTTATATAACTGCCCATAAGATCACAACTCATCCTAGCAATAACTAACTGTTGCATCAGAGTACCAGTGCCAGTGTGACAGTGCCAATGTGACAGTGCTAGTGAAATGTAGACACAACTGAACTTAAGTTCATAGTTTAGAAACTTTTTTATTAAATGCTTTTTTAGAGTTTTCAATAAACAAATTTATGAAAACGTTTTTCATTTGTATAATTCATAACTTTTTGGTTATTATCAAAATTTTAATAAAAGTAAGCTTTTAAAAAAAATTGTATCATATATATGTATAATTAATTATTTATTAATTAATAAAAATGACAGATTCTGATGTCATACTTTAAAAAATCACAAAAGAGGACTATTCCGTTACCAACCGTTGCTGATGACGTTATTCTGGCCATTCAGGCCATGGATTTAAGTCAATCGCTTATCAGTAACAAAGAAAACAATTATAAGATTAAAGATGAAAAAAGTGATACAAATGAAGACAATAATTCAAATACAACTGAACTGAACAGTTATAGTGGATCTCTTACACCAACAACGAGCACATGTAGTACTAGTGAATCGGTGAAAACACGTAACCCGAAGTGTGCCCGCTGTCAAAATCATGGCGAAGAAGTTTTAGTTAAAGGTAGACATCTATTACAATATTGTAGTCAAACTGTTAATTCAAAATTATCTACATTTCAGTATATCATATATTATTATTTAGTTTTTTAATTTTATTAATTTCTATAATTATATTATAGTAAAAATGACTGACTATTATCACATAAATATATTTAATTTATATATAATATAACAAATGACTATTAGGTCACAAACGAAAATGTAAACACAGAGAATGTATTTGTGAGAGATGTATACTGACTGTCGAAAGACAAAAATTAATGGCAAAGACTATTCGTGTCAAACGAAGGGCTAAGGAAGACATGATTGACCCGAATATGACGGACGACCAGAGATTCCCGAAACCCGTCTTTAAAAAACATAGATCTGGTATATAATCTTTAATATATGTTTTTATTTCTATTATTTTAATTTTTACTTCTAATAAAATTATCCAATATTTTAACTATTCTAYAGTATTATCTAAAAAAATCTAAATTATTAAGTAATATATAAAAACTTTAATTTTAATATTATAATCAAATATTAGAATCTAAAATATTAATGMATGAAATAATATTCAATGATATGTTTTAATATCTATTAAAATTTTATTGTTTCTTTTTATTCTTAATAATAAATTAAAATAACATAAATTTATTAATAATAAATATACTAATTAAAAATTATAATAAAATTTTATTAATCACTAATAGTTGTAAACATTAATGATTTAACTAACTAAACTTTATTAAACTAAAAACTTTAATGAATTAAGTATTATTTAAAAATTTAATTAAATTATTTTTTAAAAATATTATGACTGTAACTAATAAATTTATTTTAGATTTATAATGTTTTAAAAATACAATATATTATAATTATTTTAAAAATAAATATTTTTAGAAATTTCTGAAACGGATAGAGAAAGTGCTTACAATAGTGACAGCGATAAAAACAAAGATATGGACACAAAACTTAAGGAATACTTTTCAATGATTGAAAATGAAATCAAAAAAACTTAAAGAAATGGTTTTTGACCACAAATTAACTTTAGCTGATATTGAAGATGAATTGATTGCACTCAAGAATAACATCAATCATTTTATTAAAGAGAGAATTCAGTCTAAAAATAATTACAAAAATATGCCATTTAATGGTAATCCTATAATCGGTAGTCCGATAGCACCGACTAACAGCACACCTACCATTCCAACGGTAATACAGCCAATGAATCATCATTTCCATCCCTTTGAAAGCACTTATCTGAGAGGATCCACAATCTCTGGTTCCGAGTCTAACAACAATATCGATTCATTTAAAATTAGACAACTAAATTTATTATATTATCAACACTTTTTGATGACACAAAAAGGATCACATTATTGTCCGATGCCTTAAAGTGTAATTAATTAATAACAGTAATCATTATATTAATATTGCAATACATTTTTTATAATAATTAAAATACATATTAAGTCAGTTTTGATCACTTTATAAGTACAATATACACTCTATACTTTAGTAAAAACACTTTTGCATACTTAATAACTTACAATATATTATACAGTAATAAATAAAAAGTTTAATAAAATTATTGATAATCTTTAATAACAAATTTGTCCTCTTCTTTCTTAATCCATTTGATGATCGCCTGAATGGCTGTCAGTGCTTGCAATTGAGTAATTGTCACATCAAACTGTGCGTACAATTGGAAAGTCGGCGAATGCCAGCCCAACAACAGACCATCCGATTCGCTTCTCAACCAAAATGTCTTTAAATTTGATTTCAACATTCGATTAGTTATGTAGTGATTGAGTGAACTAAATTCAAAGACTGGTGATTGACGCCATAAGACTGACTGTCGGTGCGATTGATACCATAAGTATTGCAATTGTGGTTGAGATAAGTCACTTAAATTGGATCGACTGGGCGTTAGATGTACTTTAGCCAAGCGGTCAATAATCGACTCTTTCGTTAGTTGGCATTTGTGAAACTCTTCGCGATCTGTGGTCAACAAAGCTAAACAGTATTCATTGGACAGGTAGGAGATATGTGTGTGCAAAAAGTTATTGGAGTCAAATCGGGGCAAACATATTGGCAGAAAAAATGACTCAACAGATGCTAACTGCGATTCCGATGCCATAACTAATGAATAAAGTAATTGTATGTCTAATGGATTAAGTCTAGCTTTGAATTGTGATTACAAACACAAATCAATTGTATATAATTATTAGAACCATTGTATTCCTCTTTGGCTTTTTTATCGACAGAAAATAGTAAACTAAAGATGACATTTGGTGCCGAAGAAGCGCATGAATTTATAATATTATAAACAGATTCTCTCAGTTGTGCTGCCATTACTCGTATCGGTATATAAACCCGAGTGGAAATTGTACTGCGATTGTTGATAATTGATTGGTTGCCAATTGTCTTGGATGTAGTCATAGAAGACGATAGAAATGCATTCATTTGGTTATTGCAGTTATTCTCACTTTTGTTAGCATTGATTGGACTTAATATAACATCTATTAAAGTGTCGATTAGTTTTTCACTACCTATTAATTAAAACAAACATTTAATCAAATTATCTCTAAATTCAAGTGATAATCATTCAGACCTGAGAGCAGTCTTTTTAGATCAAAAGTAGGTCTTTGTTCAAACACTGACTTCAATGTCTTGGCGGTCAAAATGGAGATAATTTGTGCATTTACTTGATTTATAAGAATATTTGCATCGATTCCGAGGTTAACTCTGAAGACAAAACATATGATGAGTGGACTCTTGAGTGCAAAAGCTATTCTCAAACCACCGATGGTCTGAATGTGACGAATGGTGTCGTTCTCGAGTTTGTCGGTCACGTGAATCAGTGCCACACAAACACCCATTAATGTAATACTGTCTTCACGTCTTGAATAACAATACACTGGTTTACCCGACTCTGACATCACAAACACATCCAAGTCTTTGGCGCCATTAGTTCGCGGCTGAAGTCGTAACGAATCCAAACCATTGGCCACAGCTTCGGGTGACTCGTTTGAGGTCATCGTAGAAAAATTGATAACAAATTTGTGGCCAAATATATCTATTACCGCAAAATGACAGCAAATTATATTTTCACTAAATTTAATGAACAAATAATATGATTTACCACTGATTTGATCACTCAATTGATTCACACATTTGCCAATCAATCGATAATATAATATATTAACTGTTTGTTGACATCAAGTGATTCAAGTCATCAAAACATTATATAAAATCATACCATAAATAACGTCAAACAATTTGTGTCACACTTTTGTTTTATAAAAGTTTATACATAACTATAAAATACAGTAAATGTATTGACTTAACAATCATTCCCTATATTATCAATAAAAGACATTATTTATTATTTTCTAATATTTATCACTAATTTTGTTAAATTTGATGAATTGAACCAAATTTATGGTTTAATTAATAAATTAATTTTTATAAAATCAAACCATTGGTTATGAATCTATTCAATTGATTGCTTGTTATTAAAAATAAAACCAATAATTAGATTGCAATTCAAATACAAATAGTATATAAAATTTGCGCCAAAAATGCATTTCTCACACAAAAATTAATGACTTATTGAACACACAATACGTTTAAAAAATATTGAGTGGACTAACAATTGTTAACACATTTTACCATTGATTTCAATACAAACTCATTGACTAACAATTGTTATGTAATTTATGTGTCCATCAAATGATTGACGGATTCATTGAAACATAAGATTCAAATGTTTTTAATATTAATAGTAATAATGATTACAATTATATTGAAGTCATGTATTCATAATCACCACAAATAGGTCCCAACTGTTGACACACAGGATATCATCGATCCATTCAAATGATGACAATATTAAGAGCAGAGACGTTGAAGACATACAATAAATACGATGAAAACAAATTGAAGCTAAAGATAGTCCACTTCTGTCCGCTCGACGGCAAAGAGTCGGATCCGAAGTGCAAACGCATTATAATCACAACTGACTGCTCATCTCAACAGTCAATCCCAACAAATGACAAACATTTGGTGATTGTCTTCTATAGCGGACTCGCGAAGACACCATTCAAGAAGTCTGCCCTCAAATTTGGTCAGATATTTACTGTTCAACGCTTTGAGACAACGATTATGCCAAAAGATAAAGTGTTTAAATGTATGTCCATTTCGGTGACAAACTCTTTGATCTAATGATTGTTTTTGTTTACAAATGACAGCAAACGGACAAATATTGAACACCTTTTACGACGCGTTAGTTTTGGTGAAACCAGAATTTGATCCCATTATCAAAATGCTGGTTAGTCTTCGTGAAGAGCCATTTACAGCGGTCGGTGACAGCGATTCGTTTCCCGAAGACAATCAAATGGTATCCGTTGGAAGCGCACGAAGAAAACGCCGTTCTGTTAGTAGTGACAGTACAGGTATATCCCTATCAGTAACCGATGAACAAAAAATAGTCAACACTTCGGTTAAAAAGAAATTGAGATTTGAAGAAATGAATGAAGAACTGGATATTCATTTGTCATCTGATGATGATTTCAATGAAACACCTTCGCGACAGACTCGCAATATTTCATCACAAAATCGCATAAATACTACAAAAAAGAGACAATCAAACGAAAATCAAATGGTTTTATTAAGAGCTCAAAATCAGAGCAATAATTCACAGTTACCGCGAACACCGAGTCGGTCGCAGACATCAAATACCAGTAGTAGAAGTCCCACAACCAGTACTTCTACTTATGAATACAAAACACTGAAAGAAATTCATAGTCTGATACCTGTCAGTGGAAAGACTTATTGTCATACGTATGGTATCATCCAATCGAGAGATTATAAACGCAATACAATTCAATTAAGAGATGAAAAAGTTTTTAGTATAACAATATCGTTAAGACCGGGAAAAAGTGATTATCGTCACTATCCGGCCTCAAGAACAGGAGATATTATTCGTATTCATCGCTTATTATTACCACCGAATTCAATGGAGTTTATCTGTTCAGATCCTAAGGATGTTGTCATCTGTGAAGGCTTTCAAGATTCAGAAGCATTTTCACCAATTTATACGAGTATTAATCCAACATTTGATGATTTCGACCGAAAAAGAAAGAGAGAATTGGAAGAATGGTTTAGCGATGAATTACTTAATGATAGTTTGAGCCAAAAGAAAGCTAATGATAATTATAGTATTTATACTGATATCTGTCTTCAAGTGATCAGATTAACCACACTTCGGGAGAGAACTTATTTGGCCGCTTGGGATACGACGAGACCCGCACAGCAAACATACAAAAGACATGTATCGACTGAACAGATGAGTCTAACGACCAGTGAAGAGGAATTGGTCCGAATCATCAATGAAGACAATATGTCTATTGTTGTGACTGCTTTTGAGGAGCACTCAAATGCCTGTCAAATATTGAAACCTTTTGATTTTGTTGTTCTGTTTAATGTTTGTATTAAAGCCGATAAATATAACAAAGATTCCTTCACTTATACGATGAGCTCAGGTTATACACACGGAAGATGTCTTCGTGTGGTAAAACGTGATTCAGTTTTAGGTATTTTATGACAGTTTTATTTTTTTAAACTTAAATAATAACTTTAATTTAAGTTAATTAATGTAATTAATTTTAAGGTCAAAAATTTTACAATCGTATTGAAGAATATAAGGTGATGTCTGCCGTCAATGTTGCCGTTCCTTCTATTGAGGAATCATTTCCATCTCAATCACTTCCAAGTGAAAGTCAAGATATTAATATGATGTCAACATTTATGACAACAAATGAGTCAATGTTTTCTGAAATGCCTGACTTTGACGTCAATTTAGATGAAATTGTAGATGTCTTAGAAAACGAAGAATCATATTTGCCAGTGACTCGTATTGTGGATATTCCGACGCAAAGTGTGACCATCGAAGAAATGATAACCAATACAGAAGATAAACGACTTTATAAAGTGAAGGCCCGTGTGATTAATCATTTGACTCCTAATGACAAAAATGATATCATCTGTTTGTTGTGTACTAATCAAGAGTGTCATCAGTTAAAAACTTTAAGACAAGCCATAAGTGATGATCCACTCATTGAATCAATTATTCAATCAGCAAAAGACAGAAAACTATTATTAAATTGTTTTAAATGTAAACAGAGTTCTTGTGTTTTGGTATTTAAAATGATATTAATATTAGAAGACAACAAACGCGACAAATTGATTGTCCAACTGTTTGGACACAACGCCGAACTATTTTTCAGAGCCACACCCGAAGAGATTCTTAGAATTGATATTAAGTGGCATTTTGTGGAAAAACTTTTGAATTATATTTGTGCCAAAATTGCATCAATTGATTTCAAGCATTCAAATAATGTATTAAACTATTGGGTTCTTCAGCCATCAAAAGTAGATAATAGAGACGAATACATATATCAAGTGAGGACAGCGGTGGCCATTGAAACACAAGACAAATGTGTTGGACTTAATTTATTAAATAAATAATTTTCATTTTATAATAATAATCCAATTTATATAAATACTATATATATATATACATTATATTAAACAGATTTAATGCCCAGTTTGTTTTATTATTGCATGATTTAAATTATAAATTGTTAGATTATTTAATAACTTTTCTATCGTAATTATTTACATAATTAATAATATTTTGTTTATTATTMKATTAAAGTGAAAGCGATTACTTTGTTTACGAAAACAATAAGATTTATTTTGTGTTAATTTATTTTATTTTTTTTATATATTCAAAATTACCATTTATCTAATAATTTCAAATCTCACTCATATTTACTATAATTGAGACACTACTGATAATTATTGTACATTTTAAGTATTGTTTTTAATAAATTATTTATATTATTTTGTAAAATATATTTATCATTATTGCATTTTTAATAACAAATACTATCTGAAGTTTTCATTTTTTAAAATATTTTTCTTTAAAGACTCGAATCTTATATTTGTGTATATAAAACAATATTATAAAATTTATAGTATTTTTTACAATGTATTTACGGTAAATAATAATAATAAATATATATACAGTTAGAGTTCGGGCAATTTTCCAAAGGAGGGAAGTTCCCTAATAAGATCTCTCCAATTTTMTATCCCTAGCCCGTTAGAAAATAAAATATATTTCATATTTCTACAATAAATAATACCAAAGCTTATTTTTTTGGATAAAATTTTATTAAAATATTTAAAAATAAATTTGAATTCTATAAATTTATTAATACTATTTAACAATAACAGTTAAAATATAGTTCAATACAAAATTTATTATTCAAATTTAATAATAAAATTTATTGTTTAGATTTTAATATGTAGTATAAAAGGAAATAGATTCCCTAGGAATTCCCAGAGAGCAGCGAAAATAGGAAAATTTTGGAATAAAAAACGGAGGAAGGAATTTGCCCGAACCCTAATTACAATGTATATATATAAATCCTTGTATATTAATTTTTATAAAGTTTTATTAATTTTTATTCTAACAATTTAAATATTTTTTTAATAATTTTGTAAAATATATAAATCAATTTTATTATTTCACCTTGTTACTTAATACATTTCATTTGAATCCTAAATTATTAATAATATTATTAGTAGTATATGTTGATAATAACTGTGTAAAACTCAATAAAAGAGCATTTTTAATATAATAATTAGTATTAATATAGATTTTATGCATATATTAATATTGATATTTTATTACTGATTTACAAAACTTGGTTTGTTTTATAGAATATTCTATAGCAGAGCTCGAAACGAATCGGATAATAGTTTAACTTATAGACTAATATTATTTATATTATGTTAGTTTAATATTACAGAATTGAATGATAAATTATAATTAACAAAATGTAAAGTTATAAAATATATAAGTGATAATTACAAAATTAATTAAAACATGTTTTGAATAAAACACTGAATTGATAAAAATTTTGTTTTTTATATAATAATTCATTATATATTATATATTTATTTTATAGATCAGAAACTTTACTTTTAATAATATAACCGTAATGTTAATAATAAAAGAGTTGTGTATTAATAACTTTTTTAATTGAATAAGAAAATACAATAATAAGTTAGTTATCAGAGACTGTGAATGCAATTATAAAAGTTGTTGTATTGTATTTCATTTGAATTTTATGCTAACATTTATATAGATTTGCATTGATTATGAAACTGAAAAACTTTATTTTTTTTGTTATTCGAGTGAAACGTTAGTATTCTTTAATTAAATTCAAGTAGTTTTTGCTCATTTGATTGAAGACTAATTCAATTAATGCCAGTTTTGTATTGAACTTTTGATTTAACTATAATATTGTATAAATTTAAGACAAAAAATTAATTTAATACTTATTGTTTTGTTGGAGTATCTGATCATTATTTTATGTTTATATGGCTACTCGTTTTTTTTATTCAGTTTATTTGCCATTTAAGTCTAAAGTGTTGACCAAAAAGTCCTGTGTGTTTGTCAGTCGTCATTGTATTTGAATTATTGAAAGCAATTGTTTTGATGGCATATAATTCATCACTTTTAGTACAGTATTATTAACAGCAAAACACAAAAGCATTGAATCGGATATTTTGCACTACAGTACAGTATTTGTCCGCTTGTAGTACTAATGCATTGACTTTATAATAATAAGTTGTATTGTATTGTAATGGCATAATTGGTTTACTTTTTTATATTATTAATTTTCTAGTGATTAATTGACATAAATTTCTCGACCAAATTGAAACTATGATTTTCTTCAATTGTTTTTTAAAAGCAAACAATTATTTTTTACAATAAAGTATAACAAAATCAATAATAATGTTTTAATAGTTTTAAAATTTTCTATAATTTAATTTATTTTAAGATACAAATTATTTATTAAGCTATTTACTATTTTAAATTTTCTGTTAGTTTATTTAATATATGCACCAAAAGTTTGTTTGTTTGTTTAAAATATATAAATTATATAAAATATTTATTATACTGTACTTTTAGCATCATTAGATTAGATGCAAATTTTTACTGTTAAATAATGTAACTTAAAATCAGTTTATTATATCAATAGCTTAAATGAAGTTTTATATACTGTATAACTATTTTCTCAAACAAACAATTTATTGAGAGATGTATTATACGGTAGAATACTGTACTGTTTATGTTGTATTGTGTGTATGTATTGTATTGTTTGCTAATAATATTGTTGTTGAGTCTCTCAAAAATGCATTCACAACTATAGACTATAGTTTACTATTAGTCACAATTGTTGCGGAAAATAGCACTTTTGATTGAGTTTAAAAGTGAACCTAATTGTATGGATCATACATTATATTAGGTAACAGATGTTTGCGCTCACAATTCATATCCAAACTTTCAATACATCTCCTAAATAGTGCCTCCAATTCACACACAATTGTGTTTTGTTTTTATGTATTTCAGCAATAGTTTCATGCATTCAATAATATCCTATAAGTTATTACTTATAACTCAATACTTTCTATAAGAATAAGCATTTGTCATAATTTTTTATTTTGTATTATAATTTTTCGAAAGTGACTATTAAATTGAATGATTAATTTACTCACTTTTCAACATTAGTTGATTTATTTTACACATTAAACTACATTAACTAAACGCATTTGATTAATCTTGATATATATATATATATATATAATTATAAATTTAGGCTAAACTCTAACGTAATGTTACTAATTTCACTGTAAAATAAAATGTACTCTTTAATCAAAATGGTAATTGTAGTTGAAATTGATTTTTACTTAATAAAATCAATTGTTAAATAAATTTTAGTATAATTGACAAAAATTATGAAATAAAAGAAATAATAGCAACTTATTTGAGTTATATTTAGATTAAACAAAATAAAAGCCAATTTGTTATTTAACACCAACTGCTGTTTGAATAATCTTTTCATTAAATCAAAATTTTCATTAAAATATTTCTCATTTTATATAAACTTTAAATTAAATTGCTTGAAATAATTGTGATAAACAAGTTAGAATTTATATGTACTGTATTTATTTGTATATCAATTGTTTTTGATTACCAGAATATTCTGTAAGTTAAATTTATATCTTTTTGAAATAATAATTTTATTTGTTTAGTTTAACAATAGTATATTATTATATAATATAAATAAACTACAGATATTAATGTTTTTATGATTTAAAGTTATATTTTAATATAAACTAACATAGATATACATTTTTTTGTTGTGTGTGTGTGTATGTGTTTATACTGATGTATACCATATATAAGTATTATATGAAAATATTAAATGATAGTAAAGTTGTATTTGAAAAGAGTTGATGGCATGCAATATAACGTTTGTGCGAATTGTATTGTATATCTGATATCATGCTGTGATGTGTGCGTCAGCTTGACTTGAATTATAATGAAATTCCTGTAAGAGAGGAGAGAGAGAGAGAGAGAGAGAGAGAGAGAGAGAGAGAGAGAGAGAGAGAGAGAGAGAGAGAGCAACTAAATTGAGACAAAACACATCTGAAACACTTTTGAGACACGGGGAGACTGTGATCACAGGCAGCTATTAATATACAGTATATATATGTAGATATATGTGTGAGAGAGTGTCTTATTTGCATGGGTGCTCTTAGAGCACATCAACATTTTTTTTTGTTTAGCTCACCAACTATTTTAACATAATATGTGATATACTTTCTCTCTATAGTCAAACACAAACATTTGTTGATAGTGTCGATAGTGTTGGTGACAGTTTCAGTTTTAACAGTGATATAAATATTTTTTTGGTGAAAACATTTATATTAAAAATATTTTCGCTCATCATATGCATTATGATATTATCTAAAAGCTATTTCATTTAATGTTTATAAAAAATTACTGTACGATAAAACTTTTTTGTCAATTAAAAGCAGATTTTTTGCGACTAACTAAATGCATGATAAGTTGGGAATTGAAATGTTAGCGTAAAAATACTGTTACAATGTATATACAATATATATACTGTATATAAATACAGTAAATAATTTCTTTATGCATTTAACAACAATTGTTTGTTTAATCTGATAACAAGAAAAAGAGTCATTTTTATTCATTCATTTGAAATAAAAATTTAAATACACAGTATTTATTAACTTTTTTATTTAAGAAGATAATTTTTAAAATTTAAACTTATCTTTTAATACAATAAATATCTAAAAAGTTATTATTATTTGCAATTCAATAAATACTGAAATKAAAATTATTTTACTTATTTTTATTTTAAATTTATACATTTAAGTAGAAAAAATATTTTTATAAAATAATTCTCTTTATTTGCAATTATTATATTTTTTAAATTCTATTTATTGTGGCATTTTTATTGCTAAGTTATTCAATTAACTTTCAATTTTGCTTTCATTTATTATAAAAATATATATTCACTTGAAACCGTTATATAACTACTGTATTATTATAGTATATATTGTAAGTAAAGTATAGTAAAATTTTTGGTTAAGAAACAAACTATAGATCGAGTTTCTGATTAAAAATGTTGACTAAAAAATCTATAAAGTATTTTATTTATCTACACTTTATGTATAATCCTATCCATCATCATATCCATCAAAATAGTTGAAATTAAATATAAATTTTAATACTACTATGCTATTATGTACTATATATTCTACTAATATATATATATACTAATAATTTTTAATAGCTATACTATGTTTAAATCAAAAATGTGTATCGACTATGAAATAATTTATTAAATTATTTACTTATTAAAAATTTATGAAATTCAATCACTCGTATAGGACTCGTAAATGTTGGGCCCATTATATGTCATGTCATAACACATGGAGCTCAACGATAGTCATCTATTTTACATAAACATATAATTCAAACAAAAAATCAATACTTTTAACACATTATCACAACATTCATTACCCATTTATTGTAAGCGCCGACAATTTAATACTACAAATAACAACAATATTAACAACAAMTACAACAAACCAAACATCAACTTCTTAGATAATAAAGTTGGTCCCTATATATTGACAGTTCATAAATAGTTGTAATCTGATATAATTTCATACAATTTAATTTATAATATAATCTTTGATAACGTGGACAACTTAATACGCCTACAGATTTATTTGATATATTCAATGTATGGGTAATATGATAAACCTATAAAAATAATTCAAAAATGTTTTTTTTKACATTTGACTATAGCAGCTATCAATTGAGACAATAGTTATATTTGCAATTTTAAGACAATAAAATATATCGACTCATCAGTTATTTGCTTCAATACCAATGATTGCATTTATCACAGAGTCTTATCTGAAGACCACGTATTGAGAAGTCATATAAACATTTTCTGACCCATAGTTTAGCACTTATTCTGTGCTGACTTAAGTGAGATGACTATAGAGATGAAGACAATTATACGATGCTATTCATGATGTTTGTAGACTATTGTATAGACAGTATGTTTTAAATATATGTATTGTCAGCACTTCAGAGAGACAATAGTATCGGTAAAATAAAATCAAAATATAGACAAATGCTATTACAATGTTTTAAAAAGTTTAGTAAATCAGATATTTGTTTGATTTTTAAAAATAACTCTCTTATCGTTTGAATTTTTGTGGACTTAACTTAAAACTCTTTTTCAAACTACTATTTTCAGTGACAAAACAGTATATCTTTGACTCAAATTGCTATTTATGAGTCAATCCGTTAGTAATTGAGTTGCACTTTATATATGTGATGGGATTACAGATTAAGTTGTATATTAGATGATAGGAGAATAGTGAATAGCGGCGGAACCCCCAAACCTAACCGTTTAAATTGTATGACTTGTCGATCGCCCAGTGCTAATGAAATACCGATAATAATATGATAGCAATGATTGTTAGTTGAAGTTATCGTCAAGTTTTGAGACAATAATAGTGAGCTATCAGATCATCGCTTAACTCATTGATGATGTAAATTAATGAACAAATCCATAGACTTTACGCCCAAATTCCCAATTGAGTTAATGTTTGGATGTGTTATGAATTTTGATATCATTTTTCTAACAATAAACGCTTTTCTAATGTAGTAATCAATTGGCGATCAAATCAACACTTGGGATGAAATCAAACGCCACTATCTGTCTATAATTTTGTCAAATGTTTTTATAATACTACAGTATATAAAATATTTCACAATTTTTAGTTTTAATATCATTTATGATAAAAATTAAAACATTTCTGTTGTAGCAATGATCCTCTCATCACATTTAAGACAGTTTTCTGAAACAAATAAATAAATTACATTAAGTTATTACTTGATATCTTAATACTGTTATACTAGGGCTTAGTTGGCATTACTAACAATATAATAATTTTTATCTCCCTTTCCCTCAGTTACTTACTCACTAACACTCTCTCAATCACTCAGTTATAAAACAGTAGTACATATTGTAGTATTTAAAATACAACACAAGTATAATATAAAAATAAAAGTTAGAGTAAATCCTTTACAATACAAATAAGTTTATAAAAAGATACTTATTTTAAATAAAATATATAAATAGAAAAAAGTCAATTTTAATATTATGTAAATTAAGCAAAAAAAAGTTCAATAAATGTTAATTGAATAATACTATATTTATTAATTGGAAATTAAATTAAAAGCGACAAATAAAAAACGTCAACTGACAGACAAGTGTTACAAATAATATCGGTTTTCGAGTTAAATATCTTTCTCTATAAATGGGATTAAGTATTATATAGATTGTTGTTTAGCTTCGGCGCACACTTTAAGACATATCCCATTTGCTGCTCACTTAAATGTATATACAATTCTCTCTCTCTCTCTCTCTCTCTCTCTCTCTCTCTCTCTCTCTCTCTCTCTCTCTTTATTCTCTCTTTATTCTCTATATTTTCTCTTCAAATTTTGGTTTCAATATATGGTACAAACAGTACAATAGAGTATACCATATAAACACTGAGTTAGGCATCGATTTTACTTTTATAAACCATTGCCATCACCGCTGATCTCTTCAAAAACAAATGAACTCTTATTCTAATATATATATATATATAGAAAACTTTTCATTGAAAACATTTTGTTGTTGTTGTGCTTAAGATATGTTTTAAAAACTATATTTACATACTTTTACTAAAGTATATTATTTAAGTGTGTTATTGTTTTTTCATGGTTTGTAAATGTTTGTAAAGCATCCATAAATCATTTTAAAATTATAATTAAAAAAGGTAACAATTTTTATAAAAAGTTTGGTAAATATTTAATACTTTAAATTTTTACACAAATAGTTTTTGTGTTATTTTAGACAAAATTTTTGTTGTTTATTTTCATATTTGTACAGTATATTTAATTATTTATTGTTCAAAAGTAATCAATAAATTGACAGAAACTAATAAATTTATTTAATTTTAGTAAATGTATATTATACAATATATTACTGCAGTATTTAATAAGTAATGTTTATTTAAAATTAGTTTTAATTATCATTTATAAAAGTTATAATTACTTTAAAATTAATATTATATAAAATAATATTGTGTACTGTATACGCACTTCAATTTAAACTTAATTATTTATTTATAATTTTATTATTATTGAAAATTACTATAAATTAATGAAAAATTATATTAAATATAATAAATGATTTTATATGTATTTTATCATCAAACTATCAAAGCTTACTTTAATAGATCAACTCTATTATGTTATAAATTTTATTGAAAACAGTTAATCTTTATATGTATAGTATAGACAATTCACTTAAGTTTAAAGTAGAAAATAATAGTTATTATAACAAAAATAAATAGTTTTTTTTAACAATCAATRATATGAAAAAATATTACTATTAAACTAGGGTTAAAACTCATAATATTGAAACAATAAATGACAGATAAATTGTGAGATTATTTATTTCTAAATAACATCAAATACATTTAAACACATTTTCATTTATAATATTTTTTACATAAAATATTAATTGATTTAAAAATATTATTTTATAAGTTCCTATATAACTTCTTGTTTACTTTTTTAAAAATATTATTTTTAATTACAAATAAATAATATAAACTTCTTGTTATTAATAATTTTTTTTGTTAATCATTTAAATTTTAATTATTTGAAATAAAAATTATGCTAAAATTCTGTGCAACAAATGTTTGCAGTTTTTCTTATTATTATAACTGTATTTTACAGATATAGTATTTATTTTGTTTATTTCATTTGTTAATTTTTAAAAACAATTTAGTTTTTGCAAAACAAATTCATTATTTTTATTACACATTTTTTCACAGTTCTAAGTGCAAAGTCAGCGCCGAAAAGCACTTGAATTTTATGATATTTTTGGTGACAATAGTGTCACTCCGTCTTTCATCTCTAAAGACACGACGTCTCATATAAATGACAACAACTCCACAAAAGCACTGATACCGTTGGCACAGGCGGTCTGCGAGAGACACAACCAGTCGGTGATTTCAATAGTCAAAGAGAGAGAAAGAGAGAGAGAGAGAGAGAGAGAGAGAGAGTCGACACACAAAAAAATATTTAAGTGAAGATATTGTTTATATAAGAATTACAGCCAAAGTGTAAACTCCGAGCAAAACATATCTCCGACAAAACATACAGTCGTTGACACAAATAATAAGCCAAAAGCTATTTTTCATTTGACTTTTGTGTTGCCGTTTGTGTCGTTCATATATAGAGTAGTTTGGGTGCAAAGGAATAGATAGGAATGAAAGCCGATTTTGTTTGGAAGTGTCTACCAGTGCTATGTCTTATCAAATCAGTTGTCACATCGTGGGAGTCGTGGTGGACCTATGAAGGCATCTCAGGTATACAATACTATTATTATGATATTTGCTTACTTATAAAACTTTCAATTTGTTTATATAATATTTATTTTATTTATTTCTAATATAATACCTTACAATTTCATATCAATTCTAATACTTAATTTGTTTTGACATTTCAAAGAATATCTATTAAAGAAATATTTATATATAAGTATTAGATTATATGTTATTTATTTATTTTTAGCCACAATAACCAGTTATATAAAATATATGTAACCAACAAATTATTTCACTTGTTATATCGCATAATATAAAACTATTTTCTATATACTATATATAACTGACAACACAACTAACTTATACAATATCTTTAGTTATTTTACTACAGGACTAATAAAATCACTTTGACTGCAATACCAGTGCTTAACTCACTGTAAATAATATGCAATACATTTTGTGTCTATAATACTAACTGTTACGCCAGTATTATTGATATTGTTTTGTTGGCTAATATTTGTTATGTTTGTTGGGATGAGAGATTTGCTGAAAGATTAACTTTTATTGGTAATTATTATTACTATTATTACAACTATTTGTAATATAAGGTACACTTTTAATGTTGCTTTTAATCGTTTTAATATTGAGTTTTGTGTCACATTTTATTGGTTTTATTTCTAATTTATTTGTTATGTCAATTTTAATAAGTTATGTTTGCAATTTAACATTATTTTTAAAAGTTTTATGTTACTTAAAAAAATAATTTAACTGTAAATTAATAACAATAATCATAAAAATTAATTGTTTTTGGGTTTTATTTAAGTTTTGTACTACAGTAGAACTTATTTATTAAGACATTTAAATGATTTTTCTTTTTTTTAAACAAATCAAATGTCTAAATATTACTAAACAAGGCTTAAATTAATTTTATAATCATTATACTTAATATTCAAAATGTTTATACAAACTTTACGATTTTATATAAAATTATAGTTAAAATAATAGCAATTTTCATCACTTTATAATTGCATGACTTCATTCAATAATTAACTGAATTTTTTTTATAATTTTTTTTCTTTAAAAAATCAACACTCGTTTGAACGCCTCTTAAGCTAATAATTCAATGTTAAGAAACAAACAAAAAACTTGATCTCAAAATCAAACACAGTTTACAAATATGCTGTAATAATGATATTATCTGATATAGTGGTATAAGTGGTGATCAAAGCAGGTGTTAGTGTTATATAGTAGTTGTTAGCACTTCTCTAATACTGTATTTCCTCTCAATCGACACATACAACTCGCACTATAATAACAGCTAATCCTTTATATGAGAAAATAACGACAGAAAATGTTATAAAAACTTAACCAAAAAATCACATTAAAAAAGAGTGAACTTTATTTATATAACATTTGCAGTCAAATCTGCAATTGGATGTCGACTTTATTTAGAAACCTAAATCTGTTGCTAYACTTATATTGTTTACAATCTCTCTCTCTCTCTCTCTCTCTCTCTCTCTCTCTCTCTCTCTCTCTCTCTCTCTCTCTCTCTCTCTCTCTCTCTCTTACTCACTCTCTCATTGATTATAATCGATTCAAGAAAATAAAATCTAATTATATTTGTGTGGAAACATTTGTTTCTGAAGTAAAGCCGTTTAGTTTGAGAGCAAATATTTTATGTTTTAAGTGAAGGCAATAGAGAATTGTTTGATACAAAGTCATAACATTGTTCTCCCCGTTACTCGTTATTGAAAGTTGAAAAATTGTCATTTATAAGGGAAAGTCATATATTAATAGAAAGATAGATAGATTGATAGGAATTTAATAGACAGACGGGGAGAGAGAGAAAAATATTAAATAAATGTCAAAAAATATAACGATATCTTACGCCATGTGCTTAAAAATTCAAAGCCCATAAAAGCTATGCATAAAATTACAGTATTTATATATATTAAGCAAAAAATGCTGTGTTTTATGTTATTTCAATTATATTGAATGCAAAAGTCACGCGTAAACTAATATAAAAATCATAATTTAAAATTCATTAAAGCAATTTGTGTGATACAAATGTTACAACAAAAATATTATATAACTGAATATTAAAGTATGTTATAAATTTCATGCACAAAGATATTTATATTAAAAATGTTATATAAAATAAACAAAATAATGATCACAATTTACATTTTTTGTTATTATTTTTAGTTATAAGCAATTGCTAATTATATATATATATATATATATATATATATATATATATATATAACAAATATGTTTCTTATATATGATTAAATATATGTATACATATATGAAAATGTTTGATAAAATTACATAAAACACGATATATTTATGTATCACTTTAATAAAATAATTGTTGCCATTCATTGCATGCCATTATTTTATTTGTCATCATTGAAGTGCATTTAATGCTCTGACAATAAGCAATATATTTTTGAAACATATCATAAATATTTGATATATTATATGAGCTATTAGTTTGATATGTGATCTAATGATTGTTATACAATAACTGTGATAATCATAATATAGAAAATAATGAAATAAATTTGACATTAAATCCTCTTATTTTGATACAAATTTATACAATATATTTTATAAATAAATAATAATTATAATAAATAAGAAATAATTYATTAATTAATGCATATTTTGTTTATTATATGAATTGTGTAAATGAAAAGAATCCAATAAAAAAAGTTTAATATTTTAGTGATGCTATAAATGCTATTTTGATTTGTTAAGAATTTGCAAATCAATAAAACAATAATAATTTATTTTCATGTATTTGGTTTGTTTTTTATTTTGAATAATATATCAAATTATTAAAGTATTGATCGATTTTAAGATCATTTATTGGTTTATCTATAAAAATTGGATCATTTATTGAAATCATTGTTAAAGGATATTGTCTGAGAAAGAAATTATAAGAGTTTTTTCTGTTATATAATGTTATAATCATTGAAAGCATAGAAAGAATTCTAACTTTTAATATAATGGCAAACCTTTAATAAATAAAGAGAATTGTAGCGCAAATTTGTTGCTTAAAGCACTCATAAATTCATTGTATTGACTGCCTATTTGTGCCACAAAAATATGATTACTGATCATTCTCTGCTCAAACAATATATAAAATGCATTTTCTTTCAACAATTTTCTATCAGAAAAAAGTTGAAAGAAATGCCGACTTTTACTCTTCATATCTGTAAAACAGAGATCAAAAAGTTAGTTCTCTCTCMTTCTCTCTCTCTCTCTCTCTCTCTCTCTCTCTCTCTCTCCACCATTCAATGCTTTATATGATTACTTATGTTTGATCTAAGATTTACTGAAAAAGACTTTATTCACATATGGGTTGGTATTAGTCTTATATTAAATATAAGAGACACTTATTGTTGATCTGAATTGAGATGCATTTCCAGATTGACTTGTTTTTAAGTGCCTCACAAAATGACAATCAAAGATAACTTAAAWTTTATTAATTTAAGTGTCGGCTTCAATAAAAGTGTTTTATTTCCAAAAATAAAATTAAAATGTTATTAAATAATAATTTTATTTATTTTTTATTGAATAAAATCAAAGAATTGTGAATTAGTAGAAATGAAATTTAAAAACAACAAAAGTTATAAGATTTGTTGCTTAACAACAATTGTATGTTATATTTGTTCAGATGATTGCAAAAGTGTATTGCTTTTTATGGTCAGTAAAGAGAAAGTGTTGATTATATGCTATATGAGTCCTATCTGTGAGATGTTGGTCCCTATTGGTTATGCTTTGTCATTGAATTATTAGTTGAAAGAGTAGGTCCACAAAAATCCAAGAGACTTACCACTTATAACGAGTCGATAACTCTGTGGAAATGTAAGAATAGACTTAGTCTTAGAGGTTTGGGAAACAAAATAAGTGTCGAAAACTGTACACAAAAAGTAGTGATAGAAATGCTTTTATATGTTTGTCTCATACGCTGTGAATCTGTGAATGCATTTTCAGTACCTCTCTTGTGGACAGACATTCCGGTGGGAGTATTATAAGTGAGCGATAAAAAGCAAATAATGCCAAAAGTGGCCACAAATTTAGTTTCGCTTCTTTGACTTTTCACTCACACTTTCTCTCTATTGGTTTGAGGTTTTTTTAAACACTATTCATATGAAAGTTAGTATTTGGATCACCAGTTTTGTTACTTTTGATTTTGATTTCAAGCGTTTATTTTTTTCAATCAAATAAAAACATTTTTGTTTTGACTTTGTTTCTTATATTATCTTAAATATTTTTCCATTTATTTTTCATTATTTATTTGCCAAAGAATTTATATAAATTGAAAACTTATGCATTTTAATAGCCCAAACAAAAAGCAAAATTGAAATTTCATTGGAAAAAATGATAAATGACTTTAACATATCATATCTTATATGAAAAATGGTTTATAATATTCGTCTCATGTTTTGTGAATCAACAAAATACAAGACATATAGACATATACTGAATACCTTAAATATATGATATATTTTTAGACAAATAATCACCAAAAATGAAAATATTTTTGCTGTGCTTTGCATTTCATTTCTATCTTTTTTACATATTGTTTGTTTGACAGTATTTATTATTAAAAATAGTCAATCATTTAAACAATAAGTGCTTTTAAAATAATACCAAAAAATTGTATGCGTGTGTCTCTCACTTGAAAATCAATATTATTTTTAATATTGATGAAACTATCACGTCTACAGTACAATTAGAAATGGGCAAATAAAAATTTCTAATAAATTTCCCTGAAAAAATTTCTATTAAATTTCTCAGGAAAAATTTCTATAGAAATTTTACTTTATTATTACACTAGGGATCCCCATATCTATAACTATTGTAATACTATATTAATGAGACAATACACATATACTATACAAATGGGATCCCTATTTATAAAATAATTATAATTCTAGTTTATTTTTAGTTAAAATTTTATTAATCATTTAACTATATTTTTAGTTTAATATAATTAAAAAGATTAATTTTTACTTTAATTATTAATTAAAATTACTTGTATCCATAATGTATTTTTAAAAGATAACTAATATTGAGACAACAAAATTAACATGAAGATCCCATAGACAGAAATTTCTTTTAGAAACTTTTTAGAAATTTCTCTTTTTTTGCCAAAATTGTAGAATACATTAACAAATATTGTTAAAACTTATGATGACTTTGTGTGAAGAGTGAGAGATTTGAAAACAAAGATTGAAACTTCATATCCATTTTGTGAATATTATTAGAGATAAAATATAAAAAATAGAGATAAACTACAATATTTTGTTATAAAATAATGACAAACACTTTATGGTACAAAAGCGTTGCATATTATTTAACTTCAACACACAATATAAACAATAACTTCAAAATAGTTTTCAGCATAAAATAAAAATGCTTTTAAAACAAGAAGTCAATGTCTGTATGGATTCAATGTTTGCCAATTGTTTTAACTCTATATTTGCTCTAAAATTTATTTTTTCCAGCAAACGATGCATAAAAATGATAACTCTATCGAAATTTTTGTCATTATTTTAAATTAAGATTAGTTTATAAACAATAAATATATTTAATTTGTTAAAATACTAGATTTTCAAATAATATTAATAAGTATATTATAATTTATAAAGTATTCTACTGCACATTAATAATATAATTTTAATATAAGTATAATTAAATGAGTGAATGAACTTTTATTTAAAAATATTTGTTTATTATTCATAGTATAACAATTATAAAATATATTTTTATTAATCTAATTTATATATATATTTTAATAATTTTTTTTATAATTTTTTTGTTAATAAATATATATCTAGAGGTTAACTTCTAGTAAATGATTTTTCTCAAAACTCAAAACAAAGTAAAACAAATATAAATGATTAGAAAAAACTAAATACTAATGTTTGTAAATTTTATCTTTATATCTTACAAATAAATGAGTTAATAAAATACACTTTCATTTTTATTAATAAATTGGAGATACTTTCTACTAATTGCAATAAACTGTATAAAAATTAGTTAATTAGTTTCAAGATATATAATATGTATGTTTAATGTATAAACACAGCTTTGTAAAGTACTATATTGTAGGTATAATCATTAAACTAATATATAGTTAACTTTAATAATGATTTATCAATAATTTATAGTGATATTAATTTACAGTTTAACTGATAGTAAATTAGTGAAAKGTCGGTCCAACCCAACCCGTACGCAAATCCCAACCCATTGCGATCTCTATTTCTATTTATTGATAAATTCATTAATATAAGTGACAATAAAACTAATACTAATAAGAAAATTGATGTGAAAATTGACGGTAATTATAGCTGATCTCAGATAATGTATGAGACATAGACTAYTTGAGTGTCCATTAAACTCGGACTAAAGTGTCAAATATAGTGGTGTTGGATGGGTTGGCACGTCTACCGATTTCAACCAATTTGTCTATACTTTTCAAATGACATGCCATCGGAAATAACGTCATTAATATAACCAGTATATATATATAATATATATATATATTTGAAAAATGCCTTATATTAAGTATATACAGTAGTAGAGAATATTTATGAAAAATATTATATAACTATAGCTATAATACTATAGTACTATGAATGCCATAAATAGAGAGTTTGACAATTGATGGACTCAACTACTATAGTAATTGTCAGCACAACAACAATTGATGGCCAATACAACACCTGAGACCACAAAACACAAGTTTAAACACTGAATGATCGCATTTAATGCCTTTGGGCTGATTTGGTGACCATTTATTCAATGAATTACCAAAGAGTTTGGTCACTAATAGTTTGTTATTGTCTTTTTGATTGTCTCTTTCTTTACATTGACTACAATGACTGCAACAATGAATGTTTGGATAAAAAAGAAAAAGAAGTCTATTTATATGCATTAAAGCCTTTACCAGTCAATCCTAAAAACCTTATTATTGCCTAAACTCTCTCTCTCTCTCTYTCTCTCTCTCATCCCTTATATTGTTATTTATTATATTATGTGATATTGTATTAGACTAACAGTTTAGGGCCACAACATTCATACAAACACAACCAATTACTTTATTGTTTGGTAAACACATTGCAATCATATTAAATTCTATAATAATAAATGGGTTTAAATTATATTTATGTTTCAATTTCTATTAAAATTTAGAGATATCATTGAACTCTAGTTGTACCTTAAAATATGATAAAATATTATGCGCTTATAATCTTTATAATATGCTATTGTGTAGTGAATTGAATGCTTGGTATTAAATTTTATGTATAATATGTGTTATTATTATCATCTAAAGGCAAGAATTTTCTAATAAACATTTCTCACATTTTTGGCATTACTTTTAGGTCCAGATTTCTGGGGACGTCTTAACCCAAAGTGGAGTCTCTGTAGTCGTGGTCGACGTCAGTCTCCTATTGATATCAATCCAAAGCTGTTATTATTTGATCCAAATCTAAGTCCACTTCATGTGTACGGCGATTATGTGAGTTATGTCTTTCAATATTATTCACTCATTATTTAGTAGTCTCTATATACACTAATTATGGACTCCAATGGCTCACACTTTATTAAGCTCTAGATTTAAAGGCATATAATTTATTATTATTATACGTATAGATAGTTTACATCAAAATATACTTTTGGATTAAAAACATACAAAAAATTTCTATACATATTCTATATATATTTTACTCTACAGTATACTAAGATATTTTGCATAATTAAACATAAATTTGAAAGTTTAAAAATCCAGCGAAAAATTTTTAACTAATACTATATTTACAAAAAGTTTAACATAATTAACATACAGATAATGAATATAATATATGACTAATTATTTTTGCAAACAATAATAATAAAAACAAAGTTTTATATTCATTTATATTATGAACAATAAAATTGCATTTAATAGTTATGAATGTTTACGATGAAAAAGTTTACCATAACTTAGGTTTTAACAAAATAGCTATGTATTGTGTGGCAAACCGTATGAAAAATAGTTAATATATATATATATAAGAGAGAGAGAGAGAGAGAGAGAGAGAGAGAGAGAGAGAGAGAGCTCATTGTTCATCGTTTACACACATTTTAAGAGTAAATGTCATAAGCATTCAATTATTTGGTGACACTTTTGTTGATAATAAAAATGATATCCAGAATTGCATACAGAATTTGTTGTCATATATTTTTAGTTTAATGACAAACTGTAATGAATTAAAATCTATAACTTAAATATATAGTAGTATTCGTATATATAATTCTTATATCACTTTTTCTGTGAATATTTATTTTGTCATATTTTATATTTAAATTATCAGTATATTTATTAAATTTTACTTTATTAATATTATATTATGTATACTATATATTTATTATAGATGAAAATAATGTGTTATACATTTGTAAGTTATGTACAATAGTAAACCTTTTTTTGTCATAAAATACAATATAATATTTGTTATTTATAATATATAAATATATTTTCATCTCTTCTAAAACTATTTCTTTTCATTTACTTTATTGAAAACGTGATTCAAATATATTTCAGAAAGTTTTTGTATTTATTTTCATTTTTTAAATACAAATTTAAGTTTTGACAGTTTTTGGTTTTCTTCACCACAACTATAAATAATATTCATATTTATAATATATGGTAACATAATAATTAAATTTAGCGATTAGTGAATTATAACTAAATTATTTTTAAAAAAATTATGAATAATTATTATTAAACTATTATATTAAAAAACATTATTATGTGTTAAAATATATACTATAGTTTAAAACGTATAGTAAAATGATAAATTAAAGTTATTTTTATATTGTAATTGTAATAATTATTAGATAAGTGGTAATCTACAGAACAGTGGTCGCGGAATCATATTTAAGGTGAGCTCCAATCGCACAGTTATTATAAGTGGTGGTCCGCTATCATATCAGTACACATTGAAAGAAATGATATTACATTACGGGCGCGAAAACGATAGGGGATCTGAACATACAATTAGTGGCCATCAATTTCCTGCCGAAATTCAATTGTATGCCTTTAATTCACAATTATACGCCAATTGGACGACAGCCCAGAGCGAAGCTAATGGTGTGCTCGCTATTGCCGTACTTATAGCACATACACAACAATCGATTGGAGGAAATGCACAGTTAAAACACATCACACACACACTCAAGAATATCACTGCCAAAGGTATCAATTGGTCTACAATTTTATTGCCATAAGTTTCATACCATTTATCTATATTGCACTCAAAAACTAATATTTGGATTTTTTGCTAACTTTACAGTTTTACTTTAGAAACATAACTGTAAAAAATGTTTTTATTACTATTCATTGACTCCTATCTATTATATCATAAATTCAATGTTTATATTTATTTTTCTTATAGTGTATATTCAATTCAGTTATTTTTGTTTAGCTAAGTTCACAATTAAAATATATATTAATAATTTTAATTTTTTATATATTTCATATATTTTATTTCATAAAGTTTTATTTAAAAAAATAGATAATTATTTATTAATAATTTAAAATTTCCAAGAAATTGTATAAAGGTTTACTACAATCTATAAAAATCTAGAAACTTTGCAATAATTATATCTTTAATTATTGTATAAAACATATTTGACTATATGTTTGACATTTCTATTTAAAAGTTTATTACAGCTTTTGAAATACAAAGTTTTAATAATTAAGATGTTATAAACATTTTCATCTTATTTTTCTTATTCATAACTTTTAATTGCATGTAATTAGGAGTTTCTCTGAGGAATATATAATGACTTAATTTTTAGAGCAAATATTTTTAAGTCAATAAAATCGTTTATAAACACTTGCTTTCAGAACATCATTGAAGTACATGTTTTCCCAAAATTAATATTTCGTTAAAATTCATAATTATATATTGATATCATAGTCTGAATAAAAGTAATTATTTTTGTAATTAAAGCTTATATTTTATATTTACATTTTTAAAAATTGAAATTTATATATGAATTGTTTTTTAAAATTTTATATATTATGAAATAAATTAAAATTACGATTTTTTACAAAATAAGCAAATTAAGTCTGTTTTTAATCATATTTGTCACGTTATCTTTATTTTTTTTCTACTAGTATTAAGAAATAAATTTTAATTATTATAGATAAAAACATGTATTTACTATATTAACTTTAACTTATATAAAATAGAGTATTTTTATCTATATTACGGCACCTTTTATTTTTGATGTTTAAATAAATTTATTGAAAGCAAATCAAAATATTACTTTTAGATGACTATGATTTAATAATAATTATAATCTGTTAAATTTATTTATATTAAATCAATAAAAATATTGCATTAAATTTAGTACTATAGATTGTAAAAATGATATTGAAATTGAAAATAGTAATAATACTATATATTTGTAACGAAAAGTAGCAAATCTATTATTAATTGTAATTAATATAAATGTAGTGAAAGTATTTTCTATATAAATGTCAATAATATAAATAATTAGTTGAAAGTAATTCATTAGTTTTAATGGCATTTATTTTTAAAGGTGACAATCAATGGATTAGTTCGTTGAGTATCAGAGAATTATTGCCGACATTGAAGTATTACATAACATATGAGGGATCACTAACACAGCCGTCTTGTCACGAAACGGTCACTTGGATTGTATTAAATAAACCAATTTATATGACTGGACATCAGTTTCATCAGTTGAGGACAACTATGCATAGCGATGGACACGGAGACAACTTTAGGCCACTCCAGCCAATCAATCACCGCGTTATGAGAACTAGTATTAACTTTCAGGTATTGATTCTGAATGTTGTTTGGCTAACAATTTGATAAAATTAATTAAATATTACATTACATTACACTTTGTTTATATTCAACAAATACAATGAATTCTATATTCAGTTAATACTAAACAAAGAGAATTTTAATGTATTTTATTTTTAGTTAAGAATTTATGACTTAAGGCTACAAATTTTAAAACATTTGTTTTACACAAAACACTATTTAATAATTTATTAAATAATTAAATTCCATGAAATCTTATTTTTGTTTAATAAAAATTTTAAACATTCAAATAACATTAACTTTAATAAATAAAACGTTTGATATCTGCTTTTGTCGCCCGACTTTTAATTATAAATTTATGTATAAAAGAATAAAATTCAAGTAAACAACAAAAAAGACAAATGTATTACAAATTTTTGAAAACTGAAAAATATTTTTCATATAAAGTTTGTATATTATGTGTTGTTATTTGTAACTCTTTATCAGATCAACAACAATATTGTTATAGTAATACAACATTGGATAACAAAGTTTCGAAAGTTTTTTTTAATGTTACACTTTATCCTTCAATCTGATCACGTATTTGATGAAAAACTTATCGTATCTTTTGTTATCAAATATTTTTTTATGTTTAGATTTTATTGTTAAAGTTGTTGTATAGTTGAAGTAAAAAACAGTTTTTGTGGTTTTTTTATAAAATCATATTTGATTGTAATCTATATAATGCCTATTATTAGAAAATATATGATCAAAAAATAATCAAAATATTTTAAAAAATAATTTACAATTGCACAATATATAGTATATATATATATATATTGTTAAAATAACTAAAAACTATTAGAAAATATTACGTTTTATTATAAGAAACACTTTAAATGAGAATCACATATAATTGTTTAGCCGTTTTATAATTATAATTGAAATCAATATTTAGTATTGCATTAATTTCTTTAGATTTAAAAACTTTTTTTTAAGATTAATGTGTCATTAATTTGTAGTGTCTTTTAAAAATACTGATACTTTAAACTTAATCTAATAATGTATTCTTAACTGTTAAGCATCAGTTGTTTCAACTTTCAATTATATTAGACATACACTCAATTTATTAGGGATTTAAGTTACACACACAATAATTATTGATTAAAATTAAAAACAAAAAAATTGTTTTAGTATAATCAATTCAAAGTGTGATAGCTGTATGTGTAGTAAAAAACCAGTGATCAAACAATGTTAGTAATACTACATATTTTTTACTCAGAAGTTTTTTTTACTGTTTTTTTGTGTATCGATAAACACCTCTCATATAATCTCTTAAAATACACTGTTATTAATAATAAATTAGAGACATATGTTTATGTTCTTAATTATAGTTAATTATCAAAGAGTTAATCAAAATGTAATCAATCATTTTGTTGTTGTTTTTAAGGATCAAACCAATGAAGTAAGCATTGACTTCAAACAATCACACCATAAGAAGGCCTCGATGTGTACTATGGAGAGGTCGATGATGTATAGAGGTTTGCCTACAGTTTCTTACATTTATTAGTTTTTCTTATCTATGAATTTGGTTTTATTTATCAAATTTCCGTACGTCCTAAACATTTTATCATAAAGATTATTAAATTATTTTTAATAGTAAATCTAAAATATATTTTCCATTTAAGACGCCCACAATAATTGTGGAATCAGTTAATAAAATTAAAATTTATTATATATTTATTTAATAAGTTATAAATTAAATGATGAAATCTTGATAGCAAATTTCAATATTTTATCTTAATAAAATTATGAGTATTATAATTATAAAATTTAAAATATTACTTTAAAAGTAGATTTAAATTTGGCCCGAATTATGTCAATAAGGAATATTTTTTTATTTAATATAAGATAATAGTGTTTTTTTAACATCAAAAATAGTAAATGAAAACATTTTTTTCATTAATAGTTATTTCTGACGACAACCTTTCGAAGATAATTCACAGAATTAATAACTTTTTAAAAATTAACAGATATTTTCTTATTATTATTATTAGTGATTAAAATTAAAAATTATATTTTTATATCATAACTTTGATTAGTATTTTTATTTTCAAGACATCCGACGAATTATAATTTTATTTAATATTTTTATTTATCATATAATGTGTTAAATGATAAAATTTAGATTTTTTAGTTAATTTTTTCTTGAGTAAATTATATTTTGATGATACATTTAAATAAAGTGATTATTTTGATAGGACTTTATCGAGGTACTTTATAATAATATCATTAGTAATTATAATAAATAAAATTTATTTGTTTACTATAATTTACTAATTAATAGTATTTCATTATTTATTTATAAAAGTATAAACGTGTATTTTTATATGTAGTTATTTTTTAATTTAGTATGAAATTAGTGTATTACTTTATGACTACTCTTTATATGATATATATGTAAAACTATTTTTACAAACCAGTTATTTTATTTTATGGTTTTGACTACACTTTATCTATTAAGTGAAAGGATGAGTATATAGTTTTTGTTATCACATATATTGAGGAAATAGAAACTGAATTTAACAAAACAATTGACTACAAATAAATATATTGACAAATAAATAAATTTAGTAAAAAACAAAAAATATTAGACTTAGTAGATCTAGTATTGTTTAGCTATAATATAGTTATATAAATCTAAAATTTAGTCAATAACACCATATTAGGGTGTGAAAGGGCAACCATTGAACAAATAGTTTTATGTATTTTATAGTAAATTATATTCACTCTTAAGTCCATCTGCTACCAGTGCACTGTAAAAACCTATATAAATAGTATGTATGCTATTGAGAGGTTCCCCAACATATGTCCCTTCAATATATATATATATATAWATATATATAAGTAAAATCAACTCATATTTCTGATGCCTTTACTAACACACAAAACTCTATTTTATTTTCTTTTTTTTTTGTAGCAAACATTAAACTAAATTCTGAAGCATTGAATCACTTATAACTAAAAAGATGCACTTTATATATATATTATATATATTACAATATATAGAATATTCTATATAAAAGTATATAACAATATTTTCGACACAAATACATCTAAAACAAAGTTTCAAATGTATCTAAAAATAACAATATTATTGTTTGTGAACACTTGAGACTAATTTATTGTTTAGAAAATATCTATCGCTTCTCATATATATTCTATAATAAGATTTGTGAAAAATATAAGGATCTCTCGTTCACTGACTCTCATGAGATAACTGTGCGATGAAAGGCAACGTTGGAGCAAACATTTACACCAATTGTAACAACACTTCATTTGGTTACCTAATATCATATTAGATGCCAAAAATTAACCTGAAATCCGATGAGAAAACTTGCTGTAAGTTATGATATATATTATAGTAATAAATAATAACTTCATTTTTTTGCAAAGATTTAAAAAAAATAATAAATATACGATTGTATTATAAGATTTGCATAACATATTTAATATTTATTGAATGCGTATAATGACTATAAATTTATTTTTAACTTTTGATTTTTTATAAAATATAAAATCTGAACATTATTTGAATTACTTAAGTTTAATAAATGTCTGTCCCATTCAAAGGCTTACATTATTAATTTATTTTATTAATATATAATATTAAAGGCTATTATTTAATATAAAATGAAAATCTATAAAATCTATGTATTATATTATACAGTACTGTTAAATTATAATTTATATATTTTATAACAAAGGATTCAATATTATAATTGAATTACAGGTATATAATAAAAGAAAATATACATTTGAAACAAAATATTATATGATATATTTATACCGCATAATAATACTTTGTTTTTTAAATGAAACTCAAACATCTGTTTCAATAATTATTAAGTTTCAAAACTCCTCAAAAAAATTGATTTAACTTCAAATTTATTTGCTTTTTGACTCTCAATTTATAAAAATTGTCACAAGTATTATATTGAATTTTACTATTAAATAAAATCTAAAAATGTATAATTAAAATTTATAATATTATTAAAGTATAATACAATATAATATTTACTAGATATAATTTTTAAACAAAAATAATAATTAAATTTCAAAATATATAAATATTGATAAATCATTAAATTTCAGTTTTCATTTTTCATTAGTCAGTATATATTTGATGAATTAATATTTTTTGTTATCATTTTAATATATTGATATAGTAATACAAAGTTGAATATAATTATTATTTAACAATCAATTATCTCTTTCATTGTCTGTCTTCAAACCTCTCCCTCTATTTTTTCAATAAGTGCTGATCCATGTGCTTGAGCTTAAAGAGTAAAGTCAATTGAAGATAAAATTAATTAAATATTAGAGAGAGAGAGACTCCTCTTTGGGTTTGACAATGAAATAATGCAGAATTTTAGTTCATTTTATATCACTATATATTCACTATTATGCCGTTTGGCTGTGTTTGGCGTCTGATAACAATTTGGAGGAATAATGATTACTATTTTTCATATGACTACTACTGTGAACAACAAAATAAAAATATTATAATTATTGTTATTTTTTGCTTACGTTTTTAAATGCAAACTTAATATATCAACGGTGATTATAATGACTGTCACTAACAAGCATTTAATATTTTTTATCTTTTCCTTTCATACACACATACACACATACACACATACACACATACACACATACACACATACACACATACACACATACACACATACACACATACACACATACACACATACACACATACACACATACACACATACACACATACACACATACACACATACACACATACACACATACACACATACACACATACACACATACACACATACACACATACACACATACACACATACACACATACACACATACACACATACACACATACACACACACACACATACACACATACACACATACACACATACACACATACACACATACACACATACACACATACACACAACAGATAGAAAGAGAGATCAATTATTTATATTTTACAAAAAGTATTTTGATTGACAAGTATTAACTTAAATTTAAATAAAATATTATATAATGCATTTTAATCTTATGATTGACTACACATAATAATAATATGTAAACTCATCAAATAATATCAAACAAAAAAACCTAATTGTTATTTTCAAGAAAGAAAAAACAAAATTTATCCATTTGTTTATAGTTTATTAAATTATTTATTTATATTAAGTAATGGTTACCAAAATAATATGATTATTGATAAATGAATCCATACATAACTTGCGGGTCAACTACTAAATGGACAGTTTTGGACTGTAAATCATACGGTAATATAAAACAGAGACAAACATACATTCACTGGGGATTGTCTTTCAATGGGAGACTCAAAACATGATATAAAATAAATATATTAGAAATATATGAGAAAATATATATGAGATTGCATTTGAAGAATGATAAGTAGTTTGTTATACAAAAAGAAAAATTAGTTTTATTGCAACAAATCACGCATTTTCTCTATAATTCATGACTTTTTTGTCCTCTATATTGCAACCAAATAATAATCATCGATATATTATATATTTTATGTAATAATTTTCTAATATTACAGCCTTATATGTAAACACATTTGAAATATAAATTATATTTATGATATTAACAATGTTTTACTTAAAATATCAATAATATTTATTTACATTAAAACAATTAGCACTAAATTAATTCATTCATTAGTTTATGTAAATTTTATTGCTTAACAAAAATATAGTGTATTGTATATTAAAAGCAATTATATAGTATTTGTTTTGTACTTCAATATTGAGTATCAAATAGTTTTCATTTTATAGCTACAGATGTCTTGAGTAGACTTGATTTATACTGTAAATAGTTTTATAGTTCAAGAATATTCTGCACACAAATCTCTGCTATTCTTTCATTTTTTCTTTAATTTATAATATAAAACAAAACTACATATCGTTTAATATTTTATGAGTATATATATATACAAGTTTTTTTTTATTTATATAAAAGCATAAATTTTTAGTTTATAAAATTGACGAAAAAAGTACTCGACATGGTTTTTTGGATATAACGTTTAAAATTATTAAGAATTTTGTTATTAATAAGGAATAAGTGTTAAAATATTATAAAATTTTACAAATTATGACTCAGGAATGTTCTATTGTATATCTCAAAAACAATAAGTAATATTAAGTTTGTTTTAAAAACTCATATATTAGCTAAAACTTAAAATAAAATGTTTCGGAAATTTTCTCAAAAATATGTTGCATTCGAATAAAAATGAATAAATAGAAAATTTGTAATATGGTGTGTAAAGTGTGTAAAGTGTGTAAAGTGTGTAAAGTGTGTAAAGTGTGTAAAGTGTGTAAAGTGTGTAAAGTGTGTAAAGTGTGTAAAGTGTGTAAAGTGTGTAAAGTGTGTAAAGTGTGTAAAGTGTGTATTGCTATATTGTTATGGTATTGATATACTTATTGTATAAAAATAGTTATAAATATCATTATTGTATTAATAAACAATAAGATTGTATACAGTAAATTATTTCAATATCACTTATAGTTTTTAATCTATATTTATTACATTATAACATCCGTTCAATGCTTTTATAATACCAAAAAATGATGTTAGTTTAACTTTATAACTTTAATAGTTATAGTCTAAAAAACCGTGCCAAGCATTTTTGTCTCCAATTTTATATACAACATACTATATATATATATATATATATTTCATTTATATATTTGAATGTATTGGTTATATCATTGATTTTGAAGACCTCTCCTATCAGTCATCATTGTTGACATCAAAAGCAGAAAAATAGATTATGTTTTTTAAAAAATGAATGCATTTCTCAATGAAATGTGTCATCCGTTAGGTTTCACACGATTGCTGACATTTATATACATATATATATATATATATATATATATATATATATATATATATATATATATATATATATTTAACTAAATATATATCAATATATAGTTGAGATATATTTTTGTTATTATTGGTGTTGTTGTCTGGCAGTTACAATCCCTCCCTTTCCAAAAAAAGTAAAACACAAATTCCTTTATTATTTAAGTATTATTAAAAAAATTTTTGTTGATTTTGATTGATTTGCAACAAAACTTATATAATAAATAATATATATATACTGTATATATAACAACAAAAACAAAACATTATTTGTAGGAAATGGTTCACAGAATTATTGTTAAAACATTTTTATAACTCTTATACATGGAATTGACATATTTTTTTAAATATGTATTTAAAATAAATAATGATTTTACTGAATAATTTATAATTTTGTTTTAAAATATCTATTTATATAAATATAAATATTGAATTATTAAAGAATGTATTTATAAATTTTTAAAAATATTGAGAAATAATATTATGACGATATTTATTAATATGATTTTATTATTTATTGATATCATATATAAGGTTAAGTGAATAGTTATAATATTATAATTAATATACAGTACCAATGGGAATAAATTAATAAATTATTATACAGTTTTATTAATGTTTTGTAGATATATTATAAAATAGTTTCTCTTTACTGACGCAATAAATAATGTATGATTTATAATTTGATTACATAATAACAATAATAATTCAATTTATTTAATATTAATTTATTACATAAGTTGTAATTTAAGATATGTTGTGAATATTTTGTTATAAATCATTGAAATTTGATATTTGATTTAGAAGAAAGTATAATAAAAAAATATTTTAAAAATTGTAATTATAAAATCATTATTATAACTTATATTTATTATATCATTTGGCATTAAACCGGTATATTAATTTGCTATTAATTTATACTACACACAAGTATTATTTATCAATTGATTTTATAAAATTTTCTAGCAATACAGTATAATTAAAGTTAATGTATATAATAAAATTACAAGTATTGTATTTATAAATAGTGTTTTCAGTTTATAAAATATAAAACTAAAACCAATTACAGTATTTAAATAAATTCAAAATGTGTTATTTTACATAATATAATACTTTGATTAAACTCTAAACTATCATTTCTGTACATTTACTGTATTTTTATTGAAATTTCAATTTATTTCAGTTATTCATTGAAAATAATGCTTTGACTCGAAATTAGTTTTTTTCAAATTACATTCACTTTATTTATACAATTATTCACAAAATTGTCGCAAATCTATACAAAAAACACATTTTACTATAATATAAATTCCTTTATTTAACATAACTTTTGCAAAACATAAAATACAAATAATTTATTAAGAATTTTTTGTTTAATTTATAAGCAATTTTGCAATTGGTTTTCAAAAACAATAGACTCTTTTTAGTAATTACTCGGTATATCTGAGAGAACTCTTATATTAGTCGATGTTTTTGTGCCATTAAATAAACTTTTTTTATCTAAATCACTGACACTCTGTAATTAACTTTTATTTGCTTAAAATGAAATGCAATTCACATTTACTCATATATATATATAGTACGATATATCCTCTCTTTTTTTATGGTTGAACACACACTTGAAGCTACCGGTGCTAAACAACCCTTACCTCTTGTATTAAATATCTATTTTTTACTTTTTCATTTGCACTTTAATTGTAGGAATGCATTGATTGATAATTTTTATCCGACTCTTCTTTACTATTATGTGTCTGTAATTTATACTCATAAAGACAATAGTTATTTGTAATTACAAATATAACTGAAAATTACACATATATTATATAATAAATTAAAGAAATAAATGAAATTTAGTTCAAACTTTTATTGTTATTTTGTGCGAACAATAATTTGCTATAAAAACAAAACAAAGTTAGACTTATTAATTAACGTTCATTTTTCTCACTTTCTTACCATTTAATCCTTATTTTTATCGTAGTTTTTGACCATAACTTGAAACAAAAGTGACATTAGTTTGTTTGACATCTCAACAGTACAGTCTTTGATGGGAACCGGCAGTTGTTATTACGATAGACATCCGATAGTTAATCCGTGTCAGAGGACAGCCTTTTCACACAACACTGACAACGACTTCACATATATTCTTAGTAATTATTGTCTGCCAAGTCTGGCACTGGTAGTCAATATCTGCCATTTCAATGGTGGTTAGGTATCAAAAAAGATTATAAGGATTGAAAGCAAAGTTAATGATAACTTCAAATAAAAGTTAGGATTCTATGTCTTAATTCCTCACTTAATGTTAAGATGAGATTAATTGATGAGATTATTATCGGTTAAAGAAAAAGAGAAACTATTTGTGATTTTACTTAATGACAAACAAACTTATTGTCAATGAAATTAAAGTCAATAAAAATTTTATAAAAAGTAAAAATTATTCATAAAAAGCTAAAAATTATGTAAAATTAACTTAGATTTATTAAAATAATATCAAAACATTAATTAATTTAGTCAACTTTCAAAATCATAAATATTATATTTTATTATAATAAATTTAAATTATAAATAGATGTCATTCAGAAAAGGCGTTCAAAGAAAATGAGAGAAATTGATTTAGAAAATACATGTATTTAATATAAAACTAATATGTATTTAATAAATTTTAGGAAAGGGTTAAAGATGTCTTTAAATCTAAATATTAAATAAAGTTAATACTATTTAGCATATGTTTATTGAAAATGTGTTTATTATATCTATTAATTTTTTATGATATAATAAATGCACTTAATTTATTCATAAAAATATTTAAAATATATTGTAAATTAAATTTATTATAATAAAATATAATAATTGACAAGAATTAAATTGAGTTGCCGTAACATTAAATGATATAACTTAGTTTTTAAAAAAATCAATTTTATGTAAAAAATAATATTTGTTATATTAAAATCTTAAATTTATATAATATAGTGCCGTCTTGTTGTTTGTGCAATCATTAATATATTGCAACAAAATTCAGATTAAAATACTAAATGTGTTATATATTTAAATAAAAATGATATAAAAAGGTATAGAAAATGACCATGATGATTCTATTTAATAATTTATATTTTTGAACTAATTGTGTCACAAGTTGTCACTCTCTAATTCAATCACTTAAAGTAAACCAAATGTCACTTTTTTATGTAAACTAAAAAATGTAGATTAGTATTTTATAAAGTTATTTGTATTATAAATAACTATTTATATGATATGTATATCTATACATATTATTATTATTATTATATGTTAATATAAATTAAAATTATGTTAAATATTTATATAGATTTATTGTAGTAAAAAAGTTGCACTTAATATTCTAAATTGCATTTTGTATATATAATGTAATTTATATTCTATATATTATAAAATAAAAGTTATTTTTATATATTTAAAAATTCAAACATTTATTTTTTATTTTATTTTTTTATTGATTAATTTCAAATTAAATAATTAATATTTTTCATATTTATTTATTTATTATTGGTATTATTAAATACGGTATAAAATATTTCAGATAAATAATTGCTATTACTATTATTTTTTGTCTAGATTTAATTTGGAAAAATTTTTAGAGAAAATTTTAGCAAAAGTTTATGATTAATTTTTATTATTGAGGCATAGTAAGCTCTTAATATTTAAATAAATTTTATATACAGATACCAATTTATAGATTACATTTAACAAAATTTATAAATACTATCGGTATTATATATTTATAGTATATACTTATACAAAATATTTATTAATATATTACAAACATTTAATATAAATAATATGAATATATCATATCTATACAAACACTACAAACAATTAAATTTACATTTTATATAATTAAATATAAATAAATATTATATTTATTTGAATAATCTCAGTCTCTTTAGTTATCGATTAACTATTTATATGGACAAATAAAATACCAAAATTATGTTATTTACAAGTAAATCACAATTAATATAATATAATATTTATAAGAATACATCGATAATAGAGAATAATATAGATTTTTAGATATTTTAAATATTTATATTACAGGTATATTAAATGGACAACAAATAAATGGCAATTGATTCGTAATTTAAATAATATATTTATAACTTGTATGGACACACATAATAGATGGCGAGCACTGGTATTTCACATATCATTGGACAGAGTTCTGGTTCTGTGATCTAAATTGTCAAATCCGTAGTCTCTGGCCTTCAAAGAGGCCGTTAGTATACGTTTTGTTCGTCTGGCGTTACAACGGGTCTTATATAATATAAATATTGTAAATAATGTTATCAATAGACCCAACGATATGGCGATACGGATGCCAATCATAGGATCGTAATCGGAGTAATAGTCAAACTGTTGGTCAGCACTCATGTCCTCATCGGTCTCTGACGGCTCTTGTGTTGACTCTTTAATTGTCACATTTGATGACTCCATTAAAAATAGTAGATTTTTATATAGTTTTATTATTTTTATATCAATAACAGTATAATAAATAGTGTCTAAAATAAAATTTCTCAAACATTTTTATTAAAGAATAAAATGTTTTTCTGTGACTATTATCAAAATGTATTAACTTTTATGTCTTTTTTACTATTTTTATATGTATTTCATTGTATTTTTACTCCAAGTGCTATATATGTAAGTTTGTATATATATATGCGATATACAGTATATGGCTTTAGTTTATATATTTTGTGTATTTTTCTTTCTCTCCTTTAATGTCCAATTCATATAAAATGATGTAAAAGACGGAAAAATCAATAAAACGTTCGTTACATTGAAAAAAGCTTACAAATCAATAAAATAATCTGTACTTTGCTTTAACATTAATATAATAAGTATATATCTTTTAAAATACTAAATATTTATGACTGTTTTTTGTAAATACAGTGTAAATAAAAATAATAATTAGCATTTTTATCATAACTTTAGACAACTGTTATTTAAACATAAATATTTGTATTTAAAAATAAATGCTTACCACACAGAAAATCAATATTATTTATGATCAGTAATTTATTTATAATCAATATATTTCAATTAAGTTTAAAATCTAATTTATATATATATATATATATATGTTTACATAATATATTTTTCTTTCTTTAAATAAAATATTAGTATTAAATATTAATGTTTAAGTGTAGTATTACACACAATACAAATATATTTGCAAATTATATGATTATCACATTTAATGAATTTCTATAATGACTAACAAATGATGGTAACTTGAAATGTAATTTTATGTATATATTGTTGGCAACAAAGTCTAATTGAATAGCAGTTGTTATAATACATTAAATGGCAAATTACTTAAAAACAAGTAATATTTGATGTTTGCTTTCAGTGTTAAATCAATATTAATGACTGTTATGGCTATTAAGTACATGAAGAGTAGTGAGAGAAAGAGAGTCAAGAGTTTTTTATGTGGTTTTCAGTTACAAAAGAGTCAAATATAAACCGGAATCACAACACAAACACTGATTTTGTATGTGTTTTGTTAACACAATTTACGGAATATTCTGTTAAATAATAGCACACATTGTATTTGAATAATTGTTTGTCTTGTTTGTGATACACTTGTTGCTGACACTCATTGACATTTGGATGGCGTGACCAACGATGCGATACAACTGTTGGTATTTCCTTTCAATCATTGTTCACAAAACAAACAATTGTCACACTATTTAGTGGCACACAAAAGACTGCTCTTCAATGAAGCCATCTTTATATGGGTCTCATCCCTAAGCCATAAGCGATTGCATCGACTTTTCAATATAGCTATAGAGTTGTGCATTGGCTTCACAAACGCATATACAAGCCTTTCCTCTATACTCTTCCTCTAAATCTCAACGCTTAATGTTTGTCTGCCATCACATGATATTTACCACAGAATTTAATATCTAAAATACCTTTTATTTTCACAACGCATTTCATTTTACATTATAAATAACTATTTTATAAATTAKTTAAATTATTACAAAAATATTCACATAACTAAATATTGTGATTGCAAATAATTACTGAGTTATTGATCGCCATTAAATAAATCATTAATAAAATATTAAGCGATAAATACTACGAGCTTTGGTGCCTATCGGAGCTGTTGTATTAGTCTATGGATATAAACAAACTGTTGACAATCGGCGCAAACGCGTATCTCAAGAATTTCAATAATATATATTACAAAAATATATAAAAAAATATTTAATAAGTTTGTTTTTGTTGTAAAAAAAATATTTTATTTATAAAATTTTATATATTTTTATCACGAAACGATTGATAAAAATCATTATCTATGAACAATTTATCGTTAGAATAAATATATATATAATATTAAGCAATTTTTTTTAAAAATAACACATTTGTATATTTACAATAGATTTAACGCCAATAGATTTACAATCAATATTGGAAAATATGTGAAATTTTTTTATATATTTTACGAAAGATATAAATAATAGATTTTGATAAATTGTTTATCAGGAAAGGTTGTGTTAAAAGGAAATATTCACAAATAAAAATTTCCGGTAATTTATTATACCTTTGCTATTAAATAACTTAGAAATAATACACATATCATTTAGACATAGTGCTAAACATATAATTATAACAGTATTAAGAGCATAAATATATCATTTATCATTTTTGTTCATCTATTAATTATGCAATCATTTATATATATACTGAATAATTTGTGTAACAATATTATTAATGCTAAACAATGAAGGAGTCAAATAAATTATCTATCACTATATAAATATTATGTCAAAAATAATGATAGTAATTTCTGATTATGTAATATAATATTAATAATTAAGTTATTAAATAGTTGTATTTTGATCACTCAAATGATTGGCTAATTTTGGTAAATCTCCGATAAAACAATTGTTCGGACATGAGTTTAACATAATCGATAGATTTTACTTTAGTACCGACTCGTAGTGATAAATCCAAACATAATATTTCATTGGATGTGCCATCAGATAACTGTGCTCTCACTTTGTATAGTCCAGTCTCGAGCCAAGAGGGAAGTATTGATTTGTCGATTTCATAGACAAAACTTAGCGGCAAATTGTAAATACCTGTAATTATAGTTATTTGTATTTTAATTTTATTAGAGTTTTCATTTATGTATTTTTATAACAATAATCGCCAAAGTATATAGTTTATATGAATTACTATACTATTATACACATTACACTATATATGCGGTGATATAAATAACATAAAACCCTATAATTTTGAAGCATAAGGTGTGTCTAAACGATATAACTAATGATTTATATGCTTAAAGAGCGGAACTTTAACTTATATCTTGAAATAACAAGTTATTCATCCAAATAAAATGATATCTATCAAAATACTGATAAAGAATATATGGATACAGTATTTCAAAAGATTTATTGCAAGTTTTTTCAATCAATAGTTAAAATATCACATAAAGAGTAATATAAAATAATAATAATACTGTAATACTAACTTATACTTATAGTTTGAATTTACAGAAAAAAAATCTATTTTTAGTTTATGATTTTTAAAAATATATATAATTAATTATAAATTCTGGGATATAAATTTGAGTTAAATTAATATATATATAATGAATATATAATACCTTTAGGTAGTGGACACTGACAGGGAATACCATATTTTTTGAAAGCTTCGGGACATTTCTTATATGCGACGATCATCTGACAGATATCTGCATAACTACACGACCCTATCTTTCCTTCACAAGGAATCTCAATCCATGTGATCCATACCTTCTTCTTTATCTTAATTGATAACTGTATCGTAAAATAAGAGATATAATAAATAAATATTAGTAATCGTTACTATTAAATAACTAAATAGTATTAACACAATAGTGTATTTTATGTATTATAATTTATTAATAATAATAATAATAATATCTATTATTCACAATTGGTCTCGTGTTTATGTCTATTGTCTATTGATAACTAATTAATAAAAACAATTTAAATTTTCATTAATATCATACTAAGAATAATAGTAATTAATAAATTAAAAAAATTTACAATCAATAGGTTAACATTTCATATCATTTGACAATTAATTAAAATTATGATCTCATCCGAGTCACAATTTTATAAATTAAATCTCAATAAAACACATACTCTTGAAGACAATCACCAAAACCTTCAAAATGAAAGCCCTTTCAATACTAATGAATTGAATTTTCTGGAGAGCCGTTACATAAAAGTAGATTTAGATAACTGTATCGGAAAGGGATCTTTTGGTACTCTGTATGTAGCACTCAGTCATCAACACAGTTATGTTGTACTCAAAAGATACGAGAATTATACCGATGCCTGTCATGAGGCGGAAGTTCTCCGTTTGTTTGGCAAAGTCAGAGCTCATCCAAACATAATTACTTTCTTTGAAAGCTATGTTTACAATAAACACTTGTATCTACTGCTCGAGTACTCAAATACTGGTGATTTGACTCACTTTTATGAGAAGACATTCAGATTGAGACAATCGACAGAAGAAGACGTGTTTAAGATCTTTAAAGACGTTTATTCTGGTGTTGAACACATGCACAACAATGGATGGGCTCATAGAGACCTTAAATTTGAGAACATATTGGCATTTAGAGATGTCCTCAAACCTATCAACACTACATTCAAATTAATAGACTTTGGAAGTGCTGTGTTTGGGATCACCAATGATGGCAAATGCAAGAGTTTTCGCAAGCATTGCGGATCCCCGTTCACAATGGCACCCGAAGTCACACTAATGCCTTACAATGCCTTTCTCTATGATAGCTATTCTTTAGGTGTCATACTCTATGGTTTATTTCATGACCAACAGTACCCTCATTCGGTCGACACTAATGATATCAATGATTCACAAGAATGGCTTATCTCATACAACAAGAAAAAACAAGACTTAAATGCCATTATGTTTAGAGATGACATAAGTCAAGAGCTTAAGTCACTGATAATGGGTCTAATAGTAGCCAATCCCATCAATCGCACTATTGTTCAACACATCAAAGAGTCCAAGTGGTGGCATATCAGACACAAACAACTCGTTTTTAACAATAAGTGTTAAAAAAATAATAATCAAATGTTTTAAGTAATTAGTAACTAATCTGTATTGTACTGTATATAACCAATCAATCATTATTAATCACAAATCGTTTAAAACTTATGTAACAATTTTGTACTTTTAGTTGTAAGCAATAATTTCTAATATTGTCATATTAAATGTATATCTAAATTGTAATTAACAAATAAATAAATATATAACATTATTCTGTTATAATATATTTTAATATAAAATTATTTAAATTTAAATAATAATTAAAAGCACTTACAGGTAACGGACTGTTTTCAGTAACATTGATAGTGAAATTGGTGGCCAACGATACCTGACCCGGGATTATGATGGGATCAGGTTGTAGTGATAGTGCACTCAATTGAATTGATTCCTGTTGTGATCCACAATTAGACCAACTAAAACTTGAAAACTATTACATGAAATAAAATCAACTAGATCATTTTAAACAGTTAATCATTGAAGTAAAAATATCACATTTACTTTTGACTCATATTTTCCATAGATTTCATTAAAATTGTTTGATATTTTAATGGTATTTGCATTTAAAATGCATAACATAAATACAATTATAAATATCATATTTAACATTTTCAAATGTAAATGTGGAAATTATTAATTTAATTTAGTAATGTTATGTAATAATTGCTAGTAAAATATTTATACACTTAAATAAAAAATATTCATACTATTAATTTCTGTTTATGACTAAATCATACATTTTGATAAAAATAATTTCACAATATCATTAACTAAATATCAATGACATTTCATATTATCTGTTATAATAAAACTATTTTATTAAAATAACTAATAATTTAATATAAGGTTCTCTACTGTAGTTTTTTAAAAGATAGTTTAACAAAAATAAATATATGATAATTGATATGTTTATATTATACTGTATTGGTTTATTTTTCAATGAAAATTGATAAGTTATCAAACAAATAATATCATTTATAATTACAGTTAACATATATTGTAGTTAATGTTAAATCATTTAATTATGATGTCATTATAAATAATAAAACAATAGGAAAATACTTAACAATTACATAATATATATTAAATGTAATTGTAAATTTAATCTAATTTAAATTTAAATGTAATTAAAATATATCAAATATTGTTTATAATAAATAATATTTTGTATTTTTGTATCTATTATTATATAAACTAACTTAGAATTGAATAATTGATCATTATTTATACAAATCTGTGTCTTTCATATTAGTTTTAAATTGAAAGTATTAGATAAATTTTAATTTAAAAAAACTTTTTGTATGCAAACTAAAGTTGTATATAATTATTTGTATATTATTTTAGACAAACTATTTTTTATTTATTAATATATGTAAGATATGTAAAATATAAAATGGCTAAATTAAATAGAATTTTTTTTTTAATAATTATTATATTAAATACCCATTTCATAAAATTATATACAGTATATACTTTAGCTGTTCAAAAAATATATTTGGATAAATGACAAAAGTGTTTGTATTATACACTGTATTATTTTGCATATTATTTATACTGTATATTGAATACTATAGAATAATTTAAAAGTTTTAAACGACTTTTAATAAAAATTGATTATCAAAATTACAAAAATTATTGCATTAAAAGTATTGATAGACATTATTACGGGCATATCTATACTACTATATAATTTGGAAATGTTTGTAGCAAATATCTGTCACGCAAACAATTAAATTTAATGTGTCGCGCGATTAATAATTTTAATTTATTAAATAAAAAAAATAAAATATACTTTTTATAATACACTGTATATTATATAGCGCGTGAAAGCATTGTTTAGTAAAGAGAGAGAGAGAGAGAGAGAGAGAGAGAGAGAGAGAGAGAGAGAGAGATAATATTGTTGCACGTGTTAACTTTTGATACACATTTTATTACGTGGAGATCTAACTAGTTATGATAAATATCAGTGATTATATCACGCGCTATAGTATCTAATAATTAAGCAATAAAAAGGGAAAAAAGGGCAATAATGTGTCGCGCGATGTATTGAAATAATATAAACTATCGCGAGATTTAAATTTAATAATAATTATAGAATTGAAGTTAACATGTTTTGTTTTTTTTATTAGTTGATTGATTGAACATATAAATTGATAAATTTAGTAAATAAACCTAAAAAATGTCTAAAACAGAGAAAGTGTGGATTAAATTAAAAAATTATATTCGTAAATACAATCCAATATTTAGTTTAATTAATTTAGCTAAAAAATTCAACTATTTATTCTCATAAATTATTAAATATGTTTTTAATTGATGTTAATTTATAAAATAAAAACATGTTAACTGCATATTTGTTAATATTAATTTAATTTAACACGAGACACATTATTGCCCTTTTTTCCCGAAGCTTACTAATAATCAATAATTAAATACAATAATCGAAAACTTTTGTAATAACTTTTAGTAATAAATTGTAATAATTGTAATAAATTTTACAACAAAAATCGGTTTATTAATTAACAAAATATGTTATTAACTAATTATAAGACAGAATCTATTCCAGTAATAAAATGGGATCAATTAAATAAAAAGTCATTAAATTATATCACACAAATTGTTAACACTTACGGCACTGGTATTCTTGAAAAAGCTGATGAAACTGGATTTTATCCGATTCATTGGGCAGTCATTTCGGGTTTGAATATCATTACAATTGTTTGAATTATTCAATTTAACTGTAATTACAATAAATAAAGGCATTCCTGATTTGGTAGAGTTTGTGATTAGTGCCAATGTATTTGTTAGAACTGTGGCTGAACTCGACGATAGACCCGAACCCATACATATGGCCGCTCTCGAGGGACACATACCTATCATTAATATTTTGGTCAAACACGGCATTGATATTAATGTTAAAGACTTGTAAAAACATTTATTACAAATATACTTAGTTATGAATTTTTAAATAGTTTTATATGTACTGTAATCTATGGTAATAGGTCTGGATGTACACCATTGATGAGAGCCGCGTCATTTGGATACAATAATAAGACAAAAACCTGCGAAACAATACTTCATTTGTTGAGCTGTGGCTCTGATCTAACCCTAACGGACGCAAATGGTCTCAATTGTCTTCATTACGCTATAATCAACAACAATGAAGAAGCGGTTCATTTGTTGCTAAATTTAGGTCTAAATCCAAATCAAATGACAAATAATGGTTTGCGAGCCATTCATTTTGCTGCCAAAAGTGGTAATGAATATCTTATGAGATTATTAGGTCCGCTGACCAACGATATGACACAATCACAGTTGGAGTCAATGATAAATATGCATAAAAAGAATAAAGGTTTTGATGTTTTGTCAAAATTGGCGACTCTTTTGGGTCAATCAGTTGTCTTAATTTGTATTTTGAGTACCATATTCTGGGCTTATCCACAATATATACTTTATTATATGCCTAACAGCCAACAAATACTTCTCAATACTTTATTGATAGCAATCAATTTGATGGCCTGGATATCATGGTATAGGACGTGTACTTCAGATCCGGGATATTTGCAACAAAATACTAGTGAATACAATAAAATACTAAAGAAAATACACGACACCAGACATGAAACAAATATAAATGACAACAAAATCAGTCAAAGATATGCTTATCTTCGTTTATGTCACACCTGTAAGACTGTTCAAACCATGAGATCAACTCACTGTCGTTTCTGTAATCGATGTACAGCTGGTTATGATCACCATTGCATATATTTATCCACTTGTATTGGTCTTAATAATCGCATCCCATTCTTCTGTCTCAATATAAGTTTATTATTAGGCGGACTAATGGGAGCATTATTAGTGTACACCGTCTCAAACTTGGACGACCTCTCGCTATATTCATCCTATCATTGGTTTAACTTTCTATACTGTCTTCAGTTCACAACAATTGGTCTAATTATGAGTTTCTGTAATATAAGAAGAGCTGCCATTAATTTGACCCAAAATGAAGAATTCAAGGCTTGGAAGCAACGCTATCAGCATTTGATTGATTCAAACGGAAAGTTTGTTAATCCATATGATAGAGGATTCTGGAAGAATGTCTGCGAATACTTCACGACTAAACCCTATAAGTATAGCAAAGTTAACACTTTTGACCAAATAGTTTGATCTCATGTTATAATATAAACACTGTATAATATTTATATGTATTTTCAGTGATTTCATTCAATAACTGTATATTTATTTTTAAATAATTTTTCTTTAATAATTTATTTTTAAAAATAATTTATTTGAACAATTTATGTAAATTTTTATAAAAATTAAAATTAATATTCCAAGTAATAAAATACAATATTAAATGAATAATTTTTTCAAACAAAAGTTGTCTATTACTAGAAAAAAGTTTTGCTAACAATATTTAATGACATCTATGAGTGAATTTTATTAATAGTATCTTATTATATGAAACATTGTATTAATATTGAATAGACTGTTAAAACATATAAGATTTCGGTTCATATATTGTTCAAAACATTTCAAATTATTACGTTTATACATATTAATAATTTATCAAATCTATTAATTTACATTATATACTATAAAAATATTTATTTCATAACATTATAGTAAATATTATAGTTTATATTATATTTTTTTAATAAATTTTTATAAAAGACTAAATATTCAATATATACAATGGTTTGGATTCATATGATTATAACACTACTGTAATGGTCTCTAATATTAGGGATATTTATATAATATTAATGATTACATCATATGATTTACACGTTTATTATGTTTTGATTAAAAACTTTTGATATTAATATATGATTGCATTGAAAAACAATTAAAGTAATGATTATAACTAAATATATTTGTCGGGCAGTTGTCCGACAATTATTGTCAACTTATGGACACAACTTAGTGATTGTTCGGTTGATGGCAAATGCCATACCGAGAGGTCAAAACCCGAAACAAGTGGACGCAATGCCTGTCTTTCAATACACACAATCGGACAAACCATCGGCTAAACGACGCCGTTATGTATACTGTTGGGGGTATTCAGGAGGCGGTGCTTTGGGTCGATTGTCACTCATTAAACGGACCAAATTCAAGAATAGGCCACAGTTGCCACCGATTGAAACCGTAACCGCTCCATTAAAGTCAAATTTTATTGATATACAAACCACAGTTACAGACGTGGCCGCTGGCTTTGGTTTTACGGTATATACTCGTAGACAGACAACTGGTTATTGATTTGTTTGGTAACACTTTCAGGTGATCGCAGCTGTAGTTCGCGATTCGTCACATCGTCTCTTTGGTTGCGGTATTAACAGTGACTCTCAATTGGGATATCAATCGCCGCCCACACCTAAAGGTGAACCATTGATGTGTCTCTTTAAGCCGACTCCCATTCGACTGCCAATCAATGAGAAAGACAAAGTGGTTCGGGTCTCGTGTGGCCGATCACACACTGCCTGTCTTACAGACAAAGGAGAAGGTAAGACATCTCTGAAGACAGTCTATTACTAAGACTAACGATTTTACTGATATTTTTTTATCATTTTAATAGTCTATAGTTTAGGAAACAATGCCTTTGGACAATGCGGTCGACCTATTGTTGACAATGAGAAGTATTTTGCTTCACATCTTATTCATCAAATCAAAGAAATTGATGATAAAGTTTGCGATGTAATCAAATGTCGAGTGTTTGGTATAATAGGAGTTAATTAAGTGATTGATATAATTGATAACAGATAGTCTGTGGTCAGGATCACACTTTGTTCTTAACCGAAAGCGGAACCGTTTACTCCTGTGGATGGGGTGCCGATGGACAGACAGGTTTAGGACATTATAATAATCAGGGAATACCTATGAAAGTTAAGGGCGATATTGAGGGCCAAAAGATTATCCAATTGTCGAGCGCTGCCGATTCGGTTCTTGCAATAAATGGTCACAAAATAATGTCATAATTGTTTATATATAAGTGTATATTATAATTACCGGTAATATAATTTTAATATTAATAATGATATGTAGATAAGGGAGACGTTTTTGGTTGGGGTAACTCTGAGTACTCACAATTTTCATCCATTACCAGTGATTATCAATTAAATATTCCTCGACATCTTAAACTGGATAATGTTAAAGGAAAAGTAGTCAATGTTTGCGCCGGTGGATCTATTTGTGCACTTGTCAATGGTTTGATTAAATTTTAAGTTTTAATTTTATAGTAATTAACTTTCTTTACGATAATTAGATTTAGGTAATGTCTATGTATGGGGATATGGTATTCTAGGAATGGGACCTAAAGTTGATCAGTTGACTAAACCAACAATGTTGCCGATGACACTGTTTGGTGTCTCACAGTTTAACAGTGATGTTAAAGTTATCAAACTGGAGGCTTCTTTTAATCATTTGGCAGCCATTACTGGTAATATTTTAAAGAAATATTGTATATTTAAAAATATATTGAATTTATTTTTTGTTTAATTCTAATAATTAGATAAAGGAGACCTATATATGTGGGGGAAGAACACTCAGGGATGTTTAGGTTTGGGTCATATGGCTGACCAATATTTTCCGTTTAGGGTATGTCTTGTTTTTTATATTAATTGTTTACTTTAATTATATTTATTTTTTGACTTAACATAATTGTATAATTAATTGTTAAACAATAGGTATGCGTTCCCGCATCGGTACGTAAAGTCAGTCTAGGAATAGATCATACAGTAGTGATCGGCACTTCTATTTAATTGATGTCAAACATAGCTTTTATTTGTATAATATATTCAAATTTGTTTTAAATTAAATTAAATTACCATGATCATTGAATAAATAAATTGATTTTATGCTTAAATTTAATTACCGGTAAAAAACTATTTTTTAATATACCGTACATTAAAAGGTATTATTTAATAATATTTGTTAAAAGTATTAAAATTTAAATACATTTCACACAACACTAATAATATGTGCGTAATATATGACGTCTTAAGTGTTTATCATTGAATTGACAGTCAATTGATTGTAAACAACACAACATTTGCCGCCAATTCATTGATTGCAACCATTGATGCAATTCATGACCACTTCATTGATCACATTCACACATATATGGAGTTCAACACTAAAGACCATCAGTTTACCGAAGTGGACGAAGACTTACGACGTATCGGTGAGCGTGAAGTCAACAGCAAAAAGTTGTGTCCATTTGGCAGCAAATGTTACCGAAAAAATGTCCAACACTTACAAGAGTATAGACATCCGTCCGATTTAACCACCGGTGCCACACATAAGCACACGACATCAGACAAAACACCGTCGGTCAAAAAAGGTCAGGAAATTGATTTCATTTGACACCCAATTGTTTTTTTAATAAAAACAAAATTTAATGTTATTTTTAGGCAAAATTACCGATTATTTTGGCCAAAAACCAAACACTGAAAACAAGTTATTAATTAAGACATCCAAAGATTATAACTTTGAGATTATAGGCCACGACTCAGACAATGAGATACCACACTCTACTTATTCATCAGACAATAAAACAACAAAACTAACAAATTCTTCATCAGTGGTAACCATTTGTTATAACAAAATAATATTTGATATTAAATTGTTTTATATTTTTAATAATAAATTTAAGCGCAAAACAAATGGTAAGGAAAAGAAAAATAGAAAAAGAGTGGCTAATGATGACAATGACAATGATTTTGATGATAATTTGAAAGCCATTATTAAAGATAATGATATGACAACCAAACGAAGAAATGGTTTTATTTATAATTTTATTAAAATATCATTTAGTAATTTCTTTAATTGTTATTATTTAGATGTATCTCATTCACCAAAGATAACAAAATTACAAATAAATTCCAGTGATGACGATATTTCTTGTATTGTTCAACAAAATGATATACCGATAATGAAAAACGATGACAAAGTATTTGATGTCCAGAAGTCCGACAAATCACTACTATTTCCTGTTAAGCCTAAAATAACGCCGAAAGAGTTCAATGAGATGTCGAAAGATTTATTTTTGGTGAAAATGCCGAAAGATTTTTTCTATTTGTGGCAATTCTGCAAAACTATTAAACCACATAAACCTGAAGGTTTGCAATCAGTATTGAATCCAACAATTAATTTACTAAATGATAATTTTGAACATTTTTAAGACGCTTTGATCGAATGCTTAAACTTAAGACTCGTTGGTCCGTATGATCTAATGACTGGAAGGATTAAAAAAGATTTGATTAAAAATAGTGAACAAATACTGTGTCACTGGAGATATTACTATGATTTACCTGAAATGCAGACAATTATTGCTTCAAATCGAAATGGCTATCATTTAGCTTATTTTAGAGACACACCCGATGATGACAACCCTGTAGTTGTGTCCAATAATGGAGATAATTGTATAATTGAAGGAATTGGCGATAATATATTTGCCGCTATTTATTCTGTGATTATGAAAATGAAGAGCAAAGGATCTCCAAATAAAACTTTAAATAACTTGGAGTCAAAAATCAAAGAGTTTTGTACTAATAATAAGATTAAATTGATTGAATCGTCAAAACTACGACAACGAAAGATTAAGATTAACTCTAAGACATTCAATTCATTTGGAATCGTTGTTCCGCACGATGAGAAAACTGATGTCGGCTATCGACCACTTCCTCAAAGTGATACACAACTTAAGAAACTATTGGCATCTATAATGAAATTGGATGTCGATATGAGAAACGACAGCAAATCATTATCCGAACTCAAAGAAATTATCCAATTAGTCAGTTATGCCAGCGATGAGTGTGACTTTGGTATGGGTCTTGAGTTAGGTGTAGACCTGTTTTCTTACGGCGAAGACTTCTTTCATAAATCAATACTTCATTTACTATCAAACGCTTATGATTTGCTAAAGAGAGTACCGTTTGCTCGTATACTCAGAGCTCATATCAATAATAGACGTAAAGGTTTTCAATTAGATTGTCTCTAAATCATTACAATTTTTATTTAATTACCGGTAGATTCTAAATCATTGCAATTTTATTTAAGTATAGTATAAATGAATTTCATACAAAATAAATCTATTTAATAATTATTAATTACTAATTTATCAATTTGTATATACTGTACTATTGTTAACATAATTAGATTATAAAATTATAATAAAATTTAATAAATTCGTTGATTTTCAACATTTTATTGTAGTATTCAAAATTGTTTATTCAATTTTATTTGTTTATTATGTTTGATGATTAAACAATTTTTAATCAATAAATTATTAGTCATTTTGTTAGATAAGCATATAAACTATGGAAACACGATATAAATGAGTTTATTTATCACAGCGTTTATTAGTTTTTGTTTCTGTTTTTGACATTTTCTTAATTTTATAAATATTATTATTAATTAGTATAAATTATATTAAAAGATAAATACAATTTTAAAAAACAAATGGAGGTTTGGGATGATTTTAAGAAAATATTTGATTTCAGTGAATACCGCAATCAATGGGCATCATTTGGTGCGGGTGTCCTGTTTTGTACGGGTTGGTGGTTCATATTAGGTAAATTCACTCTATTATTGTGATTTTTTTCTAAATTTAATGATAAAATAAAATGAAATATTATTTATTTATTATTTAAGACATTGCTGCCCATTACCGCAGTAATGATTTTAATAACAACTTTTATTTATGCGGTATATTTGCAACGATTGCCTTAATAATGATAAATACGGTGACAACTGAGCAAATAGACGGCCAGTCATATACTGAAGGTTGTTGCGGTCCACAGACGTCTCGCGTATGGTTTTTATTGGGTTGGATATTGGCTTTCATTTCATTGATTGCATCCGTTTGGATACTATTCCAACATTATGTCGTTCCCGAGGAAAAGGAGAGTCATGTGAATAAATATCCCGGAATCGCACTCTTTATGCAAAACTTATTCATATTTGGCTCTTCTTTGCTCATGAAATACGGCAGAAGTGAAGAAAGATATTAAAAACTTTAATATTGATGTCAAAGCTCTCATATATTAATTAATATTTTAGTATTATTTTGTAAATTTGATGTCAAAAGTTTTTAAGTATTATACAGCAATCATTTATTTGAATAAAGTATTTATTTATTTTTTAATTTTAATTACACATATATAATGTTTATTTAAATAAGCAATATGGCATCAGTTTTTAACTAAAATTAAAAATAGCAGCAAATAATAGACAAATTAAGTTAAATTATTATAATTACAAACAATACTTTCTTAAACTACTACACATTTATTAATGAATTACAGTATAAATTATTTAAAAATAAATATATTTAAACATTTGTTTTTTATATGGCAATACTACTAATATTTTTAAACAATAAAAACAATAATTTTATAACATTATTACTGAAATTATGTATCAAGCTAATTATATAATATATTTTTGTATGAAATTATTTTTATTAGTAAATTAAAATGCCAACTTTGAAACAATGTTAGCAATTTTACTGTATATGACTACATGAAAAAATCGTCAATATTTTATATAATAAAAATGAATATATTATCTAATATAAAATAGTTTTAAATTAAATAAATATATATATACAGCATATTATAAAATACCGAAACTATCAATTGTTAACCGTGTAAATTAAGTTCATATATAGTTTTAACTGTATTGTTCATTGAATGAATATCTATATCAACCATATTATAGACTACATGAGCCCATGTATTACTTGACAATATAACAATACTGAGACATATAAACTTGCAAAACACACCGGGAATTGCCATTTCATAAACTTTTAGATTAGCCGCTTCATAGACAATGGCATTACTGGGAGAACCGGCCGGAAACATGAATGCAAACGACGAGACAACAGTCACGGGAAGCATAAACTTCAATGGACTCAAACCCAACGATTCGGCTAATTGTTTAACAATCGGCAAAAATATAGAACTTGTGGCCGCATTATTGGACACTTCGGTGAAAAACATGCATATTATTGAAACAATTATTTGCAGTATAATTGGTGACAAATTTTTCAAATTGTTTCGTAGGTGGGTGCTTATTATTTCGGACAATCCTGATTTCTATAGTGTATAGTGGAGTTAGTTTTTTTGTGTACAAATGTTAAGTCTAATATAACCTTAATTCCAGATGACATGGCTAATGCACCGCCCATTAATAGGAAGACCCCCCAGGGCACCTTCCTCTGAACGGCTTTCCAGGTCATCAGTGGCGGTGAATTCACCAAATCTCGAGGATTAGCCGGTATGAGAAACATTAGACACACTATCAACATAGCAGCGGTAGCATCGCTTATATAGTTAGACCTGATTAACAATTAACAATTAATTATAAACAATTGATTAAATATAAATTCAAACATACGATTTGGGATAAAGCGCTGGCGCCCAACCTTTAAAAAAGTCAGGATCTCTGAAAAACCTTTAAATTTGTAAAATCATCAAAAATTAATTTAAATTTTTTATGTTATTATTTGAAAATAATACAAAGTTATAAAAAATAAAATTTATAATAAGTTTGTTTAATTCTAAAACATTTTTAAAAATTGAAAAATTACTTACCATAACATCAATAATATAGTAAACATTGTGAGAACTGCCGTTTCATGAAAACTATTTATATTATAACAATATCATTGTTAATTTATCTGTAATTTATTAGTTGTCAACAAAAAATAATAATAATAAAACTAACGAAATTGATCCCAAAGAGTTATATTTTAATCTAATAAATGAATTAACCTTTTCTTTATTAATTCTAAATTAAATTAAATTATTAATTAGTAGTATTTGCATAAAATTCAAATATTAAAGTTATTGTAAATATCAATACTTTGGAAATTTAGAAATAAATACCAAAACCATAAAAATCCAAACACAGAGCAAACAAACAATTAGTCCGGGAATTGCAAAGAGCATCCAATTTGCAAATGTTATGTTATCACCGATCAAACTATTAATTATAAAATGTTTAACTAATTATATATTAATTTATTGACATTTTATATTTACTCGGAAACCATTCCCTTGAATATAAGATTAGTTGTAGTTCCAGTCAACGTACCGGTGCCACCAATTAATGATGAAAAGGTTACCGACAAGAATAACACTTTTCTCATTAATTTAAATGACTTTTCCTCCTTTTTTGGTAATTGAAACTCACTTTTAAACAAAACGTTAAAATTTAATATTTTGTTAATAGCTAATTATTTAACTTAAGTAAAAATAAGTAACTTTAAACTGTTTATTATTTATAAATAACTATTTTTTAGAAAACTATTTTAGTAAAATATATCTTAAAATAAAATATTTATAATGAAATATATTATGAATTAAAAAAACTATTTTAATTTAATAAGTTTAAGCATATTTATACTACAGTAATAAAGTTTTCAACACTATTACCGTAAGGTTTAATTTTTAATTTATCAGTTAAAAGGCTTAAATTTATTATTACCTTTTAATTGGATTTTTATTGTTGGCGTTATTGACATTTTCTTCAACATTTTTGGCGTCTAAATTTGTTAACACATCTATTAATTAAATTAATTTTTTAATAAATGATTAAAATAAAGAAAAAAGATTATTGTAAATAACTTACAATTATTATTGTTATTACTATTACTATTAGTTTGACATAAACTTGCTTTTCTTTGGTCTTTAATATTTAAAATGACGGCTTCAATGATGGGTACCATTAGTGCTGTGGTAGCCGTGTCTGAGATCCACATCGATATGAATGATGTGGTACTCATAAAGCCAAGCAAAAGCCTTTACTAATAAAAAAAATTTAATTAATTTTTACATAAATTATTTAATTTAATTATATTGACCACAAAGGAGATGATCCAAAAAACATTAAAATTCTTAATGCAATTCTTTGATGAAGATTTGACTCTTCAACAGCTACTGTGGCTATAATACTGCCTAAAAATACCATAAGTGTGTCCTATTTAGTGCATAAAAAAATTATAAATGAATAAATAAGTAATAATTTATTTAAAACTAATTATTGTAAACTAATTAATATTAAATTAAAACTTATTATAAATACAGTATAGTTCTTACACTTATATAACTTTTAGATATTTCTTTTGTGGACATTATTTGAAGCAATGGGTAAAACACAAGAGGTAACAGTGCTGTAATAGCCAATGGCACGGCTTCTGTAAGCCAATAGACTATCATAAGTGAAACCACAAAAATACATCTAATTTCCTATTAATTAATTAAATTAAATTTGATGCATAACTAATAAAAATATAATTTATTGAACTTACTTTTTGGTTTGAAAATATTAATATTAATGAAAGTATTAACGGTGTTATCCAAAGCACAATCCACTTTCGATACTTTAAAACTAAACAATTCATCTTTTTTTTAAGTTTACAAATAATATGCAATAAATACTTTAAATGTTAAACTTATATTAAAATTAAAACTCTTACTTAAAATTTTTGTATAAGTATCGATTTGTAACTTTAATTTTAAATAAATAATTTAAATTTATTAATAAAAGTGATCATTTACTGTCATTTATTTTTGTAGTAACCAATCAACAAAATTAATCATTTATTTTAACACCTGTTTATTGAATAAATACAATTATTAGTTACTATATTTAACTAGAAAATAAAATGTATTTCAAATTATTTATAAACGATAAAAAAAAGTTTACATTTATTATTTGTTATTGAGCTAAAGTCAATTAAATTTTTTAATGATCATTCATTTAATCACAAAAATATCAATTAATAACTTTAAACATTAAACCACAGCTTTTAAAAATATATAATTCATAGTCGATATAGAAATTTGATTTCAAGAATTTAAAAGAATTCAAATAATTAATAGTTCTTAAAGAATATATAAAATAAAATACTCTGAATTGTTTTAAATCAAATTTTACAAATGATAATACATAACACATAACACATAACAAGTGAATTTCATTACTATAAAAATGTTAAATCAATGTCGACAATGACATCATTACTATACTTTATACCAAATTTATATTTAATAATTTAAAATAATATATTAATTAATATAATTAGTTTGATTAATAATTATACACGTGTTTATAACTAATAATCCATTTCAATAGATGAACCGCAGCTATTAATAATTAACAATAATTTAAACAATTGTTGAAATAATTTACTAAATAACATTTTATTCAAAGATAATGATTAATACATTTCTATTTTTATTTTTTATTTTGTAAATATTTAAACAGATTTAACTCAAATGTCATTTTTAATATACTAATGTAAATTTGATTTGCAGATTAATAATATAAATTCAATAATTATACTGTAATGATGTGTTAGCTTTAAAATAATTAAATATTTTCTAATAATTTCACAAATCTTAAATTTTTTTCTCAAATTACACACTACTAAACTCAAATTGTTAAAAATAGTAATTATTTAAATATTAAATTATTTCACTGTTTTATATTCATAATTAGCTATTATTAATTTTTTAAAAATTGTTTGTTTAACTTTTTTATTGCAAAAATAGTTTTAAATAATATTTAATAATGTGTTTAAACTGAATCAATAATTCATATTTAATAATAATAATTATATTCATTATTATGGTATTACTAGTGTTGGAAAAAAACAAATTTATAAAATAATAGAGAAATTTCTAGAAAGTTTCTAAAAGGAATTTCAATCTATGGGTATCCCATATTAACTTTGTTCTCTCGATATTTGTTATCTTGTAATAATACATTTTTTATAAGTAATAATTAAATATTATTATTAGTATTTTAATTATTAATTAAAGTAAAAAATAATTAATTTAATTATATTAAACTATGATGTATATAATAAAATAATGAATAAAATTTTATAAAACTGATTATTATTAAATAATTATAATTATTTTATATATAGGTATCCCATTTTGTATAGTAGTGTTGTACATGTAGTATAATATTATATGTTCATTATTATGTCACATAAATATAGTATTATATAAATATGGGGATCCCATTGTATAACAATAAAGTTAAATTTCTATAGAAATTTATTCTTGAGAAATTTTCTAGAAACTTTCTCACGGAAATTTATTAGAAACCTATTTGCCCATCTCTAGGTATTACATATACCTGTACTAATTTATAAAATTATTTATTAATGAAAATATTATATTATTTCAGTAATAATTTAAACACTTTTGATGACAAATAAATCATAAAAGACAAAACATTGTAATGATATTTTGCCAAAAAAAAACAAATATTCATTTAAATTATTTGTTTACAACATTTTGGTTAATATTGTTAAATATTTAGTTATATTTAAAAAAAATATATATTAATTTACAATTTATGTTCACAATACTACTTTACCTGTTAGTATAAATATAAATTTACTAATATCTAACTAATTATTACTACAGGTATAACTTACATGTATTTACTGTATTGTATTACAGGTAATAGACTTTTAAAACTTAATATTAATAGATATTAATTTATTTGATGCAGTCTTTAAGCGTAATGTGATTTCTATTACTTGAAAATCATTTTATCTATTCCTATATAAATAAAACATTTGACATATTATTTAATTTAAATTTTTAATTAGCATTTTATTAAAAAATTTATATACAAATAATAATAAAACAGTATATTTTATTATAAAAATAAAATATTCATAATAGTAAGTATACAATAAACGATATAATTTACATTATATACTGTTGTAATAATTTTATATAACTTTAATGATCATTCAATTTATAATTATTTCTTTACAATCAAATATTTATAAGAAAGAGTTAACGAAAAGAATCAAATTTGATAAATGACTTAATATTTAACTGAGTGTTCAAATTATGATAAAATTTTGACCATTCATTAAGTTCTTGTAATGAATCAATTGATTGATCGTTAATTAATGAGATCTTTTGATTCATGAAATATGTGTCCAACTCTTGGCGTTGATCTGAAAATTTCCTTTGCATTGTCAGCTTTATTGGTTCAAATAGAAGATACTTTTGCGAAACCGGTTGAGTATTGTTCTGTCTCTTTGATCTCAATTGGCTTTGTGTTTCAATCTGTGACACAATCATTGGTGTCTGTGGTATCTGTGATGGAAATACTGATGAACTTCTTGGTGTTGTATTTAAATTATCGTTTCTATTATTTGATTCGTTTGGCAAAGAGGAAGGAGTCATCAATTCAGCCGATGGTGTGTCAGTTACGTGACTCATCTGTGAAGAGCGGGCAGCAATTGGTGCGTAAAAATCATGGCTTATCTGAGATGAAAATGTATTATTCGGGTCGCGGTTCGGATGATTGCGCTTTTGGATGAAATCTGAAACAAACTGTATTTTCGACTTATTGTGGTCAACAGCTGCCGACTGACTTTGAATGACAGCCCTGAGCTGATCCACGAGTTGTTGTTGATTAATCAACTCGTCCTTCAAGAACGACATTTCTGTTTCGTGATTCTCTTTGATTGAACCAATCTGTTGACTAAACTCTTCCTTAATCTCCTGGACTTGTCTTTGATTTTGAACCGATTGTATCTTATATTTGCCCACCTCTTCAGTCAACTTCTTGTTCCTCGACTCCAATATCTTGATGCGTCCAATCATGTCCTGACTGGTCTGCGGTGTCATCATTTGAGTCGACTGTGTATTAAATGTCGTGTTGTGGCCATTCGTTTGGCCGTTTAGTGCGGGTCTGTGTGAAGAGCCGTTAAAATTCATTGTCAACCGATGTTATCAACAGAATTGTCATTCAGTATATGTCAGACATATTGTCATCAATTGATGTCATCAATGGTTTTTCAAGAGTTAAGAAGTGATGACAATAATTGAGACACACTTTGTCTCATAGTTTGCGGCAAACAATTGAAATGTAAAAAACGTTACGCAATACTAATGAGTCGTTTCACTAATTATGTGACAATTGTTTACAGTCTTTATGTATGACTCAAAGTGTCGGCATTTCATTGAAAACATCGACAAAACGTTTGAAACAAATAATACAAACATTTTGTTTGATTTTGCGGTCAATTAAAGACAATAATAATAATTTGGATATCAATTGAAATCATTGAAAAAGATTTGATACCTTTTTTAAGGTGACTATTGGTGTCCAACAATGGCTGACGCGGCCGCTCGTAATCTTCAATATGAATATAAAGCGGTAAGTCTTGAAACGTGAAGACTATTTGTTTTTATGATTATAACTAAAACTATATTTTCATTGAACTTCTTGTCATTTGTTTGTCTTTAACCAGAACTCCAATCTTGTACTACAAGCCGACACCCGACTCATTGAACGACGTCCGAGAGATGAGGCCACCGGTGAAGTGCTGTCTTTGACCGGCAAATTGTTGCACTCAAGAATGGGAGACAGATATCAGCGAACGAAACCACAGACTGATAAGGAAGAGAAAAAAGCAAAGAAATTGAAGAAAATCAGACAAAACGAGTCATCGAAATATGATTTGTCGAAAATGAAAGGACAATCAATTCTATCGGAAGAGATTGAGAATATGGTCGGAATTCTTTATCGTCCGAAAACACCCGAAACTCGACAAACATATGAAGTGATTTTGTCATTTATATCCGAATTGCTCGGCGATCAGCCCCGAGAGGTCATATGCGGTGCGGCCGATGAGATACTAATCACAATGAAGAGCGACAAAATGAAAGAAAAAGAAAAGAAGAAAGAAATTGAAGCGATGTTAGGCCGACTCACAGATGAACGTTATGCTGTGTTGTCTAATCTGAGCCGAAAGATCGTTGACTTTGGTCTCGATGAACGCACGGTTCAGATTCAAAATGAAGAAAATTTGGATGAAACTTATGGCGTAAACGTTCAGTTTGAAGAATCAGATGAAGAAAGTGAAGATGACTTTGTTGATGAAGTCAAAGAAGAAGACGATGAAGAAGATGCCGATGGAGTTGATGCTGGTATTGATTCAGCCATTAATGCGCGTAACTTAGAGACAACTAAAGTGGAGACTAAACGCGATCGTAAATCTAAGTCAAGCACTACTATAGTTCATCCACGAGAAGTGGATGCTTTCTGGCTTCAGAGGAATTTAAGCAAAGCATATACTGATCCAGTAGTCGCACAGTCCAAAGCTGCCGAAGTGCTAAACATATTGAAAGTGTCGAGAGATGATCACGAAATTGAAAACAAATTGGTTGACCTCTTGGGCTTTGATCAGTTCGACTTCATTAAAGTGTTGCGTCAAAACAGATCAGTAATTCTTTACAGTACTCTATTGGCTTCGGCACAAAAACAATCAGAGAAGGATAAGCTGAAAGATAAAATGAGATCCGATCCGGATTTGGCTAAAATATTGAGAGCACTCGAAAGTACTGATTCTGACAAAAAACGAAAAGATTTAGGAAAATCACAACAATATGTAGATATGGATGAAGACATGGATGAAGATACAAATGCACAGTCTATTAAAAACAAGATATTAGATTTGGAGGACATGTCATTCACTCAGGGATCACACTTTATGGCCAACAAGAAGTGCTCTTTACCTGAGGGAACGTTCCGTAAGCAACGTAAAGGTTGTGAAGTAATTCATGTGCCGGCACTCAAACCAAAACCATTTGATCCAAATGAGGTAATGTTTTATTTTTAAATTTTGTTTAGTTTTAAAATATAAATACCTCTCCAATCTTACCCTCAATGGTTTAGTTCAAAGTGAATCATTGATCATTATTTGGAGATAAATAAAATTAGCATTAATACCAAGCTTTATGTTAAATATTAATTTAAATAAAGTATGAAATTATGTGACAATTTTTTTTAATGAATGAATAATTATTATTTTAACAGAATTTGGTGCCAATTGACAAACTCCCGAAATACTCTCAGCCGGCGTTTGAAGGCTTTAAGACATTGAACAGAATCCAGAGTCGTCTCTACAAATCTGCCATTGAAAGTGATGAAAATTTACTTCTATGCGCTCCTACCGGTGCTGGAAAAACTAATGTAGCACTTCTCACAATGATGAGGGAAATTGGTAAACATATCGATCAAAACACTGGTCTTATAAATGCCGATGAATTCAAAATCATTTATATTGCGCCCATGAGATCACTCGTACAAGAAATGGTCGGCAATTTTTCCAGAAGACTACAGTCTTATAATATAAAAGTATCCGAACTGACTGGTGATCATCAACTGACAAGAGAACAGATTAATGAAACACAAGTAATAGTTTGTACGCCAGAGAAATGGGATGTAATAACACGGAAAGGAGGCGAACGCACGTACACTCAGATCGTAAAACTGATTATTTTTGATGAAATTCATTTACTTCATGATGAAAGAGGACCAGTGCTTGAATGTCTTGTGGCACGAATGATACGAAGTATTGAGACAACTCAGGAGGAGATCCGTTTGGTTGGTTTGTCTGCTACTCTTCCCAACTATGATGACGTTGCGACCTTTCTTCGCGTTGAACAGAAGGGACTATTTTATTTCGATAACAGCTATCGTCCCGTTTCTCTCGAACAACAATACATTGGAATAACTGAGAAGAAAGCATTGAAAAGGTATCAATTGATGAATGAAATACTATATGAGAAGGTGTTGGAACAGGCGGGCAAAAACCAACTGTTGATATTTGTTCACTCACGCAAAGAGACCGGAAAGACAGCCCGAGCTGTAAGGGATATGTGTCTTGAAAAGGATACGTTAGGAATGTTTCTTAGAGAAGGCGCCGCTTCTACTGAAGTGTTGCGTACAGAAGCAGAACAGGTCAAGAATTTTGAACTTAAGGATCTGTTGCCCTATGGGTTTGCCATACATCACGCAGGAATGACTCGTGTCGACAGAACATTAGTTGAGGATCTCTTTGCCGATCGACACATTCAAGTATTGGTTTCGACAGCAACACTGGCCTGGGGTGTCAATCTACCCGCTCATACTGTTATTATTAAAGGAACTCAAGTCTATAATCCAGAAAAGGGTCGTTGGACTGAATTGGGAGCTCTTGATGTGCTTCAAATGTTAGGTCGTGCCGGTCGACCACAATATGATACCAAAGGAGAGGGTATACTTATAACACAACACTCGGAACTTCAATATTATTTGTCACTATTGAACCAACAATTGCCGATTGAGTCACAATTAGTTGGAAAATTGCCGGATATGCTGAATGCGGAGATAGTATTGGGAAATATACAGAACGTTAAGGAAGCGACCACTTGGCTCGGCTATACTTACCTTTACGTTCGTATGCTAAGAAACCCCACTCTTTACACGATATCACACGACGCTATGAAAGAGGATCCACTTCTTGACCAACATCGGGCTAATCTGATTTATACTGCGGCCTCTATTCTAGACAAATCCAATTTAGTAAAGTTTGAACGCAAATCCGGACAATTACAGGTCACTGAATTGGGACGTATTGCCAGTCATTACTATTGTACACACGAAACAATGTCAACATATAATCAATTGCTTAAACCAACTCTTTCTGAAATTGAATTGTTTAGAGTTTTTTCTCTTTCGAGTGAGTTTAAGAATATAGCCATTAGAGAGGAGGAAAAACTAGAACTCCAGAAACTTATGGAAAGAGTTCCCATTCCTATAAAGGAGTCCATCGAAGAGCCGTCTGCTAAAGTCAATGTTCTTCTTCAGGCATATATTTCGCAATTAAAATTAGAAGGATTGGCACTTATGGCAGATATGGTTTATGTGACACAATCAGCGGCAAGACTTATGCGTGCCATTCATGAAATTGTTTTACACAGTGGTTGGGCACAGTTGGCCGATAAAACACTTTCTTTGTGCAAAATGATCGACAAAAGGATGTGGCAATCGATGTCACCTCTGAGACAATTTAAAAGAATACCCGAAGAAGTTGTTAAAAAGATTGAGAAAAAATGTTTTCCGTGGGAACGTCTTTATGATTTGGGTCCAAATGAATTGGGAGAATTGCTACGTATGCCTAAACTGGGCAAAACTGTTCACAAATATATTCATCAGTTCCCTAAACTGGAACTCTCGGCACATATACAACCTATTACTCGATCAACACTTAAGGTTGAGCTAACAATTATTCCCGATTTTCAATGGGATGAGAAAGTTCACGGAAATTCAGAGGCATTTTGGATATTAATTGAAGACGTGGACGGAGAGATCATTCTTCATCACGAATACTTCTTATTAAAACAAAAGTATTGTCAGGACGAACATATAATCAAGTTCTTCGTCCCAATCTTTGATCCACTTCCGCCACAATATTTTATCCGTATTGTCTCAGACCGATGGATTGGTGCCGAAACAATATTTCCCGTTTCATTTCGACACTTGATATTACCCGAAAAATATCCGCCGCCCACAGAACTTCTTGATTTACAGCCATTACCTGTATCTGCACTAAGAAATCCAAGTTATGAATCACTTTATAAAGAGAAGTTTCCGTACTTTAATCCAATTCAGACACAAGTATTCAACTCTCTTTACAATACTGATGACAATGTCTTTGTCGGCGCACCAAACGGTTCCGGCAAAACAGTTTGCGCTGAGTTTGCTATACTTAGACTATTGACTATTCAACAAAACGACTCTAAATGTGTTTACGTGACGCCCAAAGAACAATTGGCAGCCATTGTCTACGCCGACTGGACTCATAAGTTTGGTTTGTTATTAAACAAAAAAGTAGTTTTGCTTACCGGAGAAATGGCCACCGATTTGAAACTGTTAGCCAAAGGAAATATAATAATATCAACGCCAGAAAAATGGGATGTCATATCACGTCGATGGAAACAACGTAAAAATGTACAAAATATTAATCTATATATTGTTGACGACTTACAGTTGATCGGTGGTGAAGATGGACCTATTCTTGAGGTAGTTTCGTCAAGAATGCGCTATATTTCATCACAAATCGATAAATCCATTCGAATAATAGCTTTATCGTCATCACTGGCCAATGCCAAAGACATTGCTCAATGGTTGGGCTGTAACCAAGGCTTGACATTTAATTTTCATCCAAATGTCAGACCTTTGCCTTTGGAGTTACACATTCGTGGTTTCAATCAGACCCATAACTCCACTCGATTGCAAGCCATGTCTAAACCTGTCTATCAGTCTATTCTTCATCATTCGCCCACAAATCCAGTGATGGTTTTTGTCTCAAATCGAAGACAAACCAGAATAACAGCAATTGATATCTTGACGTATGCCGCCGCTGATGCACAACCTAATCGATTCCTTCATTGCACTGAACAAGATTTAGAGCCTTTCCTCAACAGAATATCTGATGTCACACTTAAAGAGACTCTTTCGAATGGTGTCGCATATCTTCATGAAGGACTTAATCAAATAGACCGACGTATTGTAGAACAACTGTTTGATTCCGGAGCCATTCAAGTGATTGTTGTTTCACTATCACTTTGTTGGTCACTCTCCATAAATACTTATTTGGTTATAATTATGGACACCCAGTACTATAACGGCAAGATTCATGCGTATGAAGACTACCCAATTACTGATGTCATTCAAATGGTTGGTCGCGCCAATCGACCACTTCTTGATGAAGACGGAAAATGTGTTCTTTTCTGTCAATCTTCTAAAAAAGATTTCTTTAAAAAATTCTTATACGAGCCGTTGCCAGTTGAAAGTCATTTGGATCAATGTATTCACGACCACTTCAATGCAGAAGTGGTAACCAAAACGATTGAGAACAAACAGGACGCCGTTGATTATCTCACGTGGACTTTCTTATATCGTCGAATGACTCAAAACCCCAATTACTATAACCTGTCCGGTATTGCTCACCGACATCTGTCTGACCACTTGTCAGAGTTGGTTGAGACTACTCTTCATGATTTGGAAACATCTAAATGTATTACAATTGAAAACGATATGGACATCACACCACTCAATCTGGGAATGATTGCCGCCTATTATTATATTAATTATTCAACAATAGAGTTGTTTAGTATGTCTTTGAATTCAAAGACTAAGATTAGAGGTTTGATTGAAATCATAAGTAATGCCGCAGAATATGAATCAATTCCTATCAGACATAAAGAAGATGTAATTTTGAAACAATTGTTGACCAAAGTTCCGCACAGAATGGCTAACATTAAGTATTCAGATCCGCATTTGAAGACTAATCTTCTACTTCAGGCACATCTCTCGCGAATGTCTTTGTCAGCAGAACTTCAGTCAGACACTGAAGAAATTCTGTCGAAATCAATTCGTCTCATTCAGGCCTGTGTTGATGTCTTAAGTTCTAACGGTTGGTTGGGACCAGCTATGGCTGCCATGGAATTGGCTCAGATGGTGACACAAGCGCTCTGGAATAAAGACTCGTATTTGAAACAATTACCTCATTTTAACAATGATTTAATTAAAAGATGTAATGAGAAAGGTATCGAATCAGTGTTTGATATCATGGACTTGGATGACGAAGAAAGAGATCGAGTGTTAAGATTTGATTCGATTAAAATGGCAGACGTGGCCAAGTTCTGCAACAGTTATCCAAATATTGAACTTTCTTATGATGTCATCGATAAAGACAGTATAGACAGGTATTTCATTTATTCACAATTAAAATATAGTTTATTTAATTGTTGTATTGTTTTAATTAGCGGCTCATCCGTCAATATTGTTGTCCAATTGGAACGTGAAGACGAAACTGTGGGTCCAGTGATGGCGCCATTCTTTCCGCATAAACGAGAGGAAGGCTGGTGGCTAGTGGTCGGTGATTCTCAAGCAAATTCACTCATCTCTATTAAACGATTAAGTCTTCAGCAAAAGTCAAAAGTTAAGTTGGACTTCACTGCTCCGGCACCGGGAGATTATACATACACTTTGTATTTTATGTCAGACGCCTATATGGGCTGTGATCAGGAATATAAGTTCACAATTCGTGTCGTAAGTGCTTCGACATCAAGAAAACGAAAAGCAGATCCAGACAGTGAATAATCAGTTGTAATACTATTCATCACATTTTTAATCCAATATTTTATTATTTTGTAATCATTGAATTAAAGTATACTTCAATTAATTTAATCTAAAAAATAAATATCGATATATTAAATGATTTGTATTTTAATATTTATAACTTATATGATTAACAAATTATTTTGAAAGTAAAGTTTCGATTGCATTAACAAACATAGAATTATTGGTTTGTTTAATCTGCTGGAACTCGTCTGGTGATGACTTCAATATTTTCAATAATAGTTGGAACTGTTGGCTTGGAGTCAATCCCAAGTCATCCAATACATCACACAAATAGCTGATATCAGTGATGAGCTGTTGTTTCGCAAAATTAGTTATTTTGTTGAGTTTAGTAATGGTATTAATATAGGAGTCAATTGTTCTCTGAGTCATACAATCCAAGAGATATTCGGCGGCATTAGTATCGCTAACAGTCGGTTCAAAACTATAGTCTTTAATGAGTCGGATGTACTTTAAGGCCACTTTGAATGCTATATTATCTTCCAATACAAACGGTTCCAAATGTTGAGGTATTGTTAGCAAATACTGTCCGATTTGTGTGATGTACTCCTGTGGCGATAAACTAAACGAATGCATGTCTTCCTCCTCACAACTCAAGACATTCTCCTTAAACGAATCGGTAACTAATTTTGAGACTTCATTCAAATGATTTTGGATGTAATTCATGGCACAGTCGATAACAATCGATGCACTCATCGAACATATGTTTTTACATTCTTCAAGAACTGACTCTAAAATAGTGGCCGAACTTTCCGTTTCGATCAAAACATCCAATAATTGTGTTAATTGTTTTCGAGTGTTTGCCGATAGTATCAATTGATCGAAACGATTGAATGGACTCATAGTTTCGTTACTAGAATTTGTTAATATTTTCTTCGAGATATCAATCAAAGTCGTATAAAGTTGTTGCTGAAAGAGTTCTGTTTGAATAACAAGTTCACCGCTGGCTTGAAGTGTAAATAAAGACAACTGAAAGAGTGAAAAATCTGGTATTGAAGAGCTGTTGTCTATTGAATCAGATTTAACTCTTATTCGTGAAGCACTTGACTTAAAATATGCTAAATATTGCATAAAATAATTCTGAAGAATAGGTAGTAAACAAGGAATGGCTACCGATTGACACAATTGGTGACACCGTTTCTCCACTTCTTTAGCAAATGTAAACGCTTTACCCAACGTTTCACTGGGCTGTCCGCTGGCCTCCAATGTTTGCAAATGTTTGCTAAGGGATTGCTTTTCCAAATCAATGTATTTGTCTAACAAGTGCTGGTATGGAGAGTATAATACCTGAGCCAATAACTGGACATTTGGTTTGTTTAACAATTTTACCGATAAATTGGATTCAATACTTAATTCAATGCTTTTAGCGAAATGATATGTAAATTGTTTCATCTCTATTATGAAATGAATACTTTCTAAACTATTGACTTGTTTTTCGATGCATTCAATCATACAATGAGTAAGATTTGGATCAAGTGATGAAAAGACATCGACAAACAAATCACTCAATGTCTCAACTGTAGTATCAAAATCATTGGGAAATAACATTTGAGTACAGAAGTTGGTCTGTGAGTGCCAAAGAGATAACAGATAATCATGCAATGCGTTCATCCAATCCATGACATTCTCTTCGGGATCTAAAGCAATGATTCGTTTCCATTCGTGAAGAATTTGGTCTTTAAGACATTTATGATAATAACATTTCAATTTAGGCAATCGTTTCATGTCTTTGAAGAGCTTAATATAAATATGTGCCGAATCTGATATCACTTGTGATGAAAAACTATTTATGACATCAGATTCAATCAAAGATTCAAATTTATCCTTAAGCTCTTCCAGTCGCTGAACACGTTGTTCATAGTCTTGAACATCGATAAGAATGTCTAAACTATTTTGCATTCCAACCAATTTGGATGCAATGGCAGCTCTGTCTCCGCTGACCAACACTTCCTCGACATCTGTCCAAAGAGTGGTCCAATTGTCGGCCTCTTCGAGAGCTTTACACGTGTCAGTCATTCTGGTCTTAATGACATCCAATGCCATTAGTTTCTCAATTGATTTTGAAGAATCTAAAGACATTTTGTCCAACTTATCCTTATGTTTTGCCATTTGTTCCTTAAGAAGTATTGACTCCTTTTGCAAGTCTTCAGTTTCTCTCAAGACTTTCGGCAAATTGTTGACCATTTGTTGTGCATTTTCGCCCAAAGAATTATTCACCTCTTGAACCAAAAGTTGTAATTTAAAGACTAAATTAGTGGCAATTATTTCGGTCGATGACTTGTCATCAATGGCTGCGAACCAGTTGTTGATCCAATTGATGGCATCAAAGTTGTCGTCAGAAAAAACCGTTAAATCCTATCAATCAAAACAAAACAATAGTTTAATAAATATATTGTATTTTTTCAAATATCACTTAAATTACTATTTTATCCATAGTTTGTCCAAAAAGTCTTATAATTTAACGAAACAACTGTTCAAACAAATGAAGTTAAAACTGAAGACAAATCATCAAAACATTTGTGTCATCAGTGATGCCATCAGTGATGTCATACAAAACCATATGATTGTCAACCAATTTGTCCACAAATAGTCTTTACAATCACCGAATAATTAACTGATGAAATTCGAACCTATTTAGTGATAGTCTTTATTCATTGATTACCACTGATGATCATCGATTGGATCAATTAAGTGATGTCATCAAAGTTGTGGCAAACTTTGCGTTATTTGTATACAAAATATTTTCAATTGTTTTGATTGACATAACATTGTATGCAATGCTGTGTTGTGTTTGTCTATAAATAAAACCATTGAATGAAAACTTTAGTTAACATTTGGTACAGATATTTGTTATCTTAAAAGTTGATCCAATTGGTGATCAAACATGTCTCGTGGTTTGGGAGGTATCGGAAAAATTGAGCAAAAGATAAAAGACAGACAAGAGATCACCGATAAGCAGATTTCAAGTGCATTTCAAGACTTAAACAAACTTATGGATATGGTATGAACTGATGAACCAATTGATGACATCATTTGGATATCTATTTATATCTCATTTGATCCATAGGCTCAACAAATGGTCGAACTATCGAAAGGTATCACAAAGAAGTTAAAAGATAAAGGAAATGACATTTCCAAAGATGAGGTACTAAATGGGTGATGATTTGTGTCCACGAAATTAATATATTAATACTTATTGTCTTTTAGACCGTTGTATTTAAATCTCATTTACTAAGTCTTGGTATTAGTGATCAATCAGATGATCCAGTTGTTAGATCACAGTTTTCCAGTGATAATAAATACTACTTAGAGTTAGGCAAACAAATTGAGAAAATAGTGAAACCAATTATTGAAGAAAGTGGTGGACAAATGTCTTTGACAGATGTCTTCTGTACAGTCAATAGAGCCCGAGGTTTTGATGTATGTCTTAGCAAACAATTTTGTTTTTGTCATATAATACTCAATTAAATCACATTTTATTGACTTATTTTTAGTTAATATCAGTCGAGGATCTGTTGAATGCCTGTTCAACGTTTGAATTACAAAACTATGGCCTAAAATGTGTTAAATACAAGAGTGGACTCATTGTACTCCAGAGTAATAATTACAATCAAAACTCTATGAATAATAAGATATTAGATTTACTCGAAACCAATGACTCAGTTTCGGGTCAGGAACTGGCGCTCAGCGCCAGTATATCACTTGCATTGGCCCGACAGAGACTTTTTGACTGCGAAAACATCGGTATTGTCTGTAGAGATGAAAGCATTTATGGCTTACGATTTTTTCCCAATAAATTTGTTTAAATTATTGTATAAATTGTTTATATTTTTTATTATAATTATTTTTGTGTAAATAAACTTTACATAAACTTTAGGTAATATTACTGTATATTTATTGTAATAAAATGTCATTTCAATTATCTGTTTGATTTTATCATATATGACATACTTTTTCACCATTGATAATATTTGTTTTATTTAATAAATTTAACAATTATTACGGGTAGAAATGTTGGCTAAAATTTTGTTTTTGACATCAATTACCAGTTTATTGCTCTTTCATCAATAATAATAATTATTATTAGCTGTTATTTTAGATAAATATTTGTTTATTCAAATATAAACATAATTTAAATATTAAGAAAAAACTAAGAAAATATTTCAAATCCGGTTTTATGTTAAATTATAACTATTTAAAGCATAATTATTTGTATAGTTTGAATCGCCTATTATTATATTGATGTGAAATTTAAAAACTTTAGTGATTTAAACAATTGCGACCTAAAGTCACCCATTATTATGACTTTTTTGTTCACATAAATCCTTTTGACTCAAACTTATAATGTTTTTTAAAACAGTTGTTAAATCCCTTTAGCTGTGAATTCGTAACCAAAAATTTATATACAGTAATAATTAGATCAAATTAAAAATTAATGCTAATTAAGTTTACAAAAAATAAAAATTAACTAAATTTTATTTTAAGCTAAAAATTTAAATTTTCCAATGTTTGGCAATGATTATAATAATTTATTTATATTTTAAAGACTATTTAATTCAATAAATTGCCCAAAAATGTTATTTTTAATTATCAGTGATTAATAAATATAGTTTAAAATAAAATTTACTTTTATAAGTAGTTTTTTGTTAATTTTGACTTTGAGCTAAATAAAGTCATATATATTTAAAGTAAGTAGTTTGTTATGCTTATCTAATTATTAATCAAAAAAGTATTATTATTTTTTTAATTATCATTGATTTTAAAAGTTTATATTACAATAACTATTTATTTTTAATTGTATCTTCTTATAAATTTCTAGATTACTTATATATATTTATTTACTTAGTTTACATTTATATGTATAATATAAACAACTACATTATTTTTATCTAATTATAAAAAATTATTATACATGTATATCGTTATTATAGATCTCTTGAATTTGAAATTTTTTATTACTTTTTCATTTTTGTTATTAGAAATAATAATTGCTTATAAAAAAGACATGAATAATATAACAATTTAATTGACACAAAATTTTAAAATAATAAAATATATTATACAGACATTATATAAAAAAAGTTATAATTGATTCCCACATTATTTAAACAGGTTTTACAATAAGAGTTATTTTATTATTCAAATAAAATAAAAGTTTTTTCAATTAATTTTAATATAAAGATCGCACAGTTAGTCAGTTAGTCAGTCAGTCATTAGCATCTAAAGTGGTGAACACCTGCGGAACACCCCTTCCTTCCTATGGCTCAATGGTTTTGTCGTTAGACTTGTTTTTGCTAAAAATGGTTTTCAAAATAATAAGGTGTTTATAATGTTATACGATATTATACATTACATTAAACATTGCATTACAATGTTATTAAGTGTTTAAACAAAACTTTTGGTTAACTTTTTGGACAAAATATGGATTTTGAAAATCACAATAATTTTGGATCAGTTCGCAAATTAAGAGATCGTTTTGAACAAAATAATTGTCACTATAATAGTCTCAAAAGTCAACCGCCGACTAAAAGGTTTGATTATTTGCTTATAAATTATAAAATCACTTAAGAATATGTTTAATATTAAATTAAATATAATATCCTAATTATCATATATTAAAATCATTAAATTTTATTTTTTAATGTTTAAAATTAGTTATAATTGTTGATTATTTATAGATATACTACAGATATTCAACAATTGATTCGTAGCCTTGACTATAGCGACAATAAACTAGACATAAAAAACAGTCGAAAACCTGAAATTAAGGCCAAACCGAAAGTTACAAATAATTTTTGTCAAAAACTGAACCAAACTTTAAGTAATGACAAACAATTTAATGCCACTAAAACTCGACACACTTTTGCTGCACCCGATGTCGACACTCTCGAAGCAAATTTAGTTGATGTCAGTACTGGACATACATCTCAGCTAACGGTTCCCAATCCTGTTCCCAAACCTCCCCGTACTTTTGCACACGATGTCTATCTGGAGCTTAAGTTTAACAAAAATAAGACCAATTTCATCAATAATAGCAACAATAATGTGATAACTAATAAACTTTCAAATTTAGAAGTCGACAAAATTATGGCCTTATATTCAAAGCCTAACAAAACAAATAAACTGAAAGATAATAATAGACTCAGATCTCAAAGTGACTCTTCAGTAATGGATAAGACGCTTACGGATACCACTAATGATAATATATATGACGACATCATTATTGGCAAAAATTGTGATAAAAAGTTTAAATTAAAAATTTTAAAACATTTGTCGTGTCTTAGATTAAAGCCTCACTAAACACATTATAATATACGGTATAGTACTCAGTATAATATAATAACTATTTTTTAAATTAAAAATATAAGTTTAATTACAATATATTAATAATTACTAATAGTTATGTTTATGTTACCATAAGTTTGTATATTTTTAATGCAGTTATTGTATTAATTTTTATAAATTTATTCCCTTTAAAACTAAACATTATTTTTTGTTAATTAATTTGTATATAATTATTGTTGATTTTTGTTATATAAAATGTTGTGTAAATAATTTGTTTATTTTATGTTTATGAGTTATATTTATTAAAATAAAGTGTTAACTTAATAAATAAATATTATTAAACATTTTTTAAATAAACAAAAATTGTCATTGTACAAATATTTAGTCACTATGACAACAATTAAATATTGAGCATGCTATTTTTTAATCAAATAAATTTTATATCAAAAGTTGATTTGTTATAAATAAAAGTCATTAATATTTATGATACAAATTACATAACAATTAAGTAATGCTTTATTATAATTGTTATAAAAAATATATTGTATTTTACTTTAATATAATTTATTATTATATTGAATATCAATCCTATATTCTAAACAAATATGTGATAAAAGCATCAAAATTCATATATAATAATCATCTGTAATCCTATAATATACAGTAATACATCTTTACTTTTAGATAATTTTTTTATAAAAAATTTTCAATCTATTCTTAATTTTAATTACCGTATAATAATTGTTGTTTTGTGTATAAAATTTAATAAAATTAAAGTTTTTCATCTATTTGTAGTAAATAAGTTAAATCTATTAAGTATTAATTACGAGAGTTTACTGTTAGTGAAGTTAAACAGTAAATGATTGATCATTGAGTGCATTGATTGTATCAATGCTTTTGATTTAAGTACTGAAAGCTTACAAACTTTGACAACACATACGCACTGCAGGAAAGACATACTAATAGGTAAAGTATTCGCATAACAGTCAGAGACGAGCACTGAAAGAGAGAGAGAGAGAGTCAGACAGTAGGAGAGTAAGTGAAAGACTCCCTTAGAGTCGAAACCGAAGCCATTTGCTGAACCAAAACTAAACCGAAACTCAATCTATTATATATTTAATGACTACAGTATATTGAATACAGTTTATCAAATGTACTCAAACACGTGACTAAAACTTTACAAAAGAAATTAATGTATAAAAAAATTCTATTAAATTTTAGCATTACATTAATTAACAGTTTTAAAATTAAAAATTAAATATGCATTTAAAAAATTAAGATATTAAAAAATATTCTAATTTTTCTAATAATTATAAATTAATATTTTGAGTAAAATATAAAAAATCTAAAATTAGAAATTCTAATCAATTCTGTATGAGTTTTAATCGTTTAACTAAAACCAAACCGTTTGGTTTACACCTCTAATACACATAAAGAGCGCATCATATGATATGCTGACTGTTTTGACGGCATTTCTCTCTCTTTCTCTCTCTGACTGAACGCTAACTTTTGTTATGCCGTCCACAGAGTTGTCCGCAAATCGACAATTGTTGACCAAATTTGTCACTACAATAGACATCATAATCTGTGGTCACAATTGATTGTATCGGTGAATATGTGTCTTGTTTTTTGATAAATTTTATTATAATAATCACAAATATCTGTATTGTTTGAAGTGTTAAACAAGTGTTGCATAATTTGTGTCATAATTTGTGTAAATATAATGAAAGAGAGTATTAAGTGTTTGTTTCATTGATTGGATAGAAATGAATGAATGAATGAATGAATGAATGACTAAAACTCTATACACAATGTTTGGACAATAATAGCAAATGAATAGAATGTTCGCACCATTTGTCACATCAATCACTTACTGACCACTCATTGACTTTTGTTTTGATTTTCACAGACAATGAGTGGTGAAGAGCGACGAATTGCACTCAAGAGTGTACCACTCGGTGGTCATCAAAACAATAATAATAATAATAATAATAATAACATTGTAGACAAACGTGAGATGAAGAGAGAGACGAAAACACGACGCTTTCAATTGACACTCAATACACACGAAGATCATTGCAATGAGTTTTCATTTACTCAACTCATCAGTCAATCTGATGAACCAAATGTATAGACAATTGAATTGATTATATGTTTATAAAAAATTATTAAATTATTTTCTCATTTGATTTTTTAGACTAAACCTAACGGTGCCGGCGATTCTGATGACCCGCTTCTTGAAGAAGATGACGAAAAAATACGTAATTTGGAGAAACATTTTCAGAGGAAATACGGACCGAAAAAGAGGCGTATAATTGAGGATCACATCGACAAAGGAGAGGGATATGATTTGACTGATCCTTTCATTGATAACGAAGAGGCTTACGATGAACTGATTCCATCTGATATGACCACTAAATTTGGCGGATTTTACATTAATTGCGGTGAACTTGAATTTAGACCACTTTCTCCCGAAACCATAGATAAAAATGAATTGGAAAAGGATGACGACGAAGACAATATCAAACCAGTTGTCATTAAGGTATTCAATGATTTACTATTTATTAAACAAATTTATTATTTTTAAATAAAATCATTTTCAGCGGACAAAGAAAAAACCATTTGTCGAAAGTAATGAAGAAATGCAGAAATTAAAGAAGAAACGAACCAACACTTCCAATACAACAAATACATCCAACAAAACCGATATACCAAATATAATCGACACATCTAACAAAATTAACTTATCCAACACAACCAACACAAACACATCCAACAAAACCAACTCATCCATCACAACAAACTCATCCGTCACAACCAACATATCCAACAAAACCAATATAACAAATATAATTAACACACCAAACAAAACAAACTCATCCAACACATCCAATAAAACCAATACAAGTATAATCAATACATCCAACAAAATCAATAAACCAAATATAAGCAACGCATCAAACAAAACCAATATAACAAATATGATCAACACTTCTAACAAAAACAACCCAATAAATACAATTAACAAAACCAACACATCCAAAATAACCAACACATCTAATATAACCAACACATCCAATATAACAAACACATCCAATATAACCAACACATCCAATATAACCAACACATCCAATATAACCAACACATCCAATATAACCAACGCAACCAATACAACCAACACATCTAATACATCGCGTCCGTCAAAATTATCTGATTTGAGTGGTGTTTATACCGGACAGGACTATATTGATCAATATGTTGAACATATTATGAGAGCTCAGAGTTTGAGAGCAGAGCGACAAAAGAAACAGAAGAAAGAAGCAAAGTCAGCAAAAGGTAGCGACCAATCGTTGTGTACACCATTGAACTTGAAGGTGACACCAAACAGAAGCACATCGAGTCCACAACTCAACTATAATGACAATTCATTGGTTTCAAAACAGCTTCAAAAGCAATCGTCTAATTTATCGAAAGATTTCATCAAAACGTCAAAATATGATCAAACGTATGTCTCACCTCTTTTGAACACAATTAACAATAATACAACTATTAGTAGTTCACGTGACACATCTTTGACCATAACTCCGGTAACGACAGTCCAGACTAAATCGAGTGACATATTAAACAACAAACAAAATTCAATGAATACTTCATCGACGCGCAACTCATTTAATGTTTCATCGATTACATCACCTGTAACTACAGTTCAGCATAAATCGGGTGACATTTTAAACACCAAACAAAGTTCAATGAATAGTTCAACACGTAATACATTTAGTGTATCACCGATTATAGCACCGGTATCGACATCTCAGCATAAATCACCCGATCTATTAAACGCCAAACAAACTTCAGTGAATAGCTCATCAACGCGTAACTCATATACCGGAAATACGATGACGACCTCGACATCAGTAACTACAACTCAACACAAATCGGGTGACATATTAAACAGTAAACAAAATTCGGTAAACAGTTCATCAACGCGTAACACATTTAATGTATCGCCGACCACAACGCCTCAATTGATGATGAATGAGATGTCTGGACACTATTATATACAAAATTATGCCAATTTGATGCAATTCGGACAATTACACGGACATGCAATGAGACTCATGGATCAACAAAATCAAGCATCATTATTTAGCTCACAATTGAATAACCAATTTTACTCTCAATATTCAACCAAATCTACCAGTGCTTCCAATAAATCTTCAAATAAAGACAAATGAATCAATTTTATGAATTAACAACAATCGATGAAAAGTTTGATTTTACATATTATTGATAGTTTTAAAAAGCAAAGGTAGGAGTTTATTGTTGAGTATATCTTTATGCTTATAGTGTATATAACTGTTTATAAAAATAGTTTATTTGTACTGTAATTTTATTACATAATTATAAATATAATTTTGGTAATACAATAAAATTACTAATTTATTTAACATGAAATTTAACAATTTAGCTAAACTTGTAATTATATTGAATAATAACTGTTTATATGAATAATGTAATTTACTAATTGCTTGTCAAAAGTTACAAGAAAATAGAATTTGTGAAAAATTTTAAAAACTTAAAAAATTAAATTTAGTTTTATTATTTGTTTAATTATAAAGTTTATTAAATTTTTTATATACCATTTATCTCACTTTGTCATAATATTAGGTATGCATTGTATAGAAATTTTTTCTTAGTTTTAGACAATTCTTTAAAAATTAATAATTTCTAAAATTGATATGCAATATAATTATAAATTAAAATATTGTTGAATTATATTATATTGTTATCTATGGTGTTATTTATTGTTAACATTTGATATGAGATCTTAAATGTTGTAATCTTAAGATTTTATATCATTTTTAAGGCATAAAATCACTTAAAAGTGATTACATTCCTAACGAAAGAATATTTAATATTTCCTTCTTTTTATTGTTTGGGAAAATAATCTTTATTTAAGATTTATTAGACTTTAATTAATTATATTATAGTTATTATAAATATGATAACACAATATTAAACTTGACTGTCAACACGTAAACTTTAGGAAACATCTCTGGGAATATTTCAAATGATAGAATCTTAACAAACCTTCCTATAATTAGCTATAGATTAATATAAAATTGTATTCTTTCACAGAAAAAAATAATAAACAAAATCCAAAATTTTTATATTTAGTTTTTAACACTTGATTTAAAATTACAATATGAAAAAATTGCAACTCTTTAAAAAAATGTACTTAATTTTAAAGTAAGACAAAGTGAGAAAAACGGTTGTCTTTTAAATTACAACTTTATATTCAACTATTGATTATGTGTTAAATATTTAAATTAATACATATATTAAGTTGATTTACAAGCATTAAACTAGAATTTGCATTCAATAACAATAAATATATGTCAAAAATTGGTTTTTTGTTAAATAATATATTTATTAATCATATATTTTTTGTTAAACCCGTTTAAGTTAACAAGTTTTTCCTGGAGTGAAAGTTTTTCCTTATTTTTGACATACATTTCTCTAAAAACCAAATGGCAGTCATTGAGAGTGAAAGTCTCACATTTCATTGCAGACAAGTTTAAGGTGAATACATGTGAATATTTGTGCAGTCATTTCATAATCAATATATTCTTTACTAATTTATTATTAATTTGTTTTTTTTAAACATCGCTTAATGAACTTTTTAATTAAAAAGTATAATTTTATAAATAAATATATATATTATATATATATTTTTGTAGAACAATTGTAATTATTGTAATAATTTTGTAGTGCATAAAATGTATTATTTACTTATAAATTACAAATAGTATATATAATTATTTGATCATTAAGTTTACGAATTACTTGCACTTAATAAATATTTGCCGCAATTCGTGTTAATGTCGGGTTTTATAATTATTTTTCCCATCATTTTATTATCCAATCAATTATTGTAAAAGATTTTACATATTATTGTATTTGTAAAAATAATTTGTTGTCAGCCTTCAAGTCAACGATATTTTAAAAAAACTTTAAAAAATAACATCAAAACAATTTTACTTGTAATATAATTTATTAATGAACATAATTATTTGAATTTTTTTCACATACTTAATATTTTTATATTGTTAAGTGACTGCAATTTTGTATAACAAAATTATTAAATATAAGTTTATTGTATATAAAGTGTTTTCTTGAAAAAAAACTAAATAAAATTGTTATCACTTAAATGATTAAATGTTAAATAATTTTGAAAGTCATTTGATAAAACTTTGTTGAAAAAATTTAGTTAAAAATGACAACTTTTAATTTGAAAAACCAAAACCGCAAATTCGTATTCTTGCGTTATGTCAGCTATGCCTTAGCAATAATAGCCATAATTAGCATAATCTACCTGTTCCTCAATCCAGGCTATTTAGATAAAGTAAATTTGGGATCAATTGACGACAAGAATGTCATTGTGTTGACAGACATTAAGCCAAATCAGGAAAAATTGATTGTTAACGACAAAAGTACTATTAATGCAATTCATCCCAAAACAAGTCATTCACAAGAATTGTCGGATTCATTGAACTCAGTCATTGTGTCGACAAATTCTGGCAAAATTCGCGGTAAAATACATGAAGTTCTTGGCGTAAAAGTGAACACATTTTTAGGTATTCCCTACGGAAAGGCACCGACAGGTGTGTTACGATTCCGACGGACACAACCAGTTAAGCCTTGGACTAACATATTGAACGCAACCCGACTTCCGGCCGCATGTATTCAATCGGAATACACACAAAAACTATTTCCCGTTAAGATTCTTAACTATGAACTCAGCGAAGACTGTCTTTATATGAATATATGGACTCCTGTGACAAATGAAAGTTCATTACCAGTTATGGTATGGATTCACGGAGGAATGTTTACCATTGGTTCTGTTGGTGTCGATGAATATGAYGGCAGTGTTTTRGCATCATTTGGAAATGTTATAGTAGTTTCCATTCAATATAGGTTAGGATTATTTGGATTTCTTGATTTAGAAACCGACGAAATACCTGGAAATATGGGTCTTTCGGATCAGGCGATGGCAATCAAATGGATTTATGATAATATTGATAATTTTGGTGGCGATTCTAAATCCATAACACTTATGGGACAATCCGCTGGTGGTATATCTATAGGTCTACATATGATGACTGACACTAAAAARTATTTTAAAAGAGTAATTCTTGAGAGTGGAAGTTCTATGCTTCTGAATCAAGTGTATGGTCGCGGACACAAAGTAGCCGAAGAGTTTGTCCGCAAAATTGGTTGTTTGCCCGAAGGAACCGACATTTATGACGCTCCAGARCTTATAGTAAAGTGTATCGACACCGTAAGTCTTAAAAAGATAAGTCAAGCTCAACAAGAAATGGTAACCAACAATCCCGTCCCATTCCTACCTACCATTCCATCAGATTTTGTCGAAAACTTTCCCACTGAAAGCAATGAAAACATAACATATAACCAAAAAGATTTTTTAATTGGTTTCAATCAAGACGAGGGGACACTAATACTTCATTTAGCTTATCCTAAAAACTATACAAGAACTACCGTTCCTATAATAAATACTTTAGATGAGGCTCGCAATGCTATCGTTATGATGGCAGTGGACGGAGGTTTCCCCGAAATGCAAGCAAAAAGTATGGCAGCAGTACTGCTCAATGGCAACGAAACGGATACACCAGAAAACTGGGCCCGAAAAATAGCGTCAGTTTTCGGAGATATTATGTTTATATGTCCGACACTAAGTTTTGCCGATAAGTTTTCAGCCCTCAACAGTACTGTCTATATGTATATATTCACACATAGAGCACATAATTCAGTTTGGGGTAAATGGATGGGAGTCACCCATCACGACGAACTCAATTATGTGTTTGGAGTTCCCCTACGGTATCCAAATATGTTTGACGGACAGGACATCAACTTTAGTAAACGTTTAATCAAGACGTGGACACAGTTCGCCAAAACTGGGTATGACTTCATTTTGTCGTTTCCTATAAGTTATATTAAATCTCTAACTATTTTTATACTACACTAAAAATAATACAATTTCTCGATTATTATTGAGTTATCACATCTTTTAACGAATTTATTTATTTCTAAATTACTTAATCATTACAAAAAAAATATTAATAACTCATTTATTATTCACAAATTTTCTTTATTATAATTTTTGGTTTTAATTACAAATATATTATAGCGTAATATGATATTTAATGTTTTAGATCTGTTTCACCAATCGATTATCAACACGACTGGCATTCATACGATTCCTCAAAGCCTTATATGGAATTAAATGCTAGGAATGCCTACATCGGGCACCGGTATCACGAAGAAACTTGTAATTTATATAATGCTCTCATTGAGTATCTCAATAGATAAGTGCCAATATTATCTATCAATTTTAAATATTTTATTTTTTATAAATCTCAAAGCTTTATCTTAATTTTGTTAAATAATATAAGGAAAATATTATTCATATTTTTAAAATATAAATATTTATTTATATCCTTAGTATTATTTTTATACAGTAAAATGATTAATATTTTCCCAGTAATATTATATTGTATAAAACTATAATACTATAGTTAAAACTTAAATTATGTGAATATAAGCTATAATTTCTGTATGTTTTGATTTGTTTATATTAAATGAAGGTCATATAATTATATTTTTATATATTTTTAGTGATTTTCGTAATTATCATTTTATTTAATTTCATTGCTTTTTCATACATGTTTAACAAGTTTTATAATATATTTGTTTATTTATAAATAAATTTCATTTCATCAATTGTAAATTATATTTGTCATTCTAGGTTAAAAATTTAAAATAAATATTCAATGTTTATAAATAAACTAATTGTAAATAAATCTAAACAAGTTTCATTATATTTWTGATATTAATAGTTAGTAAACAAATTGAAATTATTAAAATTGAATTTGTCATTTTTAGCAATATTTTTTTATTTKAAAATATTTGATTGAATTAATTATTAATATAATAAATAAAACTGTTATTATTTTGATAATTATACTTTTAAATGAAAAACTATTTGAAAATATATAGTATAAATAAATATAGTAATTATTTAAAATGTTTGATATTTTATGTAATCATAAGTTAGTTACAAACGTAATAATTAATGACTAAATTWAAAAATATATTTAAAACTTTATCTTTCTAACCTCACTAATGCAACATTTATTTTATTTTTTTAAATCCTAGTTTAATAATTTAGTTTATCTTACTAAATTGTTAATATTATTACATTAAACATGCATTTTATATTGTTTTAATAAAATATTTTAACAAAAAAAATGAATAATTTAAACATTTTGAATGTATAATGACTTTTAAATGAAAATATGTCACATATTGTCTGTTTTTGATTACTAAAGATGGGACACATTTAAAAATATTATTGCATTACATAACATACAATCTAAAGATAGCAATACATAAAAAAGAGTTTAACATTTGCAAACTTGTGCACTGAATTTAATTGTGCAATACTTTTAAGTATATAATACTGTATTTATTTAAAGTAAAGGTGATGATCATCACTGGCTATGAGCCCAACCTCAATGACAACTCTCATATTTTACCATTAAATGTATTTCTATAATGGTGTTCAAAATATATCAATATTTATGATATAGAGTATAAAATTTAATTTTAAAATCTTAATTAATAAATTATCTGCAATTTATTAAAAGTTAAATAAAGCTTAAGATTAGCTATATTTTGTGTGACAATTATGGGATATCCGGGAATAGAGAGATTAATGACATTACAAGATGAAGAGYTGAAGTTCTTGGAAAATATCCGTAACTGTGTTAATATGCGGATCAAATGTGACCGCGAATATGCCTCTTCTCTATTAGCGGTCAGCATTTGTGGCCAAAAGTGCCGATTTAACGACGACTTTGCCAACACTAATATCGGTAATGTTTGGATGACTATTGCTATTGAATCAGAAACTCTGAGTAAATTAATGCACACGAATGCCGATGACATAACATATGAGATATTGGATCAAATGGATGAACTAATTGCAGAAAAGAAGGCGTTAAGAAAATCATTGATTGATGAATATAACAGATATTATACTAAATTAAATAATGTATTATATATTCATTTTATTAATTATTTTTAAACTTATTATTTTCTCTATCAATTTTAATCAAAATATTAAAAGTAGCATGATAATTTAATTATTATTCAATCTAAGCAAAAAAAATCAATTATCATTTAATTTATATTTTAATTTGCTAACAATTTATTAATATAAAACTATTTTATATTCACGATTAATGCATTATATAAATAATACATGAAAAACATTTCCTGGATATTTGCCTAATTTTTTTATTAGAAGTTACTGTATATGTAATATATACACAAATATAATAATAAATTATTAAAATATATAACCATTATTGTGTTAAATGTACAAGTTTATTGTGGTTATAAAAATATTATTATAACATACTATATTATCTATACAATTATCAACAATTCAGGAAATGTTTATTTTTTTAAACTCAAAATGAAACATATTTCACAAATGATTAACAATTTAGAAATTAATCCAATTATTATTATTACTTTAATTAACTTATATTTGAATAGTTAATAAAATCGTGTCATAAAATTCAAGTCGATTATCAAAAATGTTTAGCAAATTATAAAAGTATTAAAAACAAATATGAAGATATTTGGCTGCATTTTCCTCAAAAGTGTGATAACTTGAAAATTAAATCAAAAAATGATAAACAATTTGAAGAAATTAAGAAAAAATACAAGAAAATGTGTCAAAAGTTACATATTTTACACAACGATTATTGTTTGATTACCACAGAAGCCAAACAATATGAAAAAGATTTCCGATTACTTTTGATACCAACTATTATATCATATCACGAGTCAGTTCTTATAGATTCAGGTCTGTCATCAAAATTAATACAAATTATTAATAAAGAAAATAAATTATTTAACTTTTTATATTATATAAAATATTTAATATTTTTTTATAGGCGACAAATGGAGTCAGATATTAACAAAATTTGTTGAAAAAACTGATTTAACACAAGAAAACTATTTACGACATCAAAATAAATTAAACACAAACGTCAATAATATTATGACAAATAATATTTATGGAGAACTTAGAGGAAAACTCCAGAATCCAGTATTACCGCAGATTAATGTTAAATTCAATGACAATTTGCTTGAAGATTATGTCGGTGCTCTCAAACCCAATCAATTAATCATTGATACCTTTACTATCGACTCATTGAACTTAAAGTATTGGAAAATTTTTATTAAAATTAATTGAATTAAAATATTTTTTMTCAAAACATAATTTAAATTTTTTAATAACAACTTATTTAACAATTTTATTAATATTTTTTACAATTTCATAGAGAGTCTGAACTTCGCATTCAATTAAATAAATCTCAATTAGATATCAGAGATAAGATTTCGCTGGAAAAGCAATACGAAGAGGAGATGAGGGCATTGATGACATTAAGTGATGAAAATTCAAATGCAAAGATGGGAATCAAAACAAGGAAGAGAGCCATTGATATCATCAAAAAAGATTTGATTTATAGTGAATGCAAACATGAAATAACTCATCAATTATGGGAAAGGGTAGACATTTGCCTATCAAAAATTGCTGGAATTCAAGTGCCCACTGGACTCGACTTAAATCTAACATCACATCCACGACAACTGACCCAATTTGAGAACAGTTCAATAGATAGCCGATCTATAAGTAGAGGCTCAAGAAGTGAGGACAACTCACGGATATATTCGACAATATCTGGTACGATGTTATGGAGTAGAACTCTATTCACAAGATTCAGACGTCCAAAGACATTGAATAACTCGGCCACTGAAACGACGTCCACAATGACAAGTCTGCCCTCAACAACAACAACAACAACAAACTATTCTACGTTTAATTGCAATAAAAATGAGACAATTGGTGACGATATACATGAACTCAATGATGAGGAATGGTTTCACGGAAGTCTTCCCAGATATGAAGCAAATAAATTATTGTCAAAGAGAGGAGACTTTTTGGTGAGACAGACACTCAAAGACCAACACAACTGTTATGTCGTGTCTGTCCTTTGGAATGGATTTCGTCATTTCATTATCAATATTGACTCTCAGGTCAGTTATCATAGCATAACATAATTTTTTAGGGTATGTGTACTTCAAATAAAATAAATGTAATTAACAAATAAATAAAAAAATTAGATGTTATCTTATTTGAAAAAATCAGTTACTATTACAAACATATTTTTTGGTTCAAAACAAACACAAAACTACTTTTTACTTTAATATAATAATAAATTTATTTTTTTTAAAAACTGGTTTTCCTTATTATTTGAATTTGTATGAAAATCTTCACTTTTAAGAAATGTATTTTTTAGTAATTAAGTGATAATATACTCAATAAACAACTTTCAGAATATTTTAATTTATGTCATAATTTATAGTAAATATAATAAATAGCGGAAAAAATTATGACATTTGTAAACATTAATGACTTTAAAAGCAACTAAAATTAATTTTGCATTAATTTAAAATGAAATATTTGATGACTATTTTAAAACAAACAGGGTCTATATAAATTGGAGGGGCCCTCCTTTACAACAATATCAAATCTTATAGAATATTATCAATTTAATAAACATAAAGTAACCGATAAAAGTGGGGCTCTTTTATTGAATACCATTTGTCGAGAAAAATGGGAACTGAGTCATAAAGATATAGAGCTCAAGGAGAAGATAGGTCGGGGAAACTTTGGGGACGTCTATAAAGGGATACTACGGAAAACAGGAACGGGAACTCTCAAAGAGATGAACGTTGCGATCAAGACATGTAAAACCAATTTACCGGACCAACAGAAATGCAAATTCTTGGCTGAGGGACGTATTCTTCAGCAATACAATCATCCAAATATCGTACAACTTATTGGTATTTGTGTCCACAAACAGCCTGTTATGATAGTCATGGAGTTGGTTGAGGGCGGGTCACTGTTAAACCATTTGAGACATAACACAAACAGAGTATCATTTACTTTATCAATACTATTGAAGATGACTATAGACGCCGCTTCCGGGATGGAGTACTTGCAAAGCAAAAACTGCATTCATAGGTATTGCATATCACATATAAATTAAATTTTATTAATTTATAATTATTTTTATTTTATTATATATGACTATTTGTAATTCAGGATAAATTGAATGTGTATGAAATTATTTTATTCAAATAGCAAAATTAACATTATAATAGATTTAACAAATTATAGGGTATAATACATTAGTATTGAATGATTGACCCACACTTGTAGTAAATAAAAAGTAGGCAATAGTGTTACACAAGTGTTGAGTTTATTACTTCTACATTATTGATAACCTCTTACTTCAGGATTTTGTTTTTGAATTAGTTTTTTTCAAAATTATATTATCAATAATAATCAATAATAATCAATAATAATTACTGGTTATAAAGTGTTTTAAATTCAATAAACACTTTAAAATGATGAATTGATGATTAATTAGATTAACATTGAAATTTTTTAATCAAAAAAATTATACCATTAATTATAAAATATTTTTATATATTTCTATTTTTATATATTTAGAGATTTAGCGGCGCGTAACTGTTTAATAGGTTTGGATAAAGTTTTAAAGATAACTGATTTTGGTATGTCTAGAGAGGCCAATAATGATCTTGAATACACTGTATCAACTGGTATGAAACAGATACCAATTAAATGGACGGCTCCAGAAGCGCTAAACTATGGTAACATTTTTTAATAATATAAAAATATTAATATTTAAATATCATTTATTCAAATGTAATAAAATAAATTATACATTTCCTAACCATTTAATAGGTCGCTATACATCCCTTTGTGACGTTTGGAGTTTTGCAATATTAATGTGGGAAATATTAACAATGGGAAGTACCCCATACAGTGGTATGTCCAACGCTAAAGCACGGGATCTCATTGATAATGGATATAGACTTCCTTGTCCTCCCAGAGCACCACAAAATGTTTATCAATTGATGTCCCGCTGTTGGGACTATGAGCCGGAAAATAGACCTCATTTTTCCGAAATCAGACAATTATTAAATGATATTTATAATAATTTACAAGAATCTAATAATAATAATAATAATACTGAAATGGGTGAACAAGATATTGAAACACATTTATAATTAAGATTTTAAATATATAATTATAAGTTTTAATCAATAATTATTATGTTAATAGATTTAATATAAAGTCAATGTTAATAATTTAATTACTATAATCGGTTTATCAAATATAAAAACAAATAACTAATAAATTGATATTAAAAATATATCTACCGATAATTTAAAACACTTTGAGTTTAATATAAATTATGTCTAAAATTAATTTTTAAAAATTATTTTACCAGTTAAACAAAAATAGAGTATAAATAATTATTTTATTTTTTATTTATAACAGTTATAATACAGTACATATTAATTTACTTTATTACTATAATATACCGGTATATTCATCACTACATTATTAATATGTATATAATGAGCAAATGATACTTTTTAATGTGTCAATTGATGTCAATTACTRTAATTATTATTATTATTTAATTTAATAATATATAAATTTATTATTAATATACTGTATTTATATATCTCACAAATAGCGTTGCGCGTGAAAACATTTTTTAGTGGATTAAAAGTAAAAAATTTAGTTTTAATAAATAAGAAAGAGATAAATATAAATATACGGTATATAATAGAGAAAATGAGTTATTTAATTGTATTGTAAATTTAATTGCAATTTTATTAAAATTATATTATATTATTTTAAATTTACAAAATAATATAAGAATTAATTGGTAAATATTAATCAATTTATTTATTTAAAAGACAATAACATTAAATCTATTAATATTAATGACATCTCAAGATTGAACAATAGATTATATAATATGAATACTATATAACAAATATACTGAAACTCACGCTAAAACTGGATTAAGATATTATTGTTACAAAATTTCAAACTTCAAACAACTGTTGTCTTTAACGTATGTTTTTTAGTGATTGATTTTTTGTGGTTAAACCAAATTGTTTTTATATTCAATCACTTAAGGATAACATGACTTTAGCGATGCTTTACCTGTTTGTCATATCACTGGCGATGATCTCTGTCTTAAGCCTATCGACTGATTTAAATAATACAGACTTTGATCACATCATTAATAGTCAAACAAATGAGTCAAACCATTCACTGTTTGGATCACAGATGAAGAATCAGACCATTGAATCAAACCATACTTCAGACATTCCGCTCCAACAAAATTTGGACAAACTTGAGATCAATGATAACTCTGAAGCACAGCAAGAAATCGATGAAAGCAAATCCGGTCTTAAGATATCGATGTTTTGGATTATTATGGCTGTAATCTGTTTGTTGGCACTGATAGCTATTATTGCTTTTCTGGTAGTTATCGCCACCAAAAAGAGAGGTAAAACATTGAAAGTCAAAAACAAATTGGAAAATCTGTCGGAATCATTGAAGGCAACCATAACTACTAGCAGTCAGGAGAGCACTGAAAGTTTGCCGAGTAATGCCGAGTGCTTGAAGTTTGACTATATCTACAATATTAAAGACAATGATTTTGCCRTTTATCCTAAAGACCAGTGGATTAGTATCCGAACCAATTGGGAGGACAGAAAACCCAGAGAAGCTTAAATCAATAGATATATTATTTTGTTTAAAATTGATTTCAATGTTAATCTCATACAAAATTGTTTCTATTTAAAAAAGCAAACTATATTTAGATTTTTAAATAATTATTATATAGTTATATATATATATATAAACTCAGTTGTTATTTAGAATTTGTAATATAATAAATACAATTTATTAAATTTATTAGAAAAATCTCTAAAAACTATAATTTTTATTTAATAATTTATTAAACCTAACAAAGTAATGTAAAAATGGTATTTATTTATTTTTAACTCTTCATTGACTAATCTCATTGATTAAGAAATCAAAGTATTATACAATTAATGATAAATTGCAGAAAAAACTTTCAAAAATAGTTTAATATTACAAGAGTTTTACTATTAGAGTATTAACGATCAAATTAAACAGCATAATAGTTATCAGTTTATTGTGCATATTATAAATTATCTCCAATTAAAAAACAAATTGAAATCAATATAATTTTAATACATTAATTGCAACAAATACTTTTTGATTTGCAAATTTTGATATAACTTTTAATAAATATAACGATAATTATTTTGATAATAATATTTTCAAATAAACACAAACTATAAATGTTTGGCATTTTTAGGTAATCGTAAGTAAATCACAAACTCAATAATTAATGGCAAATAAAAACTTCATTATGAAAGTAGTGGTTAAACCTCAACAGCATTGGCCTCACTATTATCACCTTTTTTGTAATATTTATCAATAATAGTTAACAAATTATAATTGGCATCTAATTCACGCTTCAATTGCGCCACTCTTTGCTTTGCATCAGCCAATGATTGCTCCAGAAGTTGTCGATTGATGGTTATAGACGACCCTTTGGTTCGATGATCTCTTATTTCAGTTTGAGATCCGATATCACCTAAAGATTTAAAAATACAATTGCAATGATATGACTAAATGTATGGCAGGATGTGTTAGTATACCATTTGCTTGAAGATAATTATTAAGCATATTATTTTGAACACTTCTCCACTCTTGTCTCGGATCCTCCAATTGGTTGACACGTCTGGTGTGATCCGTATAGAAAATACCTGTTATTTAAATAAAACCGATATTTAGTTTCAAACCATTGTTTAAATCAAATCATTGTCTTTATCCTAATACCGATTTGCGGGTGAAATGAATACTCCCATCCGTACGGCAACTCATCGGCCACACAGTCGGCAAAAGTGGACGGTTTGGTAAACCTATAATAACAAAACATATTTACTAAATAATGAAAGTAATAATGTTGTCGACACCTACCTGTCCCTCGGGTCCAACCATTGCGTGCGTTTAGTATTGTGGTCGACGTAATAAGTTTTTCCCATTTCGGGATCACTGGCCACTTCCCATCCCAACGGAAGCGGTATATTCTGAGTATTTCTTAAGCGATGACTTTTCTTCATTTGCCGCAAAGATCACCGCAATATCCAATACATCCAACTATTTCATTGACAATCAATTGATTTCATAAATGTTTAAAAATAATAAAATAATTGATTTTGAGTTCAAAGCAAAACATTGCAAAACTTGTTGACACTTAACATCACATTTGCATTAAAAACAATGTCTTTTGAATGCCATCTCTTGTGTTATAAAACTTTAGTTTTATAAAAAAAAGTTTATAAAAATATAATATTAATAGTTTTAACTACTGATGAATTCATTTTTATAATCATATTATAAATTGTATTATTTTATTATCTAAAAGCATAAAAATATGTTTTAAATCAAACTTTTTGTTGACATTTAACACAACAAATAACTGGTTAAATATTATGCGTTTCCTATTTATGAAATGTTTGGTTAAAAAGTAACATTTGATTGATTTTTTAAATAATCAATAGTCAATAAAATCACTGATAAATAAAAATAAGACTTATTTATGAATTATAAAGGTATTAAATTACATATTACCGTAATTGAAACCATACGTTTGATTTTTAAAAATTTATATGTAAATGTAATTTTCAGGGTAATTACATGTCAATAAAAAGTTTAAATTAACACCAAAATATCATATAAATATCATTACTTAAAATTTTTATCTTAATACTAGATTTTATGTCAGTATATAGTATTGTCTAAACTTCAAGTATTTCAAGTCAACTATTGTTATAAGTATACCAAACATTAGTGTTAATCATATTCTCTAAAGTATATTCTCTATGGTTATAATCAAATGATATAAATGCATGAAAATACTAAAACATTTGCTCTTTTAATGTGATTAATAATATAATTATTATTGAACTAAACAAACAATATAAAGATAAATAAAATAATTATACAGTATATTATAATTATATTATTAATAAGTTGTGGTAATAAATTTTTAAAGAAAAATATATACAGTATGTATCTTACTATTACAAGTGAAAAAAAATGAAATAAATAAATATTAAGTTTGAATGAATAATTCATCAATATATATATTTTTTGATAATCATTGAAATTATATATAGATTATTGTGTCGATTATTAAAAATTGTTTTATTTTGAAAACATGAATTTATTAACAATAAAAATAAAGTTTATAAATGTAGTAATTATATTAAACATTGTATATATTATACGGTGTGATGACGACGATGTGTTCAAATGGGACGCAGATATGTATCCGAGACTTACGGAAAGTGTAGCTCAGGCCAAGTTCTGTACCGGCAATAATCGCAATCCACCCACAAATATATGCGATCCGGACGGCATACTTGACAAAAAGGAAGGTATGTTTCAAAATTATTAGTCATTTAATGTTTAATATTAAATTTTAATGAAGTTTACATTTTTCTGGTAAAAAGCATGGCTTTTGGACAATTTGATTGATGAACCGCGTAATCAAACACAATGTCTATGTGATAGCTGTCCTCCACATAAAAGAGGTCTTAATATTAAAGTAGCATTAGTTAAGACAATCAAAGTTTATGGAAAGTTGGTATTTATATATAGTATAAATTTGTTTATAAAACTTATAGTGTTTTAAATTTTAAAAATTGATATAATTTTTATTGTATTTGTATATCAGTGTGAGTCTCGAAAAGACGGTCGAAATGTTTGCCGAAAAGACTCGTAGGAAATGGAGAGTTGAAGAACAATGCAGTAATGATGTCCTCATATTTTATTCAGTTTTTGATGATCAGGTCTGATAAATATATTTATATATACTATATATACTGTATATATACTCGCAATTGAAAGAGACGCATTTTATATATAATAAAGTATATATATATTGTATTTTTTTACAATTAAGTACAATCATCATTAGTCTATAATTGTCTTATTCAAGATTTTTGATAAATCTTTTTATTAATCTTTTACATGGGTTAAAGTCACATGACGTCTAAGGCAGATATGCCATAAAAAACATATATTCTCCTGTAATTATAGAAACAATGGCCGACAAAAATATTAATAGAATATATTCTAAAGCCTTATGTGTGAAGACTTGTCAGACATAATAAAAAAACTAAAAAGATGAATGAGTAGATGTGGAAGACAAAAAAAGTTCATAAAAAATATCAAAAGTTAAAATCGAAAAATTGTATGAATTTATAAAAATATTTCACAAGTTTTCTTGAAAATAAATAAAAGAGATATTATATTTTTATTTATTAAATACTAAATAACATTTGCCAACAATTTTCGAAAGATATGTATAATATCTCTAAGTACTATCTACTTTTACTTCTTATCTATGGACTACATATGCAAAAATATAGCAATTATTATTTTAATATTAAATAATAACGGATTTATAAAATGAAATTAAACCTTTTATATATCATTATATTCAACATATATTGCTTTGTCAAATTACTATTTGCTTTGATTAATCTAACACTTCTTTGAGTGTAAAAAATCAAAATTTGTGAAGGGGTCCAAAATGGTAATCGAAGGGGTTTTCGATTTAAAATCATAAGAAGTGGTTTACTGAAGATATTCAAAATTATCATAACAAATGAAGAGATATTATAGAATCAAATGACATATAAATAATTAATTAAACTTCAATAACTTTTTTAAAAAATTAATTTAAAAATGTAGTTATGAATGCGTCTCTTATAATTGCGATCCCTAGTATATATATTCAAATGTACTGTAGGTATAAATACATCACTTATTACTATACTTGTTGTTAAAAATTAATTAGATATTTGTGGCAATGGGTGCCAATGCTCACAAAGTGTTAACCGATAATAAATTAGAAGAAGTATTGATTGATACGAAAAATCATTTTACGAGTGGCTATTATCAACAGGTGTGTCACAAAATTATTAATTAATGTTTTTTATCTCAATTATTATATAAATTTTATTAGGGCTTAGAATCAATGATAGCATCGTTTCAAGATTTTAGCGATCAATATGAGCCTAAATCATACGGAAAGTTAGGCATTGGATCTATTGTTTTGATAGTGATTTGTGTGACAATCGCTTCAATTGTCCTTTTATTTGCTGTCTTCTGGTTCTGTGTTCGCAAAGATCGCAAAACATCGGAAAGCAATAGATTTGAGTTTATCGGTAGTTGTGGTCGATCTAAGAATAAACATAAAAATAAATCAAATAAAAAAACTAATATTATTAGTGATCCCATCTATAAACCCGTTAGTACTAATGACAACCACAATGTGGATAACCCTATGAAAGCATAAGTATTTAATTTATAACACACGGTATAAATTATAAGCTATACATTCATAAAATTTATTCATTGCATTTATCACTACATTCATAAAAATTGTAGCATTTAATGTGTTTATAATATCGTTAAATWTATATATATTTTTTAATTATATATTCTGTTATATTATATTAATTTGTTCATATTGTTGTATCAGTTATTTTATAATATATTAAATTCTTAACTATTAAATATTATATTATTGATAGTATAATGTTAGAAGAAAGTTATTTTTGTAAATTATTTTATTGAATAAAATATGCAAAATTTAGATACACATTATCAACACTAATCAACTAAATATGCAATTTATATTTTTACCTGTACTGCATTGTCAACAATGTATTTGTAGTAAATGATATTTTAATTAATCATAACTACAGTATACTGTATATAAATATATATAGTATTATAGTATTATAGTAATGTAATTTACAACATATCTAACAAATATTGTAAGTAAGGTATAAATATGATAAGTATAAATTTATATTATACTGTATTTCATATTGTTTGCTAAACATTTAAAAATTGTTTTATTGATTCAAATAACAAGTAGTTTAATAATACTGGTTTTTTGCTTACTATTTATATAATTTAATAAATAGAGATTTGTCTATAATTTATATTTAAATATTTAATTTATTCAAAAGTAGCGCAAACTCTTCAATGTATAGAATTACTGGTAGATTGCGTTGAAAAACATTGAATCAATAAATGTCTTTAAACTGTGTCTTAATAACCAATACATGAATGCCATAGAAATTGAATGACTTTTATTATAACACAAAAAGTGATTGTTATGTTTCAATGCTATTAATATATCGTAATTATAGTGCATTCATACTGTATTACTCTACACTACATTGTATTATAAGCTGTAAATGTAAAACAAAAATATTTATTAGAGTAATCTAGTGAACGATAATTCGGTACTATTTCTAAACACGCAATTTCTCTATCGTAAACAATATGACAATTGATGTAAAAGGTATGAAACATATGATAAACAAATAGATGAATAAATGTAAATATATTTATTTATATTAATATGTCGTAAATGTGTTTAACAAACGTGTGGTGAAAGTGAATGAAATACTGTGTAATAAAAAATGAAAATAAAAACAATATTTTTTGTAATCAATTAAAAAGCAATTAATTGAAACTCAATATAAACACAAACACAACGTTTATTATGTTATTTAAAAGTAATTGAATTAAAATTAATTAAATTGTTTTTTGTGACCAAAATATAAAACAAGTTTTGGCATAATTTTTAACAACTTTTGTGTCTCTCAATTGACTGTCTGGTCATGTCGTTACCGACGCCACAAATGCAGCCGCCGTCGGGTCCGCCAGTAGTGACCAACAGTTCGCAGTCAAGTTCTGGTGGGTCTTCATCGGTGTCAACACCAACTTCGGCCGACGCGTGTCTGTCTATTGTCCATTCATTGATGTGTCACCGACAGGGCGGCGAAAGCGAAAATTTTGCCAAACGGGCCATTGAGTCGTTGGTCAAGAAATTAAAAGAAAAGAGAGACGAATTGGATTCACTTATCACCGCAATTACGACGAATGGCGCGCATCCGTCCAAATGTGTAACCATTCAGAGGACACTCGATGGCCGATTACAAGTGGCCGGACGTAAAGGTTTTCCTCATGTTATTTACGCCCGTATCTGGCGATGGCCTGACCTTCATAAGAATGAACTCAAACACGTCAAGTATTGTATGTCGAGTTATCTTCATTTATTCATTTGCTTTCTATCGGTTATTCATAATTTTGTAACCATTTTTGTCATCTTAAGGTCAGTTTGCGTTTGACCTCAAGTGTGACTCCGTTTGTGTTAATCCCTATCATTACGAACGGGTGGTCTCTCCAGGCATTGATTTGTCGGGACTAACACTTACCGGACATGACGAAGATGTTAGAAGTCAAGTCAAGACTGAATATGTTGCGGGTATTCATTATTTGTCATTTACCGTAGTTTTTATTTTTTCTTGTATTTTAGTTATTTTATGAATATTTTTGTACTTTTATTGATTTTTCCTAAATATAGTTTTAGTATATTTATGACTAATTTAATTTCAAGTTTTATTTTTTGTTATCTTTAAAGTCGTTAGCGATTAGATAAAAAAAGAGTTATTAATTAACGATTGATAATATTTGTCTTTATTCTATCAAATATAACATTAATATTGTAAAACATTGTAAAATAATGGATCATTTTTTAATGTTAGGATTAATAAATATATAGTAAATAACTAAAATATTAATTAATTGTTTAAACGAGTAAAACAGGTTTTAGTCTAATTAAATTGTCATTAATTGTTTTATTTGACAAATGATTTTTAGCATTAAATAATGATAGCTTTAAAAATGACAAAACAATTTTATTAGACATTTAGGAAGTTTTTAGTTAACATGAGTTATCTATTGACACATTAGTTACAATAATAACTGTAATGACTTGACATTTAGTATATTATTATATTTTATCCAATAATGAGTAGAATATTTGAAATTTAGTTATAAATTGAGTTATAAATCATATTAAGTAAGATTGAAATAATTGATTGCTTTACAGGTGGTGGTAATGTGCCGCCAATGAATGAGCACATGCAGCACGTAGTCCAGCATCATCCACATCCAGGTGCTCTTCCACAGCCACCACAGCATCACATACAGACACAACCAGCACCTCATATGTCTGTATCGCATACATCACATATAACTTCTTCCACAACATCAACATCAATGTCTCCTTCAAGTAACGATTCGTTTTCTCGTTTAATGCCAAATACGCCCTCCAGTTCTGATTATATATCGGCCTCATCACCTCCATCAGTGGCTTCACCTATGGTTTCAATGGTTCCACAGCAGACACCAGAAGTGCCACAAATTCCACAATCAGTGGCACCGGTGATGGTTACAAATGTGGGCCCACCACTCACTGCTAATACCATTACACCAAATGGCAGTTCTGTTTCATGGGCTGGTGCTGTTGGTGGTAGTGCAACACTTTCATATACTCAAACCATGGTTCCAACTGAGCCTTCAACGCGTCCCAACACTGGTATGCCTTCAACAACATTCTGGCACTCGACTCAAATGCCTAATGAGCCGATTGGAGCCATTGCTCAGACGACACTCTCGAGTCAACCGCCGCCTGAATACTGGTGTTCTATCGCTTACTTTGAATTAGACCAACACGTCGGCGAAACTTTCAAAGTGCAATCAAGTTATGATTATGTAATTATTGACGGCTATGTCGATCCAAGTGGTGGTAATAGATTTTGTTTGGGCGCCCTCTCCAATGTCCATCGCACTGAACAAAGCGAAAAAGCAAGACTTCATATCGGAAAAGGTTTACTTTATTTTATATTACTGGTAGTGACAAAAAAAGTTAGAATTAAATTATTTTATTTATTTAGGCGTTCAACTGGACCTCAGAGGTGAAGGTGATGTATGGCTTCGGTGTCAATCCGATCATTCCGTATTTGTTCAAAGCTATTATTTGGACCGCGAAGCCGGTCGATCTCCAGGAGATGCCGTTCATAAGATATATCCATCCGCTTGTATTAAAGTTTTTGATTTAAGACAATGTTATCGTCAAATGCAACAACAAGCGGCTACTGCTCAAGCAGCTGCTGCTGCTCAGGCCGCCGCAGTTGCCGGACATATTCCTGGACCAGCTTCTGTTGGCGGTATTGCACCGGCAATCAGTATGTTTTAATTGAATGCATATTGTTTTATATAATGTTAATGTTATACGTTTGCGATAATATAATAGGTTTATCAGCTGCAGCCGGCATTGGAGTTGACGATTTGCGACGCCTCTGTATCTTAAGACTATCATTCGTGAAGGGTTGGGGACCTGACTATCCGCGCCAAAGCATCAAAGAGACTCCCTGTTGGATTGAAGTACATCTTCATAGAGCACTACAATTGCTCGATGAAGTGCTCCACACAATGCCTATTCATGATCCCCGACCACATGATTAAGCATTTAACACATTTTTAAAAGTTTTTAATTGCAATTTATTTTTTTTAATTATTTTTACTTGTGTTTTAAAATATACTATAATTTTTAAAATCAATGTTAGATTTATACATTAATTTAAAAACTCATATTAGATAATAATATTATTTTGACGAATGAATTTTTAATCATGAACAACAACATAATTTGAATTATTATATACACATATATTTCAATGATTAATATTATTGATAATTATTTTGTCTAATCAGTAATAATAATTTTTATATATTGAATGTAACTATTTTTTGTCTCTTTTTTGGAGTTTTATTCATTGCCTTAAAATAGAGATTTCATTGGAAATAATACATTGAGAATCATTTGCTTATATTGTCATTGAAACAAAAAAGTTTTATTTTGTATAACTATTGCTGAATACATGTTTTTGTTTATATTTTTAATTATGATTACAATTGTTATTTGAATTGCAATTTCGAGAAAATGTATTGAATGTCTTTTTAAAATTTTATTGAAATATTTGCTCATTATATATATATATATATATATATATATATATATATATATATATATATATATATATGTGACAAAGTTTTTATTCTTTAATTTTATTATACGACAAATAAATGCTAGTTATGGTTATTGAAACATGATTTTATTGTAAAGTATAATATGATTTTATAATTAATAAAATGATTTTTATTTTATACCTGTATTATTATATTATTATGAAAATGATTTTTGTTAAGTTAGCTCCAGTTTGATCTGTTAGACGTCTGAATTAATATTAATATAAATACAAATTCAAGAAAATCAAAGTCTATGTAACAAACAATCTGTAAGTATTGCAACATTGGTTTCTCAAAAGCTTTTCTAGTCTCTGATGTCAATCATATGAAACAATTTTCATATTATATGTTTTTATTGCTTAACAATTATATATACAGTAATTTATATTTAATAAAATATGATGCCTTGGTTTTATAATAATCTATGGCTTAGATTCTAAGCAATTTATTTAAAAGTCAATTATATGACCTCAAGTCACATAACTGTTTTATTTTATACATTATTTATAAATTATTGATGTTTGTATGTGTTTGTATGTGTTTGTATGTGTTTGTATGTGTTTGTATGTGTTTGTATGTGTTTGTATGTGTTTGTATGTGTTTGTATGTGTTTGTATGTGTTTGTATGTGTTTGTATGTGTTTGTATGTGTTTGTATGTGTTTGTATGTGTTTGTATGTGTTTGTATAGGATTTTATTTTTGAAAAGTTAAATATTTTACTTCTGATAAAGACATAAGAATAGTGTTGACAAAAAAGAGAAATTTCTAGAAAGTTTCTAAAAGAAATTTCTGTTTATGGTAACCACATATTAATTTTATTAAAAACAGTATAGTAAAATTATACTGTATTATAAAGATATTTTAAATATAGAAATCCTATTTGTAATACATTTTATACAAATTTTGTATAGTAGTGTTGTGTAAATTATTTATCAATAATACAGTATTACAATAGCTATATATGGGGATCCATAGTAATGGGGGGGGGGGTACATAATAAAGTGTATAATAATAAAGTATAATTTCTATAGAAAATTTCTGAGAAACTTTCTAGAATTTTTTTAAGAAAAAATTATTAGAAATTTCTATTTGTCTATCTCTACTTTATATAAGAATCAAATAATACCTTTTATAAATACTTTTTAAAAATTGCTTTTTACTGTTTTTATTAGTTTACATTATATTTGAATGTGTAAGTGGGTGTGTATAAGAGGGTGAGTGAATTAAATGAACTGTACAATTAGATATATTWAAAAAAAATTCATCATGGTAATGCATTCACAAATGTTTTATTATATTTATTATATTCATTACATTTTAGGCAAACATTGTATGATTACAGTGCCTAATATTTTAATAAAATATTGATATTTAAGAAATTTTATCAAATATAAGATTTTTATCATTACATCTACTATATAACATAATATGTAAAAACTATTTTTTAAAATAATAAATTAGAATTAAGCAAAAATATAATTATGTATAAATAAATACTAGAAATAATGATTTATTTATTATTTTCAACTTTGAAATATTGATTTAACAATTTTTGTTATACAGTACTAATATTTCTAAATAATACTATATTTTCTATATTATCTTTTGTATATTATATTCTATGGAATCTTTAGTGTATTAACTAATTTATTCAAACTTTATTGTAATTGTGTTTATTCTGTAATTTTATAAACTCGTCATAATATTCATTGAATACATTTTTCGTCCTCTCTTTTATAATTATTAATAAAACAAATATCTTAGTTATACTGTACAATAAATTAAACATTATTTAAAATGTTCAAATCTATTGTGACAGTAAATACAGTATAATGCTATAAATTTATGGTATTATAAATATATATAATAGCTTAATAAATTGGGCAGAATTTAAGAAATTTTTTAATGTGTGTTAATTCAATTGTAAATATAAAATAATAAAATGTTGTTTAATGTCATTTATATTTCTCTTTTCTCAAATATAGCTAATGTTTGAAAATAGTTTTTACCAAAATTATTATTTCTTTTATTATGTTATATAGGATTTAAGTAAAACATATCTAAAATATTGTTTATAACAAGAAATGAAATGACATTCAATTAAATAATGTACTCTTCAAAGTTCACTATCATTTATTGGTATAGTAAGTGTTTATATTTATTTTACAAWTATTATAGTAATAAATAAAATATTATTAATTTATKTTAATGAAATTTTACTGAAATTTAATATTAATGCAAATGCAATATTTTTGGTAACTCTAAAAGCTTTATATTTAGTCTAACTTACTATAAATTAATTTTTTTTGTATAAATGTTGTTTTATTGATTACTRCTATGTGTCAGATTTATCGCATCTGTATATTATAATTTTGTATTTTTTATGTTAGTATTATTATCATATTGTTATTATGAAACGGTATATAGATTTTTAACAAAAGATATTTTTAAAACACTTAAAGTTATTATAACGCGACTGAAGGTAAAAGTGGTTAGTCTTGAGTTGTTTAGTCAGTCAATGGTTGTTATGTTTATAAGTGAAAAGACATTTGGGATGTCGTGTCTATATTAGGACTGATTTAAGTGACACCAACGCATAGCACGCAATGCAAATCTAAGCTCAATAGCACTGTTAGCTCTGTTGGAAAGTACAGTAATTTTCATATAATTAAGACGAGAGGCAAACAAAGTCAGAGACAGACCTTAAATGAAGCGATTCTTCTTCTCAATCATTTAAGTCTTAAAACAGATGTTTGGTTTTTAAGTAAAATTATTAATAAAATATTTATTGTCATATCATCTGAACAAAGATATATTGTATTCATACCAGTAATTGATTGATCACTTGATGATAATGCCTCAGCCGGTGGAGGAAAGCATCAAATTTAAGATTCTTAAGTGGATTTTATTGGTGTCTAACATTGTGTCCCTATTTATTGATCTTCTTGTGATTATTGGCGGCAAAGTACTGGTCGGTTGGTTTGCATCAGTGCCTAAAGATGCCGAAGACCTACCAATTCGTATATTCTGTTTGATTGAAGCCATCATCTGTACCATCGCTATCGTTGGTCTTCTTCGACGAAATTTTCTAGTATTTTCAGTACACGCGGCGCTTCTCATACTTTACTTCATAGCAAGTGTGATACTGACCCGTATACTAGTCGTTTGGTTTCTTGTATTTGCAATCCTATTGACAGCACTTACCCTTTGGTTTCTCTATGAACTCTACAAACTAAAGCTCAGACTTGAAAATCCATACGGAGTTTAAACTCAATACCTCATCAATAATTGTAAATTAATATGTCTTTTATTTAACTATTATTTCAAATAACATTTATTTTCATTTTTGTTGTTGTTTTTATCTAATTATTTAGCAATCATTATATTTGTAATTGAATTTTGATTATTAAAATTGATTTTTATTGTTAGAAAATTGTTTTTTACATTAAGTTTTATTAATTTACAATTTTACCATTTTATTAACATATATTTTTTCATTTATAATAATAATAATAATTTAAATTGTCTTCCAAATTTTATTTTAATTTATTTGTTAATCTATACAATAATTTATGAAATTGTTATATTTTTATTAACATATAATATCTTGTGTATTATATACTTGAAATCATAATACATAAATTTAATAAATATTAAGTATATATTATATAAACAAATGTTTTTGTTGCCCTTTTAAAGAAATATATGTAAATTTTTGCTGAAACTGTGTTTTAAGATTATATAATAGACTGTGAACACGATCTAAGCAAATGTGAAAATTTTTGATATGTCAATCAAATATTTAATAAAATTCAAGTTTACATACTTTATATACAACTAAAAAGCTAATTATTATCATTTTTATATAAAAACCAAAATATAATTTCCGTAATATACAAAAATTTCAATCAAATATTTATTGAATTATTTTATAGATACGTTTTATTTTTAAATATATCTATTTCTGGAAGTCATCCAAAAAACTTATTTGCAGAATAAAACAAAATGAAAACAAAATAAAAAATTTCTAATATCTAAATAATATAGATTTTAAACAATACTATAATATATAGTAAAATAAAGGAATTTAATGTTATGAAGTATAATAAAGTACAGTATAATACTATATAATATTGTCTATTATGCAATGGATATTCAAATAATAAATTTATTTACTATTAATCTTCAAATAAATCCTGAAATCTAAGTACAGACTTATAAACATTTAAACAAAATATTACGTAAAATCTTTTAAATTCAAAAAAGGATCGTTTATTAAAATTATTTCACATTAACCAACAATGAAATAATTTTTAAGATTTACTATTCTATAGTTAAATCTGTTTGTATTAGATTTTATTTTATCTGTAAATGATAAAAAATTTTAGTAATAAGATAAAATCAATACAAATCAAATATGTAAGCAAACATTAATTTTTAAATTTTTTATTAGTATTGACTAAAATAACCAAAAATAAAGGCATATTTATGTTTTACCGTCCTTTTGGATAAAGTATGAATTAACTTTTAAAACGTCAAAAACTTTATTTTTATTATTATTACTTAAATTTTGTGGATAATCCTATTAAGTTATAGCAAAAATCATTAAAAATATATTTATTTAAGTATTATATAATATTTACCATAATTTATATTAATATATAAGAATTTTCAAAATGTTTGACAAGATTTTTTACTATAACTCTGTAATGAATTGAAAGAAAAATGAATTAAATTGTTATAAAATTACATAATTTTACGTTTATTTAACTCTAGAATTTTAAATTAATTACTGTTAATACTAAACAACTGATAATTTTTGATGAAACTATATTTTTAAATTATAAGTTATTTTTTTGCTTAAATAATTTATATTAATTTTTTTTGTAAATATTGTAATACAATTATCTACCTGTATTGTAATTTATATAATATTGTTAAATATTTATAATTATAAAATTTGAAATATTTTAAAACTATTAAAAAATTATTTTTTAAATATAAAAACACATTTAAAAATTTACGGTTTTACGTAAAAGTTATAATATAGATAATATATTCTATAATTTATAAATTACAGGTAAATCAYTTCCTTGAGCTATCATGCGGTGCCCTATTATATCGAAAGTTTTTATAACTTATTACAATAAACTTGAAATATTAAAAAACAATTACAAAAAATATCTTCCCATATATTTTATTCATTTTTAATCCATAGTTATATATGAAAAAGCTCGTCAAAGTATTTTAATAAAAATTTTATATGAAGTAAACAAGTGGTGACTGAAAACAACAGTGTTAATAAAGTACTGTAGATATACTGTATATACATACTATTCATACATCAATATATATCAAAATCAAAACCTACACTTGAAATTGAAGGGCAATTAACAGCTAAATGTTATGTTAAAACATATAAACAATTTTCATTTAAATAAATAGTGTAGAAAATAATAAATATTATAAATTTTACATTAAAATTAGTAAATACAAGTGAAATATAAGCTATTACTTTGAATTATTTTAAATTTGAAAAATATTTGTGCTGTCTTTAAATAACATTTTGTCAATTAGTGTAATTAAGTTAGAAGTTATGCATTACTAAGTAATTATGATATTATTGTATTTAATATAAAATATATTATAGAATAGTAGTAACAAACAGTAAGTACCAAATTAAATAACATAAGCTAACAATTAATTTAATTAAACATTTAGATATTTAATAATTTGGAACATTAATGTTTTAATGTTTTAATTTTTTAATTAAATTGCTTTTTAATCAAATTAACTATTTTTAAGATTACATTTGAAATGCATATCTTAACTAAATATTACACCAAACAGTATTTACAATATACTGTATATAAATTATACAGATATAAATTTATATTAATCATTATAGACAGTGTTAGTACTGTATGCGTACAGTATAATAATTATAACAATAAATAGATATTATAAAACTACAAATGTTTACACAATATAAATTAAATATATATATATCTACTAACATGATATACGATATAAATATTTTATATATGTATTTAATATTTATATATATATATACACACAAAACATATGGATAATAAAATATATAACTCATTGTTTTCCATGAGATGAATGTGTCATCAATGATGATGTTCTTGTTGTCGCTGATGATGTATTGGTAGTAGTAGTCATGGCTGGAGTTGTTGTGTCAAACAGCGGTCTACTCCTTCTGACTCTAATTTGGTAGATATAGAAGGCAGTGGTGAGCATCCAGATTAAGTTGAAGAGAAACATCTCTGTTTGATCCATAATGAAGATTATCAAGAAATATAATGAAAAGGCCAGACAATGGAAAACTATGACAAACAGTTTGTGTCCAATCAAACCAATCAAACCGACCATAGCTGTGATCAGTTCAATGGTCGCCTGAATGCGAATATTGAAGTCACTGCCGGACAGATCCTCCACTTTTTTCGACACATTTTTACCCATAATTAAGGCTATACTGCAGGCAAATATCCACATGCAGTTGATTACCACAAGAATCCATTTGATGATTATAAGCCATATAGGTGTCGATGAACTCCAGGTTTCATTGTGTGCCGACTCTGTGTTATTATCACCCATTGTTAAGAGTTTGACAAAAGTGCCGATTGTGTCTAACAATTAATACAATAGTTTTTTTAGACTTTCTTTATTGTCGATATTAAACACAACAATAGCTATATATTTATATTTTAATAACTAAACTCAAGTCGAGTAACAGGTCTTATGGCTTAACACTCGCCAAGAATTTGATAGTTGTATACATGAATTGGTTGCCAACAGTGTGTGCTTACAATATAACTCTTAAACTTGTTATACATTATTATATTATACTGTATATACACACCAATTGATTGCAAGCAATGAGATGAACATGAGATGCATTAAAAACATTTGGAATATTAAGAGCATTGAGACCATTGAGAGCATGTCCTACACATCACTAGCTTTTCTATGCAATAGGAATACTATGTCTCCAAAAGTAAACCTCTCTCTACACTACAGTCTCTCTCAATACTAAACTTTGAAAAAAATTCTGTATATTATATTATATTACAAAAACTCTATTCAATAAATTCTGGTAATAAAGAATTTATGCATTTGTTGATAGCTATGAATTTTGAGCGCATGTTTTTACTAGCAATTGATTGCATAAACTATTTTAACATTTATATGTGATTTAAAGCACACATTTTACTTGTTGTTTATATGATATGATAGTCCGACTAATAATAGATGCATTTATTACCATAGCTTCAGAAGTGATGTAAACCCCTTTTTCGGCTGATTATTAAGTTTAACAAAACTAAATCAATATAAAAGTAATGTATAGCTATTAATAATTATTACTCAATTACAGCCAATATTGAATGTCTCGAAACAGCCAACTCATAAGTCAACATTCCCATCAATACTACAGTACATATGCCTTATGAAACTATAATCAATTAATTATGTTATATATTTAGTTCATTATTTCGACAAATACATAGTTTTACATGACATCAATTTCAATAACATAGAAATAAAGCTTTAATTAAAAAATAACAAATTGATTGCCAATTAATTTGCATGACTTCATGTAATTCAATGTTTTACTACTATGATTATGTTGATTTAAACTTTTATTTAAGTTAACTTAAAATAATAGTTAAAAAATAAAATAACAAAAAAATAGATTTTTAATAGTCATTTTTATAAATTACTATTTTTGTTCTCTGAATATTAAAGTTGTGTGAATTATTAATAAATTAAACATGATAAATTTAGCAAATATTTATTTAATATATTAAATATTTTATATAAATGTCTTAATAATTGAAAAATGATTTATTGTTATGGTTTCATAAAAAATTCAAAAGATTTTTATTATGAAATCTTATATATTAATAGTATTACTAAAAAATATTTGAAATTCTGTTGCCGTTCAAAATATTTACGTTCTTTAAACAAATATATTTTAGTATAAATTGAATTTTTAAATCATAGTCTCATTTACTCAATAAATATAATCCAAAGAAAACACATATGCGTTAAAATAAACGAAAAACGATAAACAATATTTTATTTTATTATTTAAATTGCATTAAATTTAGACAATTTTGTATTTGTTAATAAATTTAATGAAATTTATTATATAAATAATTTTTTAAATAAAACATTTTATGTGTTTTTAAAGCAAATTAAATTGCATTATGTCTAATTTACTGTATAATATTGTCATAAAGTAAAATATTTGGAGCCAATAAGCATAAAATATTTTTTAATTAATTAAATTTATTATCAAACTATACTATTTCCTAACAACTTGTTGACATTGTCATTAATAGATTAAAATTAGACTAATCAACTACATTATCATTTGAGACATTTTATACTTATAATTAATAATGCATGTGATAAAACAAATAAATTTTAAATCTAATTTCACAATTGAATAAAAATGGTTGGTCATTTAATTTATTTATAATAAAAAAAAAGTTAAAATAAATTACATATAATGCTCATCATATACAGTAGTTTAATTCAAAATATTTATATAATTTATATATTTTTATTTGTAAAATGTGTAATTAGCATAAATAGGTTTATATACCAAAAGTTTTATAGATTAATGCATAAAATAAAATTTATAAAACTATAATATCTATAATTTTATGAAATAATTTTTGTACAAAATAAATGTGATAAAAGCAATATAAGAGTAAATAATAACATTAACTTAATGTAAGCAATGAATACTTTGTAATGAAACCATTGAATATTCAGTGGTTGCCAACCATCTCATTCCGGGTGTGCAATACATCAGAGAATTTCTTAATTTTTCGCTTATAGTTTATTTCATTAAAGTTATTATATAAATAAATAAAATATATTTAATTTATTATAAATATTATATTAACATATAACTTGAGTACTAGCTTATCAAAAAAAATTTAAATATTAAAGAGTGTAAAAATATTATAGACACATACCTGTCGTCTATTACATTAAGTGGTATTAATTGTATTGAATTAACGAGCAGTTCATTAATCGTTTCATTAGTTTTACGACTCTTGAAGTCTAAATATAAATCAATTTTTCTCATCTTATCCAATGGTCTATCATTAGAGATCACAAACGATACTTTGTTGGCCAACAATAACTTTAATTTACTATAGTTTTAATGCAATATTAATAATTTGAGAAAATGAGAGATAGTAAGAGAGAGAKAGWRAGAGAGAGAGAGAGAGAGAGAGAGAGAGAGAGAGAGAGAGAGAGAGAGAGAGAGAGTATCAATAAATGTAATTTTATTTATTGTTATCATTCAAGACATTACCCACTCTTGTCATTAAACGTGTTGTTATATGAATAGAGTCTTATATTAACGTTGGCATCAATTTTCGATTTTGTTGAATGTGCTGTCATTTGAACCAAATATTGATAAACTAAACAATGAATAAGTTTTAATATTTAATATATAAATAGATATAGATATATAACAAACTTCATGCTTGAAATAAATATTGATTTTTTATACCACAATAAGGTTGTCTATCATTTGTTATTATATAAAACTTATTATCGGGATTTCTATAAGAAATACCATTATTGTTAAAAGTATTATTAAGTCCAACAATTATACAGTCCTCTCCATTTTGCCCACAACTCCAACAAAATCCTGACATAAATTTTTCCCAACTTTCGCATCGATAAGCTATTGGTTTACAATCGGCTTTTGAAGTCAACAAATAGTCGGCGTAATAGTCCAGTGCTCTCTTATGGTCGCAGGAAAGTGTTTCAAATAAACCTACATTTAAGTGATTTTTATAATTAATTGAATTTATAATATTTATTGATATCAATCAAACCATATAATATTCCTTCATTAATGACTGTATCAAATATTTGATGACTACAACCGGGCTGTTGTTCGCCACCATTGAAATAGATGTCTATATTTCCCGTAGCATTCATTGATCCAATGTCTATAAATATATTTTATTATATGGTATATAAATTAATGCTGCTTCTATGTTAATTATTATATAACTAATAAATATATAAATAACAGGCTTTAATAGCAATTAAAACAACGTATTTTGATATTGTATATTTAATATACTATATTACATAAGCAGTATAACATATATTTTTGAACATTAATAGTTTTTTATAAATTACATTTAATGTTAAATCCACGGTTCATTATAATTTAATTTAATATTAATTACTATTAGTAATAAGTTTTATTAGCTCATGAAATAATTAATTAAATGTTTAATAAATATTAATAACTAAGTAAAGTAATATAAAAATATTTATTAAATAAAAAGTAATTAATGAGTGCTAATATTGTTTCATTGTAATATACAAAATTATGTAAATGTTAATTTTAAGTAAACTCTACATTGAATTAAAATATTTTATAAAATACTGTATATGTTTATTATACAGTATTTCAGTGATTATATAAAAATCAATACTATTATTGAATACTACTGTAGTATAATATTATACTGTACTACATAGCCTTGAATATTAAATAGTTATCCCTGTATTATACCGGTATTATTAAATATACAGTATATCTGTAATAATTATAATTATGTTATATTACTTATTTTTTATAAATTTATAATTAATGTTTTAATTAAAGTTCTAGCTAATTTATACTTGTATAAATATAAACTATGCATTCAAAATCTAAAATACAGTCAACGTGTGAATATACACAATAAGATAGTGATATAAAATAAAAATATAATGAGTGATATTTTATTTTATTTTATTATAGAGAAATTGTATTTTTAAAAATAATTAATACTATTCTGATACGTTTAATAACAATCTTAAAAATATATAATTTATTACTATTTCTATAAGTTATATAATATAACTTACATTTTCAATGTATGATAAGAAAAAGAAAACATAAAATCTAAAAAAACTAAAAAATAAAATAATATTTAATTTAATAAACATGACAATAAACATTATGCAGATTTCGATATAATATTAATATTAATATAATATTAATATTAATATTAATTAATATTAAATAGTTTATCAAATTATTTTTAACGAATTCGCAGTAAGTTTATGATAATTAAGATTTAAAATATTAATTATTTTAGAAATTATAGCGTAAATGTCATAATTAAATTATGTCAAAAATGTATCAAAATAATTAGTTAATTTATGTACAATCTACTTATCAGTATATACAACTACCGATATATAAAAATTTATGCCAAATTTAAATATATAAACATATTAATTTATAAATTATTATTATTATTATTATTATTATTATTATTATTATTATTACCAGCAACTTAATAAAAACAAAAACAAAATCTTTCTTAAAATACAATTTATCTAATAATTAATAAAAATATTTACCGTTATCTGTATGTAAAGCATCGATAAATAAGGCATCCTCTGAGCTAAGTCTTATACTGTGAGACACGCCATCAAAATAAGGTTTAGCGGTGTCCAGTGCTGTTATTCGACCTAAATTGGCCACCAGTTTGCCTGTATATCCCGATATATGTGCGCCCAAACTAAAACCAATCAAATGAAATAATTCTGGCTTTGCGTTGCGTTTTTTCTAATTAAATATTATATATATATATACATTATTTTATAACAATTATAAAATTGAACTTGTTACAATTTATTAAATATGTAAATTAAATTAACCTACAATTAAATGATTAATAAGTAAAGCTATCTGAGCGCCAACTACTCGACAATTGGCCACCGATTGAAAGTATAGTCCATTTGCGCCTCCCATCCACTGAACAAGTATTACATTAGATTCTTCATTGAATATTATGCCGTCTTTTACGACTTCAAATGAATTCTGTATAAATCATATAAAACTATTAGATTACTAATACCTAAAAGCTAACTATTGATGCAATTTGACAATACATTTAATGTTGAATTTTGTTAATATTTAATGTTAAGCTTACTTACGTGTTGAAACCCATACTCAAGTATTCCGGCTTTATATCCATGGATTACAATTTTCGTATTTAATTTGGGATCAAAATCTATATTTTTGTATGACTTTGTGTTCAATGCATCGATGATTTGCGGATCATTTGGATTATCGCGTGAATAAAATAAGAATTGAGTTCCGATGAGTTGCGGTGATTGTGGGACACAACTGATTGGTCGCAACGATGAGGACTGATAGGGACCGTCGTTACTAAAACAGCCCAAATCATCGTAACAAACATTATTTGTACCGCTACTTAATATACCGAGTATAGGGGCAACAAAATCAAACAAATTTACTATACTTTGACCATCACATAACTTAATTATAATAATAATTACAGTAGCGATCACTTTGAACAACATATCACTAAATGATATATTAGGTTAATGTCATGTAATAAACTACAATCACTTTCTTGACTATTAATTGAATACTTTCTGCTATAATAAATATTTGTCATTTTTGGTCACTAATGTATTAATTTACTGACTACTGTATGACAAATTAAATGCTATATCATATATATAAATTTGTTGATAATCTTAATATATTATTATTATTATTGTATTTTCTCAGTTATAGTGACCAAAAAGTACTGATTAAGTTTATATACAAATGAATTAATTAGGAATTGGGGATAAAATGTAAAACTAGATCATTGGCCCTGAATTCTGTTTGAATTAAAGCCAAACCGATTTGTGTATCATTTGATCCAAAATTAATCCCTCAATACCTCAATAAAATTTGGTGAAAACATTTTGTTAACTGTTCTTTAGCTAAATCTTTAATATACTTTATTTATTTATTTATTTATTTGTTATACTGTATCATACAGTCTGTATGTTAAAAGATTTGGCTTATATTGTCAATGATTTATTAATGTTTAGCAAATAATTTAAGTACTGACCATTGGTCACATAGTTGTCTATAATAATAACAAAAAATTCATTATTCAACAAAACAAGACATACGATACAATTATTTAATACTGTATTAGTTGTAAATGCTATATATATATATACAATATAACTATAATCATTATATAAAAAGAAAAAGCGATTAAATGTTGGTTATAATTGTTTTTTGAAAATTTCTTATATTTTAAACATTATTTTCTGTATAAAATGAGTGTCAAAATTTCATTGAATAGATTTTTGATAATACTTTTAGCCTGAATCCAACTGTAAAATAATTTATCATAAAAGTCCATATTTTATTATTTTCAATTTATAAAATATTATTTTTTATATTAATTAAGTAGTAGTCAAAAATTATGCATATATTATTAAATATTAAAATCAATTAGAAATTAAACTATTTTAACTAAAACATAATTTCTTGTTTTGAATTCTTGAGATCTTCACAAACAAATTTCTTAAACATTTACTGAATGCAAAACAATCTATATTTCATAATAAATCAAAAATTCAAATAATATTTTTTGATCCATTTTAATGATAAATAGGCTATTTCACAAAAATTAGTTTCACCTATTTTGATATTGATTTTATAATACTGTATAATTCATGAAATAATTAATTAAATTAAAATTAATTTCACTTTAAAATAAGATTTTACATCGATATAATAATTTTTAATTTTTAAAAAATGTTTATTATGATACATAACTTCGACATTTTAATACAGTATTACACATTATTAGCATAACTGATGTTTTATGTATTTAGTAAAAGGGTTTATTAAAAGCTATAATTTATTGTGAGTGAATTTGTAACTTAATTTATATCTTATAGTAAATTTATTAAAAGATAATTCAATAAATTTTTCAATAGCCTAAGGGATTATAAACAAATTATCTATTTATAGCTGAGAATCTAAACCTTAGATATTTTATGTATTTAATAATAACGTTGTGTTTATTTGAGCATTAAATTGAAGTCAGATGTTTGTATTATGAGACCAATAAAAATTGTAAATTGTAATAGACGTAAAAATGCTTAAATAAAAATCAGTATATAGAAAGACAAATTATTAAGTTTAATATTTATAAATTTATTTCTATAGTTAAAAAAATTTAGTTTCATAATAAATAATAAAGCATTTATATTAGGTATTTATTTAATGGAAGACTATTTTTATATTAGTTTATTATGATTATTATGATTATTACTGTTATATTATATACAGTACTTATATCGTCGATTTATTTGTTTATTATATAATAAAAGAGTGTATGATATTTAATAATAATAATAATAATAATTTTAATGTTGAAATTAGAGAGACTTTGATGAGAGATAATCAGTACTATTGGTGAATGTTTTTCTAACAATATCTCTGTTTCTTTGTTTTATGATTAATTTGAGACCATTTCTGGTTCGCAAAACCATTTCGCCAACAATAAAAAGTTTGTCTCTTTGATCGATAGTTTGAATGTGAAAATTGCGTACAATTTTTGAGACAACAATTTTTTGCTCTAAAAATGCAAACTTTTGTCCGATACAATTGCGAGGACCGGCACTAAAGGGAATATAACAATAGGGATGACGTCCCACACAGTTTTCTGGTAGAAAGCGCTCCGGTATAAACTGTTCCGGGTTTGGGAACTGAATCGGATCCCTGTGTAAGATATAAGTAAAGATTCCACATGAAGTTCCTTTTGGTATCAAATAGCCATCTAATTAACAAATATTTGTAGATTTCATTAGAAAGTTTACTTAAAATAATTTAATAATTATTAACTTATAATAGTGTCTTCACTGAGTTGGCGACCAATGAATGGCGCCGTTGGATATAATCTCTGTACTTCTTTGAGGACACACTCTAAGTATTTCAATTGCTTAAGATCTTCAATACTAAAGTCATTGTCATCTAAATGAGAGTCCATTACTGAATCCACTTCTTCTCGTACTTTAGACTGTATATCCTGATGAAGACCTAACATATATAGAGTCCAACTGATGGCCTGCGCAGTGGTGTCGTGACCCTAAACAACCATTTATTTTGTAAAATTTATTTAAATAATTTATAAATAATAAAATGTAAGACATCATTAAATATCATATCATTATTCAATATTTATAACATATATTTTTGAAAATAATAGTTTAATATTATCTATAATTATTAAGATAGTTAATATAAATGAAGTAAAATATTTTAAAATAGTAAAATAATGATGATTTATAAAATATTGTAAAATATAAACATTTCTTTATATAAAACAAGTACAGTATATACAGTATAAGATTAATATATTGATCGAGTTATCTCTAAGAATCCATATAACGATAAATAATGTAATGAGAAAACAATAAGATATAAAAAATATCGAAATATAGTGTGAATAGCGGGGGGTTTAAGCATATGTCGGATATGTCGGGTATTGGCTTTACGCTGATTATTAAATTTTAGTTTAGTTTGCAATTCATTTATTTAACTAAACATTATGTACACAGTGTTATGTTTATAAAAATTAATTGCCTTTATAATATTGCTTATATAGTATGTTAGGAAAACTTGACTACCGGTGCCCTTATTAATAATAAATTACTTAAGCCTTTACATATATTAAGCACAATCCATATAAAAATTATTATTTATTTATTTATCATTAAATATTCAACATTTGCATTACACTTAGCGGCCAAAAGGTTAAGAAGTGCTAGATTTTGATGTAATATAAATGTTAGAGAAAAATAATAATAAATTTATAATTACAACAAATAATAAATTGTAAATAAATATTTACAGAATCTAACTGTTAAATGTATTTATAATTTATTTTGTAATTAACTCACTAAAAGACAATATTAAATATTTGCCATAAAAAATATGTGAACACTATTTTATAAAAGTCATGCTATCATACAAACTACAAGTTGTCTACAACACATAATATACTGTATATCTTATGTAATCATTAAATAATATTTATAAATAAAATAAATAAATACAATAAACAAATAGACAGTCCATTAGTGAGCAAATAAAATGAAATGCAATAATAAAGACAAACCGCAAACATAAATGTGTCGACTTCTTCACGCAAGTCCTCTAAAGTCAAATTGTTTGCCACTAAATGCTGATGAAGTAGAAGATCAAGAAAAGCCAATCTTTTCTTACCATTAAAAAAATTAGACTCTTTGATGGCATCCAATGACTTAGACTGTATGTCCTCATTGTTGTCGTTTCTGTGGATGTGTTCAATCCATTCCTGTTTTCTCTCACAAATCACTTTCATTGTAAACGCTTTCATTTTTTTTAATGAACTATTTGTTTGTAATTATAAGAAACAATAATATATACTATATATATATATATATATCAACTAAAGTAAATATTTATTTAGTTTAGTTCACAAATTAATTTGTTATTTGAGTATTTAAAAAAATATATCATTAAATTCCTTAATTAAATGTGAAAACAAAACTTTTAGTTAATATAAGCTGTGCTGAGATTTTTTTTAATGATGTGTCATAAAAATAAAAAGACAAAAGTTAACAAAAAATTATTAATTAGTTTTTTATCAACAAATATTTTTATTGTTTATTCAATTAAAGTTCCGGTTATTGAAAAAATAAGTGAAATACAGTAGAAAAATATTGCCAATTGTTTTTTCCTGATATCTATTTAGAGACTTTATGTTCCCAATTGTTAAGGGAATATACAGTATGTAAGATACCGGTGCCTTATAATTGAGTTGCAATTATTTTATGATTAGTTAGCTATGCTATATGTATCATACATTGTATTATATTGCTTAACATAATGAAAACAAGTGTTTTAATATGAATGAAATGACAAATTGGATATTTGTTTTATTATACAGTAGTATAATATAAAACTTGTATGTCATTTGTAAGACATCGGCACTTATTTGTTAACATCTAAATCAGACAACTATTACTATCTTTTAATATATATATTGTATATATTATATATTTTTTATTATATGATATTTTATAAGATGTCTTGCAATGAATAGAAAATTTCTATATAAAAGTTATAATAATTATTATTAGTAAAGTTAACAAAACATAAGTCTGAATTGGGTTTTCAGAGATTTTTGATAAAACCTTACAATCTTCCAATTAATACAAACAAATTGCACTTTCAATTATATAATATAAGCAATATTACTCAGGTAATACTTACAGTAGTATTTGTATTAATATTTTAGATTTAAGTACTCACTAAAGTATAATATGAGAAAAACATTTTTTTTTAATTAACTCTTATACTGTAATTAAGTTTTACTACAGTATATAGTACTGTGCAATAGATATTATAAAATTATAGCATTATTATTAACAATACATTAATTTTGCTGATTTTTAAAAAATTTTTTTAACTAATCACTAGAGATCAGTGTTTTAATTACATTAAATAAACTAAATTTTAAAAAATAAATGTTTAAATTTAATCTTTTGTATTTATTATCAAATTGTCTGATTTTTACATCAATGTTTTTATTTTTTATTTTTTACAAATAGACAGATAAGATAAATGTTTTGTAATAACTCTTATTATTATAACTTTATATTATTATTTATGTTAAATTTTAATATATATATCCAAATATTTTTTGTCAACTAAAAGTATACTTAATAGCCAAATTTGGTTTTTATAATTATTTAGATATATAAAAATATATTTACTATTATATAAATACTAATATATAGTTCATTCAATTTCATTGAATATTTACTAAGTACTGAATATTCATATCTATAATGCATTTTTCACAGATTTTATCAATAAAAAACTTATATCAATCGATTGATTGCAAATGAGATACAGGAAAAGTAGTCCAAAATTATATTAATTCATAAATTAATTATTTCTTATATAATAAATTAAATGTTATATGTAATCTATAAATTTGTAAAAATCATGAGTCATATATATTATCAAATTTACACTATTTTTTAGCATTTAGTTAAATATATAACAAATATTTAACACTTGAAAAATTTCTCCCAATTTTCAAATAAATACTTGTAAATAAATTAATAGTATGTAAATTACTTAACAAACAAASAAACAATTTTTCAAAAAATGCTCATTTTATATACACTTTGTGCTAATTTTATATTTTTAGAAGGAAATCGATATTTAATTTGAATTTATCTTAGAATACAATTTTTTTTTAATATTTATTATATTTCAAGTGCTTTTCATAAGTACTTGATTTAGAAAATATGTTATAAAAAAATATATTAGCATCCAATTGATAAATAATACATTGACTTACCTGTTAAACTGTTTGCCATGTGAGCTGCAATTGAATGCCCAGTTAGGCCATAGCCAGGGCCGCATCAGACGTATCAAAAATATGCCACTTATGTCATGCAATGCCTGAACGTATTCGAGGTTAGAGTTTGCCTGACATCCGACTTTGATTCCCATCGCTGTCTCACAGATCACATCCAAAGTACATAACGTTATTATCGGCACAATATCTATGGGTTGATCATCGCATTTGCTATTATCTATCATTGTCCGCAATTTGTTGATGAGGACAGTCGACTGTTCATTAATAACTGGTGCAAAATCGTCCAAAATTCGGAAGTGAAAGGCGGGCGTCAGTATCTTACGCCGGGTTTTCCATTTGATCTTAGAACTGGTCACTAGTCCTCCGCCTAATTAATTAAAATTAAATATTTTAATAAAAAAATAATATTTATCACAAAAATACATTACTTACCTAACCAGGGTGTCAAAAATCTATATTCACTTGATTTATCTGTTAACGTATTACTACTTAAGATAACCTTAAGATATCAACATTTTATTTTAAATAAAAATTTTAGAAAAATAATTTTTAATAAAATAATACCTCAACTTCATCGGGAGTGAACAGTATGACAATAGGTTTTAATCCGATCCATATTTTGCATATTTTATCTTTATAATAGATTAAATTCATGGCATTGAACATTTGATAAACAACTAAAAAACAAAATTAGTATCAATCTTATTGAATGTATTAATAGAAATGAAATTAAAATAAATTTAATGTCCATAACTTACGGACATAAGTACCGAACTGAAACTTGTATCGGTCTAAGTATAGGACAATGATTGCGTGTCCGATCCACGGCAACAATGGATGGACAGGTGGTCCCGGCATACGGTCTATTATATTGCAATACTTTTTCCATTTATAAAAACGATACAAACAATATGTTATCAATAAATAAACAGTTATTTTAAGAAATATATTTTCAAATAAATAGGGATTTAATAAATTGGATGCTTTTGATGTGATTAAAGATATCATTTGTATATTTTTAATAAATAATATCAACTCAACACTAATACACTAATTAAATTAAAATTATTATTATTATTATTATTATAAAGAGATAGAAACAGAAATGATTTTTAAAAATGAGATAAACTTTTTTAGTGACACTAAAAGCTAAAAAAGCATTTTCTATGACCGTCTCTACTATCAGGTGTTCAACAAGTAATATGTGAAATGATTTGAAAGAAATTTTACATTACATTAAAATATTTGTGTGAAAACTGATTTTTTTCTCTCCTATATTGACATAAAATATTTATATTCATCTTAACCTAAATTAATAGTAACTCAATTAGTAGGCAAAGTGCCGGCATTGAAGACCAGCCCAACAGTGATTTCGCTGTATTTTTATTTTTTTTATTTCCGATATAAGAGACACTTTCTCTTTCATTTTAAAGGAAACATTACTGATGTGTTTCTGGGTCTCAGATATCTATGATTGCCGTTACCTGTGATTTGGTACCGATTGAAAACATGTGATAATACCAATGCATACTTAGGTGTGTAGACACCCATTCCTCCTAAATGTTTCAATTGTGTTAATTCGGTCACAGCTATGGTTTTCTCATTATTTATTAATAGTTTTTATATATAGATTGAGATAAAGACAAATAGTTAAGCATTGTTTTCGATGTATTACTTTTAAGACAACAAAAAACATGATTAACAACAATTTAGACGATAAAAAATGTTTGTTATGTAAAAACAATTGCCAATAAATTGTCTTTTCATTTAATGTTTTTATTAAAAGCAAAAGCCGTCAAAACTGATAAATGTTTGAAAATAAAAATAGTTCACAAAAAACAAGTTTATCTAAATTTTCTTTCATATTTTGCATCAAATCTAATGAAGCATTCAATCAATTTTTTTCACTAAACTTTCACTTTTTAATTTCAATTTATTTTTGATATTTAATGACAATTAAAAAATGGATCAATTAATAACTCATTTCCTCAAAATGTTTATCACTTTGTTTTTAAACTTCAATTAAATATTTAAAATTTACCTAAATTTTATAAATTACTATTAAATTGTATCCCAATTAATAATATACAAAATTATAAAAATAACTAAATTTGAAATATAATTATAAATAAATTGATATTTTATGTCAATGTTTGACACATAAGCTGCGTTCACACGGACAAAATCTAAGTAGACTTGACTTAAGTTTTGGTGTTCACACATTGTACTTACTTGAGTTACCTTGACTTAACTCAAGTACAGTAAAAGTAAGTTTACTTCATTAAATTATAAACTTAGCCAATCAGTGTTAAGTATAATATATAAATATTATTACGTTTTAAATGCCTGCTTAGCTGTCTAGTAAAAATATTACATTTAAATTGTTTAATAAATAAAAATTAATTATTTTTGTATAATTTTTATAATTAACATCAAAATTAATAAAATAATTTCAATAATTTGATTAATTTTTATAAAATTAGATAAACTTAAGTGTAGCAATGTGAACACATGTTACTTGAAACTTGACTTGAGTTCAAGTCAAGTCTACTTGGATAAGCATTAGTGTGAACGCAGCTATAGATTATGTGAGACATTGAATACATTGAATACATTGAAAGCACACATAATGTGAGTCATATGTAAAGCATTGGACAACACATGTCTGCAGTCAATAGTCAATGATGTGATCAACTGATCCACTGATGGACACAATTAGTAAGAAGTTGTTACTCAGTGCAGGCATTGGATTAGGTGTTGCTCTGTCTTCGGCAACACTGTATCTGTTGCTTAAACCAGAAGAGGAGGAACAGTATGTCAAAGACAAAGAYAACCGAAAGGTCAGACAGAATAACCAAACGGTTCTCACAATTCGTGTCCCAAAACAATGTGTCGGTGCAGTCATCGGTAGAGGAGGTGATCACATCAAACAATTACAATTAGATACTAATACACGCATACAGTTTGATGATAATAATGTCAACAATGGATCAGATAATAAAACGAAAGATAAAGAAACGAAAATTTTGATTATCAAAGGAGTGCCCGAAAATGTTGCGAAGGCTGARGTCATTATTAATGAGATCGTTAGACAACAATCCCTTACAATCACCAAAAAATTTAGTGTTGACACTTCTTCTGTCGGTGCTATCATTGGTCGAAATGGAGATAATATTAGGTATTTATTACTCACGAAGAATCCTTTGAAATATTGAATTCATTTATGATATATTTATTGTAATGAAAATTAGAGAACTGTGTGACAGATCGGGTGCGAAGATAAAAGTGGACAGAAATAACAAAAACTCGAAGACAATTATGACTAACGTTTCAATCATCGGAACAGAAGAGGAAATCGCTGAAGCAGTTCTGTTGATTAATAAAGCCATTGAAGAAAACGAAACATTTTCTCGAAACAGATCTCATAATAATAGACACAATAAACTGAAAAATTACAAGATTTTGGCCATCGAAGATGAACCAACTGATAATTCACTCAATATGGACAGTTATGTCGCAAAACTTGAACCATTACATCAAAACCAATTGATTGAAGTGTTTGTATCGGCAGTGAAAACACCCGAAGATTTTTACATACAAATTGCTGGTTCTGTTGCTCAACAATTAGATCTCTTAATGGATGAGACGACTGACTTCTATGAGGTAGAGGACAATAGAATTTGTTTTAAGTCGATGTCTATAAAAGTGGGGGATATAGTTGCCATTCCCTACCAATTTGATGACCACTGGTATAGGGCTAAAGTGTTGTCCATTGAAGAGACTCCCTATTCATTGGAGGACTCAAAAGTTAGTGTCTTTTATTTAGACTATGGAGACGAAGCAGTCATAAAATATGGTGAAATTTGCGATTTAAAGGATCAAATCTTAAAACGATTGCCATTTCAGGCCATCCATTGTTCACTTTTCGGAATYAGACCAACAGATCTTACGGGTTGGTCCGATGAGRCCATCAATAAGTTTAAAGAGTTGTCTCATATGGCGTTATGGAAACCACTTTACGCTAAAGTACTTCAAAACAAATCAATTGATGGTACAAATGATAGATATTATATTGAATTAGTTGATAAAACTCCTAAATATAAAGGAGATAATGTCATTGATGGCGATGATTGGGATTCAACAGTTATGTCACTTGATATACGCCAATATCTCATTGATAATAATTTTGCCGAAGATTTTGTAAACTCTAATGGTATTAATGGAGAAATTAATGGAAATAATTAATTTTTATTAATTATTTTATAAATGCAATTAAACTTTTGTCTTTAGTGATAATTTTGTTTTTATAATATATTAATTTATATTATATTTCTTTATCATTAAAATTTGTATTTTAATGAGTCTATTATAAGCAATGATACAAATAAGATGATCCTTTTGATTCACTCAATATGTATTTATTTTAAAGCTTTTCAGCCATTATAACTACCGGTGTGTTTGTTAAGTAATTTATACATTAAATATCAATTAGACATCAAACCCTAATCTTTTTTATAACTTTAATGATATTTTCAAAATTACTATATGTATTACCAATCTTTTATGATTAGTAATATTATTTAATAATGTAAATAGATTTTATAGAGATTTTATAGCAATTTTACTTATTGTTAACTATCTTGATGTCTATCCTTTAATTAATAGACATGTAAATTGAAGACATTTTTACCTGTCTTACCACTAAATATTGTAAAATCATTTATACTTTATTGTATAACAATAATTATTTAATTAAATTAACAACTTATTAATTATAAATTTGTAATTTATTAATAATTTTCAAAAATAATTTGCAAAATTTCTTTGTTGCCAAAACTTATGTTATATGAAAAATAATTTAGATTTTAAAATAAATCTATTATTTATAATAACAAAATATTAATTACCGTAGTATAACAAAATAATACTGCATTTTATTGTATAACACTGCCGTATTTTTATAAATCATCCTAAACTAAAGGTAATATAATCCTAATAATATATATATGATTTTTATAGAAAATTTGTAATTCATTATTTTAAAAAATAGGAATATATAGGAATAAATTGACTAAAAATAAAAATATACAATATATCGAAATGTATTATAAATATGGCATAAATTGTAAAAATGATAGGAATGTGTATATTATTATAATTAAATGATAAACAAAATGATAACAAAATATGAAAAATTAATAATAAATTTGTTTCACGTTTTATTCCTAAGTCGAGTGCTTTTAGTTTTAGTACTTTTAAAGGGAGAGTTGTGTTTCATTTCTTTCTTAATCTTTCTGGATCTGCATTTAACTAAAGAGCAAATAATATTTTTTACGGCATCTGCTATGTGTTCGGCCGTTACATCGCGTCTAACAAGTGTTGACCAGTCATCCTGATGAACACCGAGAGGAACGTCATGTATTTTTGCCGGCAAATCAAACTGTCCGGCAGCGGCACCACCGGTGCAAATGATGGGAATCACTACGTTATCGTTCCACATAAACTCTTCGGCAATTCGTGCAGTTCGAGGTCCACCCTCTATAATAATACAATAGTGAAACAGTCGGGCCACTACTGAGTCCCGTTCCTTGAATGAGTCACCGATGAAGTACGTGTGACCGAAAGGTAAGTTTTGGAAAGTGCCGTCCGGGTTCTGACGCGCTTTCATTGATTGATCCTTTAATTATAATTACATTAAATTAATACTTATTAAAGAAATGTATTTTCATTCAATACCTGAGACATATGACGAGGAAGTATGTGATACAAAGCCGCCGGCTTTTCCTTTAATAGAAGTTCTCGTTCCTCACAGAAACTCCTTCCAGTGGTTTCAGCGACACCATAGACACCGCCTGTTTTGTCATTAATTTACAATTAGTAAAATTATTGTTTTAATTAATTAATGTAAATATGACTAAAACCTACCGGTGACCAAAACTAAGAAAGGAATGCTTGCTAATGATTGTCCAATAGCTCGACAAATAGGTTCAGATAATGGGCTAAAAAATTTAGTACTTCCGGCCACATATACCATAACTTTTTTCTTTTCATGAATTGGCAATTGTCTGCTAATAAAACTGGCCAATGAATCAATTCTTGCCTCAGACATAGCGCACTTGAAGGTGTCTTTAGATGAAACCGACAATTTGGTGGTTCTTTTATTTAATTCTGACATAAATGAATCCAAATCGTTGGCGTCATTTTCAAGCATCTCGTCGTCATCGAAAAGTTTTGAGAGCCAGTGCGGGGCCCGAAAGTCCTCGTATCGGATGGGAATCACTTTCTTACGGATATCACAGTAAAATGCCTGTTGTTTACACGTCCTGGAATCGCAATACGCTTTGGACAATACTATTATCACAATAGAGGCCGCGTCCGCCCGATCTCTAAAATTATGCGCTTTATCTAAGTCTTCAGGTGATAGCATACATGTCTGACTTCCAAACAAATCTTGTGAATACTGAGGAAACAGATTCGGTTCGCTGACAAACGAAAAATTTAATTTATGGCGATTTTTCTGTCCTTTTGAGTCATGATTTTGTGATACATATTGTGACTCTTGTGATGACTCGGAAAATTGACTTCCGATATAAAGTGTTTGATCGGACATTTGGTCGCATTCATCGGTTCCATATTTATGACTGTTTAGAGTCGGTGTCATTGGTGTCACGGCATCCATAGGAGGTGTGGTTCTATCGCTCATTAAAGAATAGGTGCCAATAGACATGTCTGTTGAACTCCAAACATCGAAACCCAATTTGGACAGCTCTTGGCGTACACGCGATGCAAACTCTCGTTGTTGGGGATGACATGATATGACAATATTTGGTCGTCTCTTTTGTGCCAAACCTGACAACGAATTGGGTCGTGCGATATGTTGAGATGGCATCAACTTCGAGTCTGTTTGTGTTAATAAGTCGTTATTAGGAACGGGAGTTATTTGAGTAGTTAGCTGTTTATCCTTCTCAGATGCCTTCATGTGCTCTGAAATTATTATGGCAGTTGTTCTAACATATGGCTGATCCCAAAACCTTATATCTTTAGCCCTCTCTCCCTCTCCTTTTGTAAAAGCCTTTTCAATGTCAGCCATTGTTTTCCATGGGATATATTGTGTGGACGCAAATTGTATGGCCAGACATTCAGGCGGCCAACTGTCCAAAAAACTTATTGGAATTATTTGCTTGCCTTTAATGTCAGCCAACTTTACTTCTCTATTAGTCCATTGGGTATAACCATAATTAGGTGTAATAAGTGGCACAAATAAATCACAGTTAAGTACAGCATTGTTAAGAGCATCGGCCCAGTCGTGTCCGCCTTCGATCTCATCGACGTCTAAAAATACATTACATCCCAAGTCTTTTAACTCACTTTTAAGTTGTCGGGCGTGTTGTTCGGCTTCGGCTCTCACATAACTTATAAGAATTGGTTTAATTTCTGTTACTAACGGCTGATAAATTGTGGCCGCAGTGGCAGTAGATGCTATGGCCGGTGTTACCGGTTCTACAGATTGGTTATGAATAAAGGGAACTACAGATAACGTACTGATCACACTGTCATCTAAGTTAACCAATGATTTATTTAAATCAACTACTGGTGGTTCACTAATTCTTTTCTTTTTCTTCAATGGACTGCTATCAATCACATCTACATTATTATTATTAGTAATAGTAATATTATTATTCACTTCTGAGGTAATTATGTCGTTATCAGTGTCTTTGATCGTTGATATCCTAAAGACACCACTAATCATGAGATCCCATCCCTTAACATAAATGTCTTGTTTCTTGGTTACGGGCCATCCGTTTCGATCAATTAAATGAAATGAATAATTGTCTCCAAGACTCAACTCTTGTGTAATCAAATGTCTGATCTCTTGTCCGGTATTATCCATTTCAGCGAATATGAATCCTAGCGATTGTCCCGTTTGTGTGTGAACTCCAAACCTCTGTTTGTCTGATCATTAAATCAATACATTTGTTAATTTTATTTCATATTATTATAATATATTGTTTAAAAAACTGTATATACTATTTGTAATATAATTTAAAAAGAAATTTTACTTTTAATTAATTAATATGTAGTGTAATGTAATGCCATTGTGATGTGTTGTGTTTTATTATTATATATTTTATACTACTATTGTATATGTAGATAAAATTATTTTTTTAATTACGGTAATTAAGTCAAAATAAAATATAAATTAGTTAAATTAAAATAATAAAATCAATCAAAATTTCTTATTTAATGCTAAAAACTAAAAATTGTGAATAAAATGATAATTAAATATAAATAAAATGGTAAAAAATAATCATTTATCTGCCAAAATGTTTGCATTAACTAAATAAAGTGTATATCAAAAGTTTATTAATACTAATAATAATAAATTGTTTAATAAAGTATTGTATAAAATATTAGTATTTGATGTTTTAATGCAGCCTTCAATTTGAAGGTCATGTAAGTATACAATGTATTCAATGGACTATTAATTGCATTATTTTGTACTTATTTTAAGTTCTTAGTACTTATTTAATGTGATTTATGACAATATATAGCAATAATTAATAATAATTACCAAATTGTCTGCGAATCATAACCATTGAATTGTCTGAATTGATTACATAATATAAGCTCAGATTGGCTTCTTGTATGGCAGACACCGGCCATCTATATATAGCAGATAATAAAATCATACATAAGTTATGAAAAAAGGTTTTAATCATAAAATATTATATATATTTTTTATAAATACTTTGTTTTAATATAAAGTTTAATCTTAATAATTATGATAACAACTGTGATTCATAATTATCATATATCATAGCAATCAAAAAGTATTTAATTCAATGACAACCATTACATGCAATGAATAAAACTATAGGACAACTCTGTTATACAATTAATTAATGACTGTTTATTATAATATAGTAATAATCTATATTAATATTAATATTAATATTAAGTAATTAGTACTTTATATCAAATAAATTTATCTTAAGTTTACTTCGAAATAAAATTATTTAAAAAATACTTTTGTTTGATTAATACAATTAAAAAGTAAACATTTTGTAACTATAAAAGTAAATACATATATTATAAAATGAGAAAATAAAAAGTAAAAACAGTACAAACAGTACAAACAAAAACAAATATTATTATAAAACAAGTTATAAACGGATAGACTTGGCTTTAAATCAAACATTTAAATCATATAATATATTAAACAACACTTCAAAACATAAGTTAAAAGGTTTACAAACTTATGATTTCATTATCTCATGTATTGTCATAAAGACGACAAAACATACCCTTCTTTGGACAGAAATATGTATTTATTGGGCAGTAATGGGATCTGAAGGGACATCATGTGTCTGAACTCAGACAACTTGACCGACAGTGATGTCAACGCAACGAAACCCAACACATCACCTGAAGGCCACAGTTGGCTACCGATGCCGRTGCYGGTGCTGGCAATGGGAACTGACCATTCATTATCACCATTAGTCTGCAGTAATATCTGTTGTCTATTGAAGGCATCGTTCATTAAATTAATGGCAATCAAACTCAGTTCACTCTTTTGAGCCATTATTATGACTGTCCATCAAATCGGTTACCGATTGACAAACAAATTGAAAAACATTTGCATTACAATCACATTAACATTGAAACCTATATTTCATAACTTTATGCAACACTTGAGACATACAGTCAAACAATCACTTGATTTCAATGTTTAATACATTTGCCATACAATTGACGATTTAGTCACAAACATTACATCATATTTTCATTCATATCAATAATTAACGTATAATTATAGCACAGATATAACTAATATATGATTTACAAATGTATATAAAGTCTAAACATATCATATTTGACTTCAAGGGTTCAACTATTTTAGGACGTATTTGTTTGTTATATGTAATTATCACCGATTGGTTGACAACACATGTGTATAATACTGTATTAATATGTACTGTAATATTGAATGCAGTGATGGTTGAGATGCGCTTACTTTGAATTAATTGACTAAAAAATGTTTACAAAATAAAGTCAAACATTATTATCTAATTAGAGTATAGTATTAATATATTATGATAAATTATGTAATGTATTATCAATACATATACAGTACAGTTGTGTTACTTTGTATTTAAGTACTGAATCATCAATAATTATATTATAAATGTTATACAATATATATATTACAACAATATATACGGTATATTAAAACTGTCTCACTTTGTGCTAAACCAAATCTATATGAGTTGCACCACAAATACATAGATATATCATAGATTATACTTAATATATACAAACAATACAACTTAGTGTGTATAATAACTATGCCATGTAAAAACTCCGCCCCTTAAGCATTAGACGCTATAATATTGCGCGCATATATACTATTGACTGTATTATAGGATGACATTGTGTGGCATTGAAAACAAACTAAGTCCACGTGTTGTTTAAGTACTTTTAGATTTGTGATAACAAATGTGATTAAATAATAAATATTAGTTGTAAATAGTACTAAATATTGTGATAAATACAACACAATATTAATAACAATCAATTATGTGCAATAATATAGTTTTTAAAGTTAATTAAAGTTAATTAAAATGTCTAATAATAATAATAATAATAATAATAATAATAATAATAATAATAATAATAATAATAATAATAATAATAATAATAATAATAATAATAATAATAATAATAATAATAATAATAATAATAATAATAATAATAATAATAATAATAATAATAATAATAATAATAATAATAATAATAATAATAATAATAATAATAATAATAATAATAATAATAATAATAATAATAATAATAATAATAATAATAATAATAATAATAATAATAATAATAATAATAATAATAATAATAATAATAATAATAATAATAATAATAATAATAATATAATAATAATAATAATAATAATAATAATAATAATAATAATAATAATAATAATAATAATAATAATAATAATAATAATAATAATAATAATAATAATAATAATAATAATAATAATAATAATAATAATAATAATAATAATAATAATAATAATAATAATAATAATAATAATAATAATAATAATAATAATAATAATAATAATAATAATAATAATAATAATAATAATAATAATAATAATAATAATAATAATAATAATAATAATAATAATAATAATAATAATAATAATAATAATAATAATAATAATAATAATAATAATAATAATAATAATAATAATAATAATAATAATAATAATAATAATAATAATAATAATAATAATAATAATAATAATAATAATAATAATAATAATAATAATAATAATAATAATAATAATAATAATAATAATAATAATAATAATAATAATAATAATAATAATAATAATAATAATAATAATAATAATAATAATAATAATAATAATAATAATAATAATAATAATAATAATAATAATAATAATAATAATAATAATAATAATAATAATAATAATAATAATAATAATAATAATAATAATAATAATAATAATAATAATAATAATAATAATAATAATAATAATAATAATAATAATAATAATAATAATAATAATAATAATAATAATAATAATAATAATAATAATAATAATAATAATAATAATAATAATAATAATAATAATAATAATAATAATAATAATAATAATAATAATAATAATAATAATAATAATAATAATAATAATAAAACTAATGTCATAGTTGTCATATAATATCTACATTTTTTTAGATTAAATATATATATTTTTTATAATTAATATTTTTATAATTAATATTTTTTATAATAATTTTGTATAATTAATAATTTTTTATATATTCCATATTAATAATTAATACAATTAATAATTTATTAAATACAAATTTAAATAATTATTAAATTAAAATATAATAATTAAATAATAATTAATATATTCATAAATAAAATTAAATTTTAATAATTGTTAAAAATTTAAAATATTTCTATTTCAATAAAAAATTATAATTTATATTTTATTAGTTAATTAATTAATTTAAAAAATAATATCTTATATATAAATCTTTACATTATTACTGTACGCTTTATAGTATAACAGCAATATATATGGGCGCGATATTATAACGTTTAATGCTTAATAATTTTTATTTGTATGTATATATTAAGTATAATCTATGATATATCTATGTATTTGTGGTGCAACTCATATAGATTTGGTTTAGCACAAAGTGAGACAGTTTTATATACAAACATTATATTATGTTTTATTAATTCATATATGATAATCAATACTTTCTAAAAATAAATTTATATTTAATTAAAAGTTTTATATAAATAGTTACAATTAACAATAATAATTTATAGTAATTTACAAAATAGATATAATTCCTTATTTTTATTATTTGCTATTTTTGTATTATTAAAATAATTATCAATAGTATTAGACTTATTACAACAAAAAAAACAAAACAAAATTTTAAAAATTAATTTCTTAAAACTAAATAATTCATATTAATTATTGTTTAATCATTTTTGACAATTTAATGAATTCTTTAAAATTAATTTTGTTTAGCTTTGCATTCACTTCGCAAAGATTTTCTAATATATGTATTAATAAAAAAGTTTAAAAATAGTATAAAATATGACAAATAGATAATAATTGCTGAATAGATAATGTTAAATGAAAACATGCATTGATTGTTGAGTTTTAATTTTACATTAAATGCATACAAAGTTATAGAAAATCCAAATATCATTTGTATTATTTGAGAGCTCGTTATAAACACTGCTATAAAACGAGGTATCTTTATATTCATTGCTTTGAATGCATAATATGAATACATAAGAGAGTGAACACAATAGTTATTAAATTGATACCATCGACCAATTGATCCAATTTCTCCGTAGATATACCTAACAATAAATAAATAGTAATTGCATTTATATTATACTATATTTATTATATAATTTAATAATCAGCTATAAGTACAAAAAATTAATTGACCGCAACTATAAAAAAATACAATAGTTATAAAAATACATTACTAGAAAACAATAATTACAAACCAAGTGAAGACAAGAACCGTTATGTGATGATACCAATGAAGAAATATAAGTTGTTGTTTACGTAAAACTATGAACACTGTGTCACCCAATTCAATGAGTTTAGATAATGTGAAAATCCATGACCAAAATGAAGACACAGACACTCGGGTTATGTATCCATTATTGCAAACGGATTCAACTAATCCTTGTTCTCGCAATATGTATACAATCTCTGGTAATAATCTTTTAATTTGTAAAGATTTTTAATTATTTTAGTGTTAACTTTATTTGCAATTTATATGAAAATGATAAATATCTGTAGATGAGGATTAACCAAGAAAGTAGAGGATAATGTTATTTTATATGTAAAACTATTTACTATTTTAGTAAAAAATATTATTTTTTTATTTCAAAAAATATTTCAGAAATATTGAATAATTTTAGAGAATTGTTAGTTTTTACTTGACCTTTGATTTTAAAAACTTTTTGAAATATTGTCAAAATCTAGACTCCACTCTATACCCCTATACCTTATACCCTATACCTCCAAGATTTTGTTGTTGAGATTTTTCTATTTTAACCCACACTATACACTCTAGAATCGAAAATCTGATTAACCCTTACTGTAAATATAAGACAAATAATAATTTATAATAAGTTTGTTTACCTGAGAGTACCGGTAATGGAAAAAATGGCCAAAAATAGATTCCATACAACCAATGGTAGCCGAAGTTTAAAAGGATCTCTATTTTTCATCAATTGTTTGCCACTAAATATAACAATAATATATATATTAATCAAATACAATGATGTGATCCAGTTTTCATGCATCCATTTTGTCGTTAGTTTGTAATCAAAATTTTTCTCAAACTCACTAATATAGCTATAAAATAAAAAAGATGTTTTTATAATATTAGTAAATCAAAATTTAAAAGTAATAGTTTTTAAAATTTCTTTTACCTATAGTTTACAGTGTATGATTTCATCAAGCTCATTTTCATAAGTTATATATTTACTGTAATATTAAGGCTAAAACGATTGCTGTATAATGTTTAAATAAAAATGATCTATTATTTTTAAGTTGGTTTGTTAAATAAAGTAAACATTATCAATATTTTTATACCTGCTTTTGTTTATTCAATAACACTGCAATTTTTGCTATTGTTGTTTAGTTATTTAGTCTTAATTATCATCAATTAATAAGTAATTTTTAATGAAAGTACTAATTATTATTATCAATTAATTAATTAATTAATACCACTACTKAAATGATCTGGTTTTTAAATTTAATTCAAATAATATTATTCATATTAATTATTAAAAACTATTGTTTTATATTATTTTCGAAATGTTTAATTATAAAAGCTAATTACCATAACATTAAAAATTTAATTCACTATATATAAAAACATTTAAATATATAAAATATATGACAAAAAATTATTAATAAATAATAAATTAAATGTTATTTAGTCCATAAAAAGTTATAATCGATTTGAACTAATGTTGTTTGAGTGATATTTGTTGTTAGGTTTATAAATACATTGTATTATTTAATGCAATAAATATGACGATTATTTCTATATTTCCTTTATCACAAATTTCCTAAATTATAAAAAAAACTTTTGTCAATAAAAATAACAAATTATAAACTATTATTATAATATTAAAAATTGATTGTTAATTATATTTATCTATTATCATCATGTATATTATTACTATATAATTATTTAAAATTTAAACATTTAATTAAAATAATTTTATAGACATGTAATTTTAATATAATTAATAAATTATTAAGATATTTATTTAACATCTGATTAACTAAAAATATATAACATTTTATTAATTTTCACTTTTAAATATTTTTAATTGGCATAACTTATACAGATATCATATAAGTAATTGAATTGAAATTAGTTAAATGTTAGGCTTATCTTTGATTTATTTAAGTATATGCATTGATTTTTACATAGAAATATTTAGTAATATATAAATTTAATTCATGATATTTTTACCAGAATATCACAAAAATTATTTGTATCTCTCAATCATTTGGTTTATATTTGTTTAAAAAACAAAGTGACTCCTTTTGTCAGTGACTTTACCCATATATTTGATATACACTGTATATTATACAGTAATACATTAAGACACATTAAATTGCAATAATAAAGTTTAAATTATTAATTAATCCAATAATTAATTACTTATTAGAAAAATATATTTACTTTATTTGAGATAAAGATTATAATTTTTCATAAATTTTTTATTTAATCATAATAAATAATTGTGAATATAAGTAATAAGTGAAAATAAATAATTTTATGAAAATATAGTTTATTTTATACTATAATTCAATATATAATATATTTAATAGGAGTTAATAGTCTATAATACTTGTATTGTTAGTAATGGAGACAAATAGGAATCGCGTGAATTCGTGTCTTAATTAAAGAATTAAAATATAAGTTTCATTAGTGGTGTAAACGTTTGACTTAACAAATCGTTGCATTCAATAGTTATCACAACAAAACAATTGAATCTTAATATCTAAAGAACAATCTCAAAGACATCCAATTGGATAATGACTTCAACTTCCGATGAGTTTGTGATGCGACCGATTCCAGCCAACGACTGGCAACTATCACTCAGCCGTCGGGTTAAAGCCTTAAAGAAGATTCAGTTTGAAAAACTGAAAATTGATGGACTGGTAGCCCAAGAGATCTTCAATGTTGTGGCTAAACATMAGGACGACTACAACAGTATCTATGAGAAGAGGAGAGCTATKATTAACGGTGAAATCGAGCCGACAGACACTGATTGCAAACTGGATGTCGATATTGAAGACAAAAACGAAGAGTTGGGTCACATACTCGTCAATCAAAGTAAACCAACCAATGGTTCCGTAATTAAAGGAATCTCTAGTTTTTGGCTCAAAGCCATGAAAGAAGTCAATGATTTAAACTATTGGATTGAAAAGAAAGACGAACCAGTTTTGKAGTACTTATCGAACATTCGGATAAATTATGGCCAAAATCCCAACAAAATTGAACTCAAGTTTTCATTTGCGAAAAATGAGTTYTTCAAAAACACTTCGCTCACCAAAACATATGAGATTATGTTTGGCCCAAATCCTAACAATCCGTGGTTTCTCAATGATTACTATCCCATCGCTTTAAAAGGCTGTGTCATTGACTGGAAAGAGGGCAAAGATGTCACAAAACAAAATAACACCACCGATGGAAAGTCTTCTGAGAAAAACAAAGACTACAATAAGACCTCTTTCTTTGATTTGTTCAACGATTCACTTCTTGAGAGAAAAAATGATCCCAAAAGAAGTGATAGTTATAACAATGATATCAATGACTTTCTTTGTGATGACTGGAGTTTAACACAACTCTTAATCAACAAATTGGTTCCAAATGCTGTTCTCTACTTCACCGGTGATAACACTGAAAATGACAGCGATTCAGAAGATTCAGAAGAATCGAAAGATTCAGATTCTGAATCAGAGTCCGAAAGTGCCAGTTATAGCCATTAATATCACTTGTTTTAAATTGTTTTCAAAATTATTTCATTATTTATTGCAATTTATATAAACATTATTCAAACATCTTTTATTATTTTATATTTATCTCTAAATTTCTGTTTTGAATTATTCAAATTATATCAATTATTTTATCAAATTTGTAATTTTTTTTCATTAATTAATTAAAAATATTTTTTATTTTTTTAAATTAAATGTTTAAAGTACAGTATATGTACAGTACATATAGAAATTCTAAAAGATTACAAATTATTTTTTAAAGGTTTTATAAATATTTTTAGCAAGAAATGAATATAAAACTATGAATAATTATAAAAAAATTGCTAAAAATTGTTTTAAATTAACATTTCACAGTTGTATTTAACAATTAGCATTAAGTATTTAACATAACTTTTATTTGATAAAAGTTATTTCATTATATTATATTTTATTTAAAAATATGAATTATAATTTATGAGTGTTTGAAAAATATACTTATGTTAATTTGTTAAACAACATATCATTTAATATTTACTAAAATTTAATTTTATATACAGTATTTAATGCTAAACTATATAAACTACAGTATATGTTAACAATTTTTTTACTTAACTTAAGTGAAAATATTTTGTTTTAGTTTATTTAAATTTTTATTTTTATCGACAATTCCTTTAGTTTTATTAAACATTTTCAATATATAAAGTATTGACAATTTGACAATAATTATATTATTATGAATTCAGTGAAAGAAAAATTATATATATATTTATTTATAAAATTTAGATTAATTGAAATGGCATGAAGTGAATGGTTAAATATTTTTGTTGTATTCATAAAACATAACTTTTTATATTTGCAAATATTCAATAATAAGTTGAGTGCTGTTCAAGCAATTATAAATAATTCATATTTTAAAACATTTTATTTTAATTTTAAATGAGGTTTCAATTTGATTTATTTTAAGAAACTTATTATAAATATTGAGATCATTTGTCGATAAAAAATTAAAATGCTTTCTATTTAAATGGATTTATTATTTATATAATAGTGTTTCAAATAATGATTATAATTTTACTTAATTTAAATTAAAGAAATACWAATTTTATTAGATTAGAAATGATATATTAAATAAATGTTAACAAAAAATGAAAATTATAATAAATTATGTAAAAATACTGATTATCATATTATATTGAAATATTCTATTTATAACATCAAGTATTTAAAGTACAAAAAATTTTAGATTTTTAGGCTTTCCGTCACTTTTGAATTGAAGAAACCGCACAAAACAAGTGGTTTAAGACTTGTTAGTAAAGAGAGGTTGAGATCGAGTCTGAGCCGTAAATGTGCGCAAGTGTTGAGTCATATTAAGACCATTAGGTTTTGGTTATATTCAGGCTTTCCTAGTGCTCCAAAACCTGTCTTTCCTCATATGTCTTGTGATTTGGGGTTTTCAAGACAAACATCACTTTTACATATGAATGGTAACAACGATTGTGAAAAACTAGTAAAACAACTTTATTTTCATCGTCTTTATTCAATTGTTGTTTATTATCTGATTTTTATAACTTTTATTACTATTATATTAATATTTGTGACATGACTTAGACATAGACTGACAGAAAAGTTAACATCAAATACAATATATACTTATATTATTTAGTGGGAAAACAAATGATTGATAAATCTGTAATAAAATTATTAGATTATTGTTATTGTGTTTTATTGTCAAACATTGACTCATTTGGTTCATACTTTCCACTGGATATGACTTCTTGGATGACCTCCTTTTTTCAACGGTGTGTGTGTGTCTGTGTCGGTCACCACTGATTTTACAGACATTTAATCATCACTTTTGCCTCCGATTGTGTCTTATATAATATAATATTAATATAACACAAACCACTGTCTCATCTCTTTGTGATTTTTTACACTAAAACTCATAACATTTTGATTTAATTTGTAGTAAAATATTTCAATTATTTTTTTAAATTGTTGATACAAGTAATGATATATTAGTTAATTACACGTTATATTGATTACAAAATCGTGTAACCAATGAATTCATTGATGATTATATTGGAAAATCAATATACAGTATAGTTAGTTGTATTTAAATAAATACATAATGAATGGCAACCAAAAAGAGCATTAAGGTATTAAAATTTTTATATAATTTTATTGTTACATTAATTATCATGGTAAAAAATATATATTGAAAAAATATTATTTTATTTATATTTTCAATTTGGTTTGAATTAACATTTGTGTTAGCATTTATATCATGACATATTTTTAAAGTTTTATTTTATATAACTAACTAATTATACTATTTAGATATTTTTTTAATTATATAGTTTTTAAATAATTATACAAAACATTATTAAATAATTTGTACATTTTTATACAATTTTTTAAATACAATTAATGTATCAATTACTGTGGTTTAAATTGTCTGATATTTACTTTTTAATCAGATTTAAGTTTGATTGCTATGCTAAGCAAATGTATGTTGTACTCAATTTTAAACAACATATACATAATTTTAAATGATTTTAATCATATCTAAATTAACTTTAAAAACCAAAAACAGTTTATATTGTACAGTATTAGCTTAGTTTTATATACATATAGTTTTTTATATTCAAGTTTTTATTTATTTATTTTTTGTTAAAAAGTATAAAACTACATATTTTTCATTTATACATAACTTTGAATGGTATTCATTATTCAGATTTCAAATCACAATATGAATTGTTAATATAAGAAGTTGTGTAACAATAGAGACAAATATAGTGTAAATACAATAATTTATAATTTATAATACAAACCAAAGTAAATGAAATCGTGATTCAAATGAATTACATATCATTTATTATACAGTAATTTAATTCATTATATTATGTGTTTGTCTGTTATTTGCCTAAAGGAGCGTATAGTCATAGCACGTCATAACTATATACCTATCGATGCTCACACTGACCTACCATTGGAAAAGAGTGAGGAATATGTGATAATTGATGACTCGGGCGAGTGGTGGACGGCTCGCAATAAATATGGACAGATAGGGCTCATACCATCCAATTATGTTGAAGATAAAACTTGCGATAGTATTGAGTCACTGTATAAATACGACTGGTTTTTACCGCACTTGGATAGGGATCAGTCGGAAAGCATACTGCGGTCCGATAACCGCGACGGATGTTTTCTGRTCAGACTATCGGCAACTGAAGAAAAATGCTTTACAATTAGTCTTTTAGTCAAAATGTATGTCATTTTTATACATATTTTTATTAAGTAATAATTTTTTAAAGACATTTTCAATTTACTAAAATAATAATCAAATCTATTTATAGCTTATTTGTTAAATGTTTGCTAAACTTTGTTTTTTGCAATGAATTAATTTTTTTTACACTATATGTTATCTTAAAAAAATTAATAACAATTCTTAGCTATATTTAAACTCCAATTTAAAATATTATTATTGTTTATACAATTTTTTTATTATTTAATTTTTTCAGTGGAAATCATATAACCAGCGAAATAAAGCATTACTTAATTCAAAGAAGTAATGACGGCCTGTATTTTGTACGACAACAGGAGTTCTTTGACTCAATTGAACAGTTGATTGCATATCATCGACAAACAAGAGGCCATTTGGCATCTAAATTAAAATGTGTGCCAAAAATTAATTTAAACAATTTAGTGAATGATATGCAAAATCTACAAATTACTAAAGGTATTTATAAAAGTTATTTATTTTTCTAACATTTAAAATATAAATATAGTAATAATTTAGTGTATATAATATATCATATATTATATTAATTTGCCGATTGTTTGTTAACTAAAATAGCATATAATAATAAATATATATTTTTATTTTTTGAAACTTAATTAAGACTATAGACAATAAGTGTATTTATAATCAAAATTCTTCATAGATATAATATATTTGCAAATATTTCAATAATTTATTTTGTAATAAAGTCACGATTACTTTATTGGAATCGACATTTATATCATATAACTTATTTAAGTTATTTTTCCAGTTATTGTTTAAAAAACATAAAATAAAGAAAATATTTAAAATTCAATAATAAAACAATTTTTTTTATTATTTCAATTATCTACTGTATATAGAGTTTAGTTTATAATAAACATAAAATGAGAGCAATTTTTATAGAAAAATAAATAAATAAAATAGCATATATTAATACATTATCTAATTTGTATAATTAATCAGACAAATCGTGGGAAATACGTGCAAACGAGTTAACCCTATTGGAAGAGTTGGGTTCGGGACAGTTTGGTGTTGTCCGTCACGGGAAATGGATGTCCAAAATTGATGTGGCCGTCAAACTCATGAAAGAGGGCACAATGTCTGAGCACGACTTCATTGAAGAGGCAAAAGTGATGACCAAATTACAACATCCAAATCTTGTACTCCTCTATGGTGTCTGTGTAGAGCACCGGCCTATTTGTATTGTTACTGAATTCATGAAACACGGTTTGTATATTTAATACATTATTATATTTATTTATTTATTAATATTATCGTCAAAATAAACAAAGTATTGCATATAAAACAGGTATTAGTTATTAATTTGCATTAAACACGAGTTTGTAAGTTGTTTATAATAACTTACAGATTAATGCCTGTAATTGAATACATTTATATCTAAATGATGATTGATTGCATAACACTTATAACTAAAAAGTTTATTTTATTTTTATTTACGAATTTACAAAAAAATAGGTTCATTGCTATCATATCTGCGAAAACATGAGAATAGGTTGAGACAGAGACCCACCTCGTTGTTGGATATGTGTGTTCAGGTGTGCTCTGGGATGGCATACTTGGAAAGTCATAATTATATTCATAGAGATCTCGCGGCCCGTAATTGTTTGGTGGGCGACAATAATGTGGTAAAAGTGGCAGATTTTGGACTCACCCGGTTTGCTATCTTTATATTCATATATCATATAATATACAGTATCTCAATATGGCTTTTCATTACATTTAAATTACTCAATTAGGTTTTAATATTACTATAAAGTAAAAGCATTATACACTAAAAACATAATCTAATTTCGTATCGTAAAAATATTGATATCATTAACTTTAAACTTTAATAACTTTTTTATTTTTTAACTTAAATAAACAAATTTGATATCAAATAATAGAGTAATAAATCACAATTAAATTGATATACTAGATGGTCAAAACAATGGTTTAAATAACAAAATATATCAAGGTAAAGTTATAGGTGTTAATAATTTAGGTACAAAAATTATTTTCGTGTTTTTAAAACGCGCGTGATTTCAGACACATTGTTGGGACCAATTGATTCCAATGCATTGTTATTAATTTGAATACACGTAAATAAACAGTAAATGCAGTGATTATCATAAAATGGTTAAAATACAAGAATTTTCAGATGCAATTCGCCAACAAATGTATGATATGAGAGTCAGCACCGGAAAGTCATACGCAAAAATAGCGGAACTGTTTACAACAACTGATAATACTGTCCGATCAATTGTAAAGAAAGTCGAAAAGTACGGGACAGTTAGAAATCTCGCAAGAAGTGGTCGAAAAAGATGTACCAGTGCTAAACAGGACAGGATATTGAGTCGAATTGTGGCAAAAAATAAGAAGTTGACCACCGATGAGATTAAGGAAGAGTTGGCCGCCAGAAACATTTTGTGTCACAGAAACACTATTAGACACCGGATTCAAGAAATGGGTTATTACAGTGGTATTGCGCGAAGACGTCCAATGATAAGCCTAACAAATCAGAGAAAACGATTAGACTTTGCACGAAAGTACATCCGGATGCCTATGTCATACTGGAGGAAGGTCTTGTGGTCAGATGAGTCAAAATTTGAGATTATTAGTACTAAACGTCGCCAACGAGTGTTTAAAAAGAGAGGCGAAAGCATTAATCCTGATAATATATGTCCAACTGTGAAGCACTCGAAATCAGTTATGGTATGGGGGTGTATGACAGGCCAGGGAGTTGGCCATTTGGTCGAAATTCCATCAACTATGGACCGCTACATTTACGTTAACAATATTTTGACCCCACATTTGCTTCAGAGTGCCAGAGATCTACAAATAAGCGATGATTTTTTATTTCAAGCGGACAACGACCCAAAGCACACATCAAAATTGGCAAAGAAATGGTTGTCTGACAATCAAATTGAGACACTTGAGTGGCCGCCACAGAGCCCTGACCTCAATATTATTGAACATCTATGGGATGAATTGGACAGACGTGTGCCAAAGAGCGAAAGAAAAAGTTTTTCTGCGTTTAAAGAGTCGTTATTTAATGTCTGGAAAAATATACCTGAAGAAGTCACAGAAAAGCTGATCCAAAGTGTTCCAAGAAGATTGCAGGCTGTGATTGATGCCAACGGAGGCAATACTCGATATTAATATTGTTTTTACTAAATTAATAGCTTTATTTTGTTAATAATATTTAAAGTTTTGATTTCACGAAAATACTTTTTGTACATAACTTTTTTTACCATTTCTTACTTCTTATGCTTTTTTATAGATAATATGATAATTAATGCAATTTTATTTATTGACTTATAAACTTTGAAAAGTGTTCTTTCATTTGATATCAAATTTGTTTATTTAAGTTAAAAAATAAAAAAGTTATTAAAGTTCAAAGTTAATGATATCAATATTTTTGCGATACGAAATTAAATTATGTTTGTAGTGTATATTGTATTAAACAAATTACTTAATTCTGACATATTTAGCAAAAAAAATTAACTATTAATATGAAAATAATGATTATTTTAATATATTTTATTCTACAAATTTATTTTATTTATAACATTTGTATAACATAAGTATTTATTATACTAAAGTGTAATTTTATTTAATCAGTTATGTGATAGACGATGAATATACATCAAGTGGAGGAACCAAATTTCCCATTAAATGGGCGCCTCCGGAGGTTTTGTGGTATACTAGGTTTAGCTCAAAATCAGATGTCTGGGGTTATGGTATCTTAATGTGGGGTAAGTTATCTTAAATTTATTTTTGCCACACTTTCTTCAAAATGAAAGTTTTAAACTTTCTTATACTAATAATTATGTGTAGAAAACTAGTTTTTTCTCTATACGTAAATACCAATTTCAAATCTATTAAATATTGTCAACACTAATTTATGACATAAATAAGAAACTATAACAATATTGAATATTAAATTTATATTTTAATATATTTGGGAATTGTTATATTATATATAAATGGTTATTTTCAAAAACATTAATAATTGTTTAAACAATTGTTATGCAAAACTGTGATATTTAACTAAGTTTAAGAGCTTATATGTTTAAATATTTGCACTTAATTTGCAATATAATATCATTTTTTAGATTAAATTACATAACGTTTTTTCATGTTTTACTTGTGTAAATCTGTTATCTATTGGTTAGCAAAATCATGAGTTTAATGTTAATAAATAGTATTTTAAATAAACATTATTATTTAGAAATTTTTGTGATAATAATCTCAATTACTTATTATAAACTTATAATTCAGAACATGATTTTTTTCAAAATAAAACAATAAAAATTATTGTATAACTTTTTTATTATTTAACTTTTAATTTTATTAAAGATTTGCTGTCAGTTTTATTAAAATTATGAAATAAAACAAATCTCTTTAATAAGTCCTGAAGCAAATAATACTCGTGTAATTATAATTGAATGTTTATATAACTTGAAATAAACTATTATTTGTTATTAAGACAATAAATGCCTTAATTACCAATCAATTGTATAGCTATAACTAACATTACATTAGTGTATAGTCACGGAAATTAAAGTATATATATATTATACCTTATAATTAAAATATAGTTTTTTAAGAATTTAATGATAAAATTATAGATAAACTGACTATTAATGATGAATTTGATAAATGACAAATTTAGGCAAATAATGATATACCAGTAACTATATAATCATATAATCATAAAGTGCAACAAACGCTAAATGGATATATTTGTTTGACATTTTCTTTCAAATATTACAAAATAATTATGAATTACTTATGAATCAACTTTTTGAATGCATTTATCATAAATTGTGGCTAATTATGTCATATAATATTTGTTAAGATATTTATAACATTTGTAGAGTTAAAGACTGAAGTTTTTAAGCACCGGTAACCAATAAAATTACATTGATATCATTTTTTATAATTATCAATACATTATATTTAGTTTTTTTTGTTATATACAGTAATTATAGTGTTAAATAACTTTTCATATACTTAGATCAAATAAAGAGAAAACTATTATAACTCAAAATATACTGTTTAAGTAATTTTAAAGTAAAAACACCTTTATTTTCAGTACAAACATATAATAATAATTTAATAATAAATATTTAGAGAAACAATTTGAATTTATTACATGATTTAAATAATGTTATTTATTTAGAGTTATTTTATTTGAATTAACTGAATTGAATTTATTTTGTTTGAATTATGTGATAAAATAGAAAAATAATACATTTTAGTATAACGCTAAAATAAAATTACCATATTATTAGTATCAAAAATAATAATTATTACAAAAATAAATAAATATTTAGTTCACTGGCGATAAGGAAATGTATGAAAAACTATTAAATAGTACTGACTTTAACAACAAAATAATGATAGAATTAATACTTCAATTAATTATTTTTTGAAAAAATTGGCAAAAATATTTGAAAAAAAATTAAATTTATACAATCAATCATTGACTTTTAATAAATGTAAATTTTATTTATTATTATATATTACTGTATATGATATCAAGTCTTAAAATAAATTACAATTATTTATGCATTTATTATTAGTGTGGTATAATTAATAGTTTATAAGCAGATTATAAATTAATTGTTGTCAAATAGGGCATAACAATCCAACTATGTTGATATAACTATGTATATTAATAATATAAGTTTATTTTATGTATTGATAATGTCATACATTTTTACAAATGATTGAATTGCATACAATTATATAAAATTTTTTAGTAATTTATCTTTTTGTTGTAGTTATCATAATATAGATTAATAATAATGTATTTTAATTTATCAAACCAGAGGTGTTTAGTTGTGGCAAAATGCCTTACGGAAGACTCAGTAATGCACAAGTGGTCGAACAGATACGCGAAGGACACCGACTGGAGAGACCCCGTTCSTGTCCAAGAGATGTCTACAATTTAATGCAAATGTGTTGGCAGGAACTGTCTGAAGACAGACCATCGTTTGCTAAACTCAGGACATTACTCGACAATCTCTTTTGTTTTACTGAAGTTATCCAATAATAAACATATATTTTACTCATTTATGTTTTGTTCACTCATTAATTCACTTTACAAAATGTCCATTAAATTAAATGTAAAGTTTTGTTAATAATGATAATAATAGTCAATCTTTATGATACTAATTGCTATTTAATTGTTCTTAAATGTTATGCCAGATATTTGTATTTTTTTGTATCGATTTATACATCGAGAATATCATTGTGTCAAACGTTTTGTGTAAATCATTATTTATAAATACATTAAATTGTCATTTATATGCAACAATTTTTTTACACTATTTATACTTAACTTATTGAATTTAAATCAATATATCTAATTGTATACTATTTATAATTTATAGTCATATGAATGCAATAATATTTAAGATCAATTTCTATTAAATTTATAATCATTAAAACTGCCAAACCTTTTCAAATAAATTAATTTAAAAAATGAAGTTTTTTAAAAATTATTTAATAAAAGTGATAATATATATATAATTTGATAATTCAAAAATTTGATGGAAATTTATATTTATTTAAAAATTATTTATGTATTTAACTTTTTCTAATAGGATTCATATCGTATAAACATTATTAAGTCTACATTATATGCAATCATCTGTTTTAATTGTCGGCTTATAAATATGTTAATATTATATTGTCATAACTTTAGCAAATGTTGAATTTTTATTGAATTTTCTGTAATTGAATTTTTTCAATTTGTTTAACAAAATTTTAAAAAACTGCAATCATTTTAAAGATTAAGGTTAACTTCAATTAAATTTTGTATTTCATTATTTATTATATATATAAAAGACATCTTCAAACTTTATTTTATTATATTATTTACAAAAAGTTTATAAATATAAATTATACATATTGATTATAAAAACATTTACTTTTATATACTAAAATTACTTTTAATTTGATTACATAGTTATAAATAAACAAATAATGAATTAATTAAATGTGTTAAATATTATTTAGTATTAAAAGACTTTTAAAACTTTAAATAACTTCAAACATTATCGTAAACACAAATGTGAATCAATCGATAAAATGTTTCGCTTCGCAGAGTTTTTATATATATATTGTATTTATCAACCATTTTTTGGATCAATAATAGTTTATATGCTTGAAATTCATGACATCTTTTATTGAATTTTATTTCAGATTATATTTATCGACAAATTTATAAATCCTATATAATYTGTTTGTAAATTAATCTAAATTATTATAGTTAATAATTTTACAAAACTTTTATATTTAATATATACTGTATTTTAAATATACATTGTATTATTATATTGCTTTAATTTAAATCATTTTGATAATATTATAAAAATAAATTTGTTATTAATTTTTATTTATTGTTAAATCAACAAAAAAAATCAAACATATTAATATTGATATATTAAATAAATTTAATAAAAACATGTCGTCAAGTGAGCAAAAAGCACCGGAGACTGAATATAGACAAAGTTTTACCTGGAATAAAGTAGTGCCAAATCACCATGATCAAATAATTAATGACAAAGTTAGTTATTGTGAAATCATTATTTTTTATAAATCATAAATAGTTAAAATTATTACATTTAATCTATATTTTTATAAACTCCATAGAAAAGTCTAACTGAATACAACTCCGCATATTTATGGCCATCAGTACCAAAAAAATCAGATGCAASTGCTGKTGCAAGTGATCCGTCAGTTAGTATTGAACCACCGATTGTGGCCATAAAGTTGGACGCCGTTGACGCACCACTACCGACAACACCCAAAAAGTCGACCACAATATCTAATTTCGGTGACGTTTTCGGTAAACCCGATGTGTTATTTTATAAGGAGAAAAAAGTGATCCCAATTCGCGAAAAAATCAAGAAAAAGACTGAATATAATGCAAAATTCAGACCATTTTCATCATATATTTATGTTACGGGCAATGGTTTTATTAAACCTAAAAATTTGGACCAATTGAGTGATCAAAACAAAGGTAAAAATTGGTACTCAGAAATGGAAGAGAGATCCAAACAGGCAAATGACTTCAAAATCAGATCTCAATTGGGTATTCATTTAATTATTACAATAGTTATTATTGTTATTTTGATAATACTATAGTTTTTATTGCAATTATATCKTKTTATTAAAAATCTTAAGGACATCCCGTGGCCAGCGATTCATTGGTAAAGATCTATTCTCAGGGATCCCTTTGGAATACCTATCGCGCAGACCGTGCACTACAAGCACTGGCTTTGGCCACAACACAGAAGATAATTGAAGAGAAAAAATTGGAGAGAAGTTATACTTCATTAATAACTTCTAAATTAAGTAATAGTAAAATATATTATATATATATAATTATCTTAATAATAGAAATTAATATTTTCTAAATCCTGTTATTTTATGCATTAAATAGCAGGAAACAGGAGAATGATAGGATCAGCTCCGCCATCACTCAAACGAGATGTCCAACATATGAGTCCTAATATTTCAAATCGAGTAAAATCACCACAAATCACAGGTAATGTAAATAATTGATTAATTAAAAAATGTTTTATCCATTGAATAGTATTATATTATTTTTTAATAATATTATTTATATTAATATAGCTATTGCTTCATCTATTGATAAAAAGTCCAAAAGTCCACTAAACGGTTCACCAAAATCTGAAGGAAAGATATGGATTAAACCAAAGTCTAAAACTCTGGATACAAACGAAGAGACAAAAGTGTCGACACAACTAATAGCATCTGATTCAACAGCCAGTCCATCAAAATCATCGGATGAATTCACTTACTTTAAGCCATCATCACTACCAACAAGTAAACCAAATATACAACAATTGCCTCTTGAAGACCAACTCTCAAACAAATCACCAGAAGATAAGAGGATTGTCTCAATACCTGAGTCTTGGAAATCACCTGAAGATAAAGCAAATAATAAGGATATTTTGGTTAATATTGATAGCAAATACACTTACGTTGATTCAAATATAAATAATCCTAAGGCAACACAAATAAGCGGTAAGTTTTGTTAGCTTTTTATATATAAATTTATATTACTGTATACAGAATATTCTTTACTAAATAATAATAAAAAAATTAGTGGTTTCTTAAAATAAATTCTTTATTTTTATATTATTTGTTTTATTTATATTTATTAACTTTTTTATAAAATAGTCTTTAGTGATCAATTTTGTTTTGCTATTTATTAAGTTAATGAAAGGGTAGTGCCGGTCAACCTACACTTTAATTAATAAATTAATTCAATATTAGTTATTAATCCACACTTTATTGAAAAAATTGAAAATAATGCAAAAATTATCGATTATTTATTGTTTTCTTTTAAAATATGAAATACATTACAAATCAAATAATCAATAGAAAACATTATTAAAATTTTTTTTAATCAATATTGTTATTCTCATAGATGTAACTATTGATACAATAGTGTAATGTTATACTTGTTTATATAAGTTATAAGTTTATTGGAAAAAGTACCGCATATGAGACTAAACAGTAATATAATAGTTATGATATTAAATTTAGTATAAATATTTAAATTATTATATTATTATAACTATAATGTACTGTATATTTATTCTACCCAACTATTGATATTTTTATTATATTACACTTATAGTATTATTATTTATATTAATAATAATAATATTTTGATTTTATTTATTAATAAAAGATTCAAAGTAAAAGTGGATTAACTGCTAATTTCTAAAGTGGATCCGATAGCTGTATATTATAATTATATTACACATTTAAAAAATAATTTATAATATATTTTGGTGTGAATTTGTTATGCCATAGATTTACCAAAAAGCGATACAAAGTCCAAACCAACTGCCAAAGTACAGCCATCACCCGCTTCGTCGACAATAGCTGTCCATCCCGTGGCTGACAATGTGTCCAATATTGAAGACGAAGTGAAGATCATAAAACCCGGTGCGGATAAAGCAAAGTCTGGTAATGTCTTAAACAAAGCCAGACGTCGTTTGGACAACTTATTCACAAAACATAAATAAATAATTAATAATTGATTTCAATTTAATCATAATTTTAAACACAATTTTTAAAACTCAATCATAATTATCAGCATATTATTCATTATTGTATTGAATAGCAAAATAAATCATTAGAATCTCATATATTATATGTTCTCTATTATTATACAGTAATATCTAATTTTTAGCACAATATTTGGTGATATTATTACTTTACAATTGATTAATGTAACTATTATTAATATAATACAAATTTTAATAACACTACTTATACTGTACATGAAAATATACCGAAAATCTAATGTTATGTCAATTAGCTATTAATTTTTAATATTTAAATATTATGTTAAATTGTTATAATTTATTAAAAGCTTAATTAAACAAATATCATATTCATTAACAATTAGTTAGTATATAATTAAATTTAAATCAATATATTACATAACATTCTGTGCATTATTGTACTGCATTTGTTGAATCAACTAAATATTGTAATTTTGTACAATAAGATAACATAAGTTTATAAATCATTTTTAAATATACCGATATATATATTATTTTGATTAAAATTATTTATAATAAAAAACTTGTAATTTTATCATATAATAATATGTATATTTAAATGTATTAAAGTATTATGTTTAATGTTATATTGTACTAATTATTGTGACTGAATAAATATAAATAATTAAATATAAAAGTTTGTGTTAAACCTTGCTTTATAAGTAATTTAAAATAAACAGTGATTTTATTAACCAAAATTCAATAAATACTATTTACTTTTATAGTAATAAATATGTTTATCTATAAACTTAAACAAATTTAATGTAAAAATTTAGTTATTATTTGTATCTAAATAATTTGCTAATATGCTAAATGATATGACAAAATACTGAACAATTAATGTATTAATAACAATAAATACAATATTAATATTTATTTGTATTTTTCCAAATTATTTAGTTTATTATACAAAATGATAATTTAATAATTTATTAGAAATTTATAAATTATATAGTGATTTAGTTAGAGGAATCAAATTTAATTATAAATAATGATTGCAATTTCCTCTATTTGTTTGTTTGCTTTATCGGCAAACTTTTACATCACTTGGTCACAAACTGTGGCACAATTTATACCTTTATAGCACTATTTCGTCCTCTATTTTTGCGGGAGGACTCATGAGAAGATACCACGGGTTAGATATAATAAAATAAAATGGATAAAACTTACCGATAACTACTTATTGATGTATTGAATACTGATTGAAATACTAGTCGCTTATGTAACTAAATATTAAATACTAATTTTTTAGAGAGAGAGAGAGAGAGAGAAAGAGAAAGAAAGGTATGTATATATATATATATATTTATTTATTTAAGTAATCAGATATTTAACTTCAAAAATTAAAATTTTTGTGTGACTAAGCAGTGAATCATTTGTTAGTGATTATTAGGATATAAATTGTACCACAGTTTGTGACCAAGTGTTGTAAAAGTTTGCCGGTTAGACAAACAAACAAATAGAGGAAATTGTAATCATTACTAAAATTTTTAAATATTTATAGTTTAAAAATTATCCCGGATTTAAACTTTTATAATACTGTATTTATTAAACAGTGAACTTTATTATATTTTAATTGAAATCAACAATAACTATGAGGAAATTTTTATATATTATATATCATAATTGCATTAGAAATATATATTCATAGCAATTTCAAACTAATGTAAATTGCAAAAATAAAATTACTTAATTAGCTTTATTATATTAGTGGTTATTGATTATATTATTTAGAATTTTTACATTAATCAAAATTATTAAATAAAAAAATAAGTGTATTTTTATGACATTAGTTTTTGCGTAATTTTAATAGTTATTAAATTTACAATAAAATGAAGGACACATTGAGAAAGTATTATTTTATACATCATTATGAATACTAATATATGTTTATATATTCTGTAACATAAATATCAATATAAATATAAAATTTATAGTAAACTAATCGCATCAATATATGAAATTAAGTACAACTTTAGTRCATTTTGGACTCAACTACTGTATATAAAACTTTATATAAACTGTTAAATGCAATCATATGTATTATACGATACAAAATACTGCACATGTTTTCATTTAATTTATGTTATATGATATCAAATTGTATAACTTTAATACCTGTATTTTATTACATAATACTGTATGTCATAAAAATTGAAAGTACTGTAAATTATTCAAGTTTTTCATCCGAAATTTAATATTATTTTTATAGATTAATTTAAATAATTTATGTATAATAAGTTACTTTATTAAAATAATCAATTTTATTAAGTGTTTAATAAAAATAATTTGTTTTAATTAAAAGTAATGTCACAAATAAAATCAAAATTATTTTCTCCGCTCACAATTCGTGGCATAACTTTCAAGAACCGAATCGGTGTTTCCCCGATGTGTCAGTACTCGGCTGAAGACGGTTTGGCCAATGACTGGCATTTGGTAAACGCCGGCTCTTTTGCAACGGGAGGCGCAGGACTTGTTATGATTGAAGCGACTGGTGTTGAGGCCAGAGGGAGGATCAGTCCGGGATGTCTTGGACTTTGGAAAGATGAACAAATTGAACCATTGGCTAGAATTTGTAAATTTATTAAATCTCAGGGATCCGTAGCAGGTATACAGTTAGCACATGGAGGTCGTAAAGCCAGTACACTTCCACCATTTGTTGGTCRCGACTCAATTACCGATGAAAAGGGTGGATGGCCTACAATTGGTGCGTCGGCTCTAGCTTTTGGCGGACCCATTTGGAAAGTGCCCAAAGAAGCTACCATTGATGACATTAATGATATTAARGAGGCGTTTAATTTATCAGCTAAACGAGCCATTAAAGCCGGTTTTCAGGTAGTTATCAATATTTTATATATGAATATAGTATATACAGTTTATTTATAGTTTATAATTGAGTTTTTAATATAYATTAAATGATTTTAATATTATATGATAAATAAATTGTAAAGTTGTATAATAATATACTGTATATAATTAATATATATATATACGATATAATAGGTGATTGAATTGCATTTTGCCCATGGTTATTTGGTGAGCACTTTTTTATCGCCCAAAACTAACATCAGAACCGATAAATATGGAGGAAGTGTTGAAAACAGAATGCGTTTGGGATTAGAAATCACTGAAAGTGTCCAAAAAATATTACCCAAAGATATAGTATTAGGAGTAAGAATATCTGTCACCGATTTTGCAGAAAACGGATGGGATGTCCAACAATCCATTGAGTTCGCCAAACATTTGAAGAAACTTAATGTCGATTTCATAGATTGTAGTTCTGGTGGTATTATTGGTGGCATTGATTATAATCCATTGAACACAAATCAAGTACAGATCGATGCGGCGGAAACTATACAGAAAGAGGTGGACATTGCCACGGCTGCCGTCGGCAAAATAATTGACCCTAAATTTGCTGAGAATATTCTACAACAAAATGGCGCGAGTTTTATATTCATTGGCCGCGCGTTTCTCAATAACCCTCACTGGACTTATATGGCCGCCGATGATCTGGCCAACGCTCAGTCATTCAAATACCCGAATCAATACGATTGGTGTATCGGTTGGAAAGCGTTGGCTAAATGGCGACAACATATCAAAATTTCTACTGATTCTAATAATAATTAATAATTTATTTAATTAATTAAATTATTCATTTAATAGGTTAAGTAAGTGTAAATATCATGTAATAAAATTGTAATAATGTGTAAGCATTACAATTATTTTACAATACAATATTTTGATTACCGGACCGGTAYCGGTACATAATAAATTACTCTAATTGTTTAGTTTTTATCACAATAATAATAAATCAATTAATTTTAATTATAATAATATGTCATAATATAAAAACATTGTATTAATATTAATAAATATAGTAATAAATATAACAATTAAGTAAACTATTGATGAAATTAATATGTAAGTAGTGTTTTTGGTAAACTGAAATTATTATTATTACTTTAGTTATATTAAATGATTAAAATTATTAACTATTCTAATATTAATTATATAAAAGGTATAATTAAAAACCTTTCAAATACTTAAATATGAAAACATTTATTTCAAAGCAATAAATTTAACAATTTAAGAGATTCATAATTAACATAATTTATTATTATATACTGTATATACTGTATATCATAATATAATCTTATTATTTAATTAAGAATACTAAATATCAGTCAATTTAAAATAATTTTTAAATTTTTTGGAAAATCATATTTCTGTTTTATTGAATAATTTTTTCGATTAATTTTCAAAGTAATCGATTGATTTGAGTTATGTTTAGACAAACTCAGACACGACTGTATTAAGACTTCGAGATTTAATTCCTTACAATTTGGATCAATTGATATTGTGGTTAAATTATGACACTTTTCAATGCTTTTTAGTGCACTTTCTTTAATTCTTTGGCCATTCATTACTAATGATTTCAATTGTTTCAATTTAGACATAATTAGTACACATTTGTCACTACATTCAAGACAATTGTCGTCTTCAAATGGTTCGTCATCATTGGGTTCTTCATTATTGTTTGCATTTCCATTATTCTGGTTTTGATTTCTATTATTATTGTCTTGATTTGCATTTGAATCACAATTGCAACAAATTCTGTCAAAACTAAACTCCAAGTGCTCTATGTTTGCAAAAGTGTCGTCTAAATTGCGTAACATATAGGGGTCGTAATGAACATTCAACTCAAGACGCGTCACATTTGTCATTGTTTTAGTTATSAGCGATGATATATCGATACCGTATTCATCATGAGATAAAAGACTCAAATGTTTTAAATGAAGCAAATCTTCAATAGGTTGAATACATGGCACCTGTAGGTTATGGTAGGTTATAGTAGATTATGGTAGAAAAGTCAAAATTATTAACAAATTATTTTATTTATAAATCTATAATAGACTATATTTATATTAAAATTTTATTTAATAAATACAAACTTACGGGTGAATCAAAACTATACGCCAGTCTCTCTAATTGAGGCATTTTTAGGCAAATAAATTCAATTAAAATATTTTCATCATAAGTCGGCAACTTTATGATAACAACTTCCCGAATATCAATGGCCTTCCCGTAGACCAATGCCTTCATGGCATCCAAATTAGTTCTGAAGCATTCAATTAATGATAAAGCTTTGAGTTTTATATCCAAATTAGCAAATAAATGAGTCAATGAATGTCTATAATAAGCTAAATGTAGTTCTTGTAATTGATTGCACTTTTCAATCAAATTTGTAATTTCAATGTTAGCAAAGTGTGTGTCGGAAAAAGTAAAATGTTTTAATCTTTTTTGTGCCAATGCTTCCCAAACTCTGTCACAATTTGTTGAGTTTAAGCCTTGAATAGCTATTAATGTTACGCATACTAATTGGTTTAGCTGTGAGATAATCCATTCAAGAGTGGACACACTTAATGAACAATCACAGAGATAAAGGTATTGTATATTTGGACATCTAATCAAAACTGAAGATAAATCATCATTTGATAGGTTATGCTTATGAATCCAAACATTGTCTTCAAGCAAAGCTTTACCTAAAATATTATTAATAAAATATAGAAATTATTGAATTGTATAATAAACCCCAATTAATTTATAATAATAATTATTATTATTGCAATATTTAAATTACTTTTTTAAAATATTATTTAATATTAAAATGTATAAAACTATTTCAAAACAAATGAATTAAATAAAATATCATACATTCATGAATTTTATAGTAAATATCGTTGCAATTATAATGATCTCTTAAACTTGATTTTACACCAATTTTTAACACTTTTTGTCCATTAAATATTTGAACAATTAATTGATGCCAACGAATGCAAACACATTCAAGTAATTGTTTTTCATTAATTTCAAAGAAACCAAATATAGCTTTAAGACAGTCATCGTTTAAATTATTTATATTTATTACACTCATTGTAATCCCAATTAGCAAACAATACTGTATATTAAAACATAAAATTAAATATAATTTAGATTAGATATAATACATCAAATTTTTAATAAATCAGTTGACATATAAAAACGCAAAACATTAGGCATTTACCAACAACTTCGTTAAAATAGCTTTTAACGCCTAAAATTAAAAATAGAGAAAAAAATTGTAAATATTTTTGGCAATTTTCCAAATTTTCAGCCAACAAGTATTATAAACTAACAAATTTTACTTTTTATATAAACTATCTTAGTCATTTAATATATTTAATAATTATACCATATCATTTATATTATAAATATTTTAACTAATATACTAAAATATACATTGAGAATCTCAATTTTAGATGCTATCGTTAAAAGATTTAATAAATTATTTTTTTTAATTAAACTGTAGTTTAATTAAACAAAAGTACTGTAGTTTTATTTTTACATATAAACAATGCATAATTATATATATATATATTAATTACATTAATTTTAATGTATTGATAATGTAAAAGCATTATTTTCTTATTAAATTGGTGTCGAAATCCYCGTAAAACTTTAAAACGGCTTTAATTAATATCTGCATAATTGCTTTAATAGCTTTAATAGCAGTATAATATCGGTGTGGAAGTCGATCTTTTTTTACTATTTAATTAAACTAAATTTAAATTATATTATTTATTAATTTACATTTTGTTTTTATTTGAAAGAAATAAATAAATATCATTTTATTAAAGATATTAAAGACTGTTTAATTTAATTAGATCTAAAACAAAAATCTCTATAAAATATTGTAAACAGTATTTTATTTGACAAATGACATTACTGTATAAAACAATGAAAATAAAACAAAAGTGCGAGATATTGTTAATTTAATTATATTTGAAATAATAWATAAAAATTTTAATTGTAATCCATTATAACATCATTTCTATAAGAGGTTAATGTTTTCATAATGTCGACTAACATTCCTACAAATACTACAGAATCGCCGACAAAATTGCCAATAAATGACAACAAACAAGAAAGAGGTGATCATAAGGTTATAACTCAGAGCACAGAATTGAAGGATAAGTTGAATGAACTCAACTTAAATGATTTGGCCATTGAATTGAAAAATCTTAAGTTTACTTATAATAAATCAAAAACTGGATATTTATTGAATGATATTAACCTAACTTTCCCCAGAAGTGCTATGTATTTGTATTATTTTATTGATATAAATAAATTTATAATATTCTAAAAAAATGATATTTTACTATAAAAGATATGGATTTATAGGTCCCAGTGGTTGTGGAAAGACTACAATAATTAGATTAATTGTCGGACGACTAAAACCAAATGACGGAACCATTACTATAAATGGCAAACCAATGACTGATCCTTTAAACAAAATACCCGGCGTTGGTATCGGATATATGCCACAGGTTTGACCATAGATTTTCTATCATATAATTTCTTAAAAACATATAAATTGAATATAATTTAGGATTATTCGTTATATGAAGAATTCACAATAATGGAAACATTCAATTATTATTCAAAAATCTATGGATTGACTGAAAGTTATAAAAACAAAAGAATTAAGTTTTTAATCAAATTTCTTGAACTCTCGGATCCAAATGGTTTGATTCGAGATCTTAGGTTTGAATTATTTTTTTWAATTTATCATTTAGTTAGACATAAAAATATTTATATTAAATTATAAAAGCGGAGGTCAGAAGAGATGTACATCATTAGCCATTGCTATCATTCATAGTCCACCACTTCTTATACTCGATGAACCAACAGTTGGTGTCGATCCCATACTTAGGGAGAGGTAAAGAACAAGAAGTAATGTATTTGATTTGATTATTGTATACTTTATTGAAGAGTTTGGCAGCATTTGGTTTATTTGTCAAGCGTTGAGAAGACATCAATCCTGATAACCACTTATAACATTGAAGAGTGTATGAGAGCACACATCATATCATTGATGAGAAGCGGAAAACTGTTGGTCGAGAACTCGCCGTCAACTTTACTCAAACACTTTAAAACTGATACTTTAGAGGATGTCTTTCTTCAAGTTTGCAAATTTGAAGAACAACCTAACAGTCCGGCTTCAATGCCTCCCACTATAGCTCAAGTAAAGGCAACCAAACCCATGAAGACAACAGTAGATAATAAAAACAATATTAATGCCATAATTGCAAAGTCTGAGTCAAAGTTCACAAAACGATTTCAAGCATTGGTTCACAAAAACCTTATGAGACTTTGGAGACAAAAATTGTATTAAAAATATTTTCATTTTATTTTTAAACTATTTTGTTAAATATATTTTTATTTTATAGTTTGTCATTTGTTATAATAATCTTACCGATGATCATAATATCATTGTTTTGCATTTGTATTGGAAAAATGCCGTCGAGAATAAAGATCGCTGTTTTCAATGAAGAATCAAAAGATGGTTTAAGTGATAAATTTCTTAACAAAATCGATAAACAAATATTGAATTTAGTGAGTAATCATACAATTTGTTATTATCACTAATTTAAAACATTTCTAATTGATTTGTATATAAATTAGAAATTGTATTCATCGACACAACAGGCAATCGAAACGGTCAGAAACGGCAAAACATTTGGTGCACTTCTTATACCGAAAAACTTTTCTATTGCTTTGAAAACTAGAATTACCGCCAAAGGGTTAGTCGTCTCGGATCAGACACTCAGTGACAGTACTATTAAATTTATGGGAGATTTAACAGGTCTTATAGTCTATAGTTTAAAGTTGTTTATTAAATATGTTTTGATTGCTATAATATTATTTTATACAGTATTTAATTTTTAATATAATTAATAGAATTAATAATATATCAAACCGTATTCAAAGCTTTACTCGAGGCTGAGATAACCTTTGAAATCCAAATGATTAGTGATTTAGGAAAGCAATCAAATGTTTCACAAAAGCCTAATTTTCGGGCAATAATGCCAATCATTGAGTTTGTTGATCCACCCATTTATGGCTCAATGAAGCCGTCAATGCGTAACTTTGCGGCCCCGGGTTTCATAATACTTATTATATATTCACTTTCTATGACTTTAACGGCCCTTAATGWGGTCGCCGAAAGAAAACTAGGATTATTGGACAGAACTCTTATAGCAGGCATTAAATCATCGGAAATATTAATGGCAGAGATTTGTGTCCAACAGATTGTTTTGTTTCTTCAAATCATTCTTCTGTTTATTGCATTGTTTCTAATTTTTCACATCAAAAATGACGGATCGGTTATACTTGTCTTTATAATGACTATACTTCAGGGTATCTGTGGAATGACTTTTGGTAATTGCTCTCAATTTTATAAATTTTTATTTAAGTTTAAAATWATTTTTAATATTTAAATGACATTGAGTTTAGGTTTATTCATATCAGGGATGAGGAATAGTGAAGATCAGACACTATTTCTATGTATAGGATGTGTTGTCCCATATTTGGTCATATCTGGCATATTATGGCCACTGGAAGGCATGCACTTTATATTACAAATCTTATCAAAGTTAACGCCACAAACTCTTCCGATTCAGTCTTTAAGAAACATTATGCTTAAGGGTTGGGACTTCAGCTATACATTAGTTTGGATTGGATTTATTAGTACCATCTTCTGGATCATTGTCTTTGCAGTTTTAGCCACAATATTCAGTTCTTTTAAATAACATTTACTTCAATTAATTATCTTTTATTTTATTTATTTAATACTATTATTTGTATTATTTAATTGTTTCTATTTTTGTAATTAATTTTTTAGTAATTTAGTTAATATATACTAAATTAAGATAATATTTGATAAATTTATATGAGTTTATATAAAAAATAACTATAATTTCTAAAAGTTGATTAAAATTAATTTATATTATTTATTATTGTTTATTAAGACATCTTATAGTTATTGTTATATTAAATGATAAACTAAAATATATCAACTCATAAATACTTATAGATATCAATTGATATCAATAGTAGTCATCTTTAGTACTACTTGTCTATAAACTAAAGCTGATCCATGACTACAGTTAAAATCAAAGTTAAATTCAATTATTTATTCAATAGAGTCGTCATTACTGTCAGTAATATAAAAACAAATTTATTTTCAATGAGTAAACATTCCCTGAAATTATAGGATAAAACAATCGACGACTTGTCGACTAAATTGTTGTATCAATTGTTTCAGATTTTGGTCTTAAGTTTTTAATATTTTTGGTGATAATATCAACTATAATAAGATGTCGGGCATAGCATTGGCGCGTTTGGCAGAGGAGAGGAAGGCCTGGCGAAAGAATCACCCGTTTGTTAGTATTTGACATTAATTTGCATTTGTTTAGCACCGCATTATTGGTGACCACTTTGTTGATTACTTTTTCAGGGATTCATTGCCCGACCCGTCAAGAATCCGGACGACACATTCAATCTGAAGGAATGGGAGTGCGCTATACCCGGGAAGACAGGAGTAAGACTATATTACCATTAGTTTGTCTGACCATTGAATTTGGATCTAATGCTATGACAGACTCCTTGGGAAGGAGGACTCTATAAGTTGCGAATGCTTTTCAAAGATGACTACCCGTCCACTCCTCCCAAATGTAAGTTTGAACCGCCACTCTTTCACCCGAATGTCTACCCGTCGGGAACAGTCTGTCTTTCATTGTTGGACGAGGAGAAGGATTGGCGTCCGGCCATAACTATTAAGCAGATATTGGTTGGCATTCAGGATCTGTTGAACGAACCGAACATCAAAGACCCGGCACAGGCAGAGGCTTATACTATCTATTGGTAAAAAAWATCATTCATTTGCATCGACTTTACTATTTGTTTTCATTTCTTCAAATGACAGTCAAAACCGTTTGGAATACGAAAAGAGAGTCAGAGCTCAGGCAAAGACAATGGCAGCCAATGACTGATGGATTAACACAACAATACATCCCATTCTTTATCATTGATTTAGCCATTATTGGTCTGAATTCAAAATTTGTTTTGAAATTATTTTCATTAAATTACAATATTTTACTTGAAATACGTTTACATATCTGATTATAAATTTATTATTTAAATTGAAAGTATTTTTAACTAAATTTAATTATTTATATTATAATAATTAGATGATTCTGAATATTGGTATTTTCAATAAATTTTAAATAACATTAATATTTATTATTTTACATTTCTTAAATAAAATTGGTTCATAATGTTTGTTCATTTGATAGACAAATTATTTGGCAAAAACAGTATTATTTATTTTTAATGTCTTTAAAAGATACAGTAGTTTTATAAGTTTATTAATTAATTTTATAAAATAACAATTACAATACAATTTTTAATCATATATTTAGTCATTACAATGTTTGCAATTATATAATTTAAGGTACATTATAAATCATAATTAAAATTGAATTGCTGTATTATAGTACAATTACCCTACTGTCACTTATAATAAATTTAGCATTACCGGTGCTTAAATACAAATAGTCGGTAAGTTAATTATAAATAAAATAATTGAAATTTACAGAAATAGAAATATAATTATTTCAATAAAAACAAAGATTTAAACGTCAATATAATAATTTTCTTTACTCGTCGTTAAAATTAAAAATTAAAATACAAATACTTCCGATTCATCCAATTTATGGAATCATTGCCGGCGGGTTAGGAGCAGTATGTGACTGTCGGGTATCAAAGTGGTTGTCCACATGCATCTGGAAGTAGTTTGAGTGTCCGGGAAGAGTCAGGTCAAAGGGTGTCGAACAGATTGGACACAAGCGTTGTTTATGTTTATCTTCCAAGTGTTGAACCATAGATTTAGAGTCTTTAGTCATACAAGTGATGTCCTCATTGCATATAATACACGGCAATTGAGTTAATTGAATGCTTTCAAACCGTTCAGTTGTCTGATTGATTTGTTTGATAGCTGTATCGCCCAAAAGTGGTCTTTCGTTGACTGTTTCACTTTCAATAACTGTCTTAACATCGGTCTCAGCTCTGGCCAATATTTCTTGTCGTTCATTAATGGACACATTGACCGCGGCTTTTGTTTGTGCTTTTGTATCGAAATACTTCTAAAATAATAAATTTATAATAAAAAATTTAACCCATTATTCATTTTTTATAATTAAAACAAACCTTAACTTTAGATTTCATTTTTTCGATTCTGTTTTCAAGTTTTGTATTATATTTGTAGACCTTTTGATACTCTTCGGAGGCATTCGCCAAACGAAGCTTTAGTTCGTCGATCTCTTTCTCTAACTTTTCGGATGTATTTTTCCAGTCTTCAGAAATTGAATTCTTTGTCGATTCAGTTTCTGATATTTTTTGTCGCAATTCATCCATTTCTTCGGTCATTGTCTTTATTTGGACTTTTGTTTTTAGTTTAATTTTGTCAAAATCCAAGATCTCACTCATCATTATATCTGTTTTACTCTGAAATGAATCACATTTTGCTTTTATGTCATCCAATTCATTGCGAAGAATCCTGTTTTCTAATTCCAAATCTCGTCTTTCGGATAACACTTTAGCCATTGAAGTGCTGCTCATCTCAAGTTTGGCTTCAAATAGTGCTTTAGAGGAACTTAACTCATCGATTACCACCTGCTGTTGAGCCGACTATCCATTTAAAATAAATATTTTTAAATATTGAATAAATCAATTAATTAATAAATCAATACCTTCTTAATAATATCAAATATTTCTTGATCTCGACTTTGAATTATTTGCTCACTTTTCGCATCTTTTAACTGATAATCTTTGAGTACATCCAAAGTCTTGTTGAGTTCAACTTGAAGTGATCCATATTTTGTTTCATATTCTTCATTACATTTTTTCATATCCTTTATCATCTGTTCTAATGACTCGATTTTMTCGTCTTTCATTCGATTATCTTCTTCAGTTGTCTTCAATTTCTCCAAAATCCTGTTTGACTCGATTTGCAATACTTTCAATTTGTCTTCGAAATCAACAGACATTTTTCTTAACTCAAGAATTTCTGCATTTTTCGATGTCATCTGTTGTTCGAGTGATCTCTTGGTGTACTCAAGAACTCCATTCTCGTTAACCAATTGCTGAAGTCGTTCCTGAAGTAGAGCCTGTTGTGAACGAACCTATGAATTCAAATATAGTTAAAATGGTTAGCATTTCATAAATTAAAGATTTGTCGTTGAAATATGAGTTTTACAATCATTAAAACTAATTGCAAAACCTAGTGATTCAACCAATCGTTAAGATTATCATTACTTTTGCAGATATAGGAAACGCCAAGATTTATATGATTACAAAATCTTGGAGCTGGTTCTGCATTAGACAATCAAATAAATAAATAATTAAAACTTACGACAACAAAATCCTCTTCATCCGAGTTTTTATTGTCCAATTGAATTAAGTCTTCTTCATGAGGTCTAATAAATCTGAATGGTGTCGACGCACCACAGATGTCATCATTGGCCACATAACAGAATTGAAATAACTCATCACTAGTTTTGGGCAGAAGTGATGCCGAAAACTTTACTTTCTTTTCGCCGAAATCATCATTAGTCTCGCAATCGGCCAAACTTTTAAACAAAAGACATTCATTGATGTGACGCCAACCGACTGTGAAGAGTCCAACTTTGTCCGTATCAGATGGTTGGACGGCATCGCCGATATAAAAGCGACACTCGATGTCAAAATCCGTTGGATAGGATTCACTGATTTCGTTAAAAATAACTTTTGAATACTTGCTTTCATTCATTTCTGTTTCGTCGATATCACTGAATGGTGACTCCGATGACACTCGAGATTGTAAATCGTTTGAATGATTCAGCGATGACTCACTACTTGATGGCAATCGCCGATAATCTACAGATTGTCTATCACACGATTCTTCACCACTTCTTTGCATTCAATCTAAACCCCAAATAATTTTAACATTAGATTTATTTCTATTTTAATAAAGATTTTAATTAACAAACAAATCTCTCTCTCATTCATACAATAGAAATAAACATATAATGATTGAATCAAATTAAGTCATTATAAGACAAGTGACAATCAATACAATCAATGGTAATCACCTAAAGAAGTCTTAATTTTAGTCTTGATATGTGTTTCAAAATCAATGAATCACTCAATTATTAGTAATGTTTTTATTAAATCAATGCTAAACTCATTGATGACTCCATTACTGTGCTATCAATACAATAGACATACAGTTTATGAATGCATAACAACAACACTTATGGAGTCATCGATTGCATTGCAATTGCTTTTAATGGTATAAACATTACTGATATTAATATCGGCTGATAGAGTGATTTAAGGAATTAAAAATCCCGAATAGTGATGGTAGCACAGACCGCCCTGAGTCTACCCATACCACCCACATAGCTGTCCGACCTCCGCAATTTGAGATATTCGACTTTAAAGTCGAAAATTATTTTTGACGTTATTTATGAATATGATACATACCTTCTATGTATTTTTCAATACTAATTATGAATATGAAAACTAAATCTCACTATGTCAAATAGTTTTCGAGATATTCGACTTTAAAGTCAAAAATATTATTTTACATTATTTATGAATATGAGATATATTATTTATGCATTTTCTAATACTAATTATGAATATGAAAATTAATATACATTACGTCATAGTTTTCGAGATATTCGACAATCAATTTCTTTCTTATTTATATAAATATCAAAAAGTTTTTCCGATCACTAATTATATTATTTTCATTAATTTATCTATATAATAAAGACTGTGTTGCGAAAAATTTAATATTTATAATTTAAATAATACAATTCTAATTTTTATTTGAGTGTAATATACTTTATGCCCCTCGCCAGTTATCATCTTATTGGGTAACTTTTAACATTTATTGGCTAAATGACCACTTAAATAAAAATATGCCGGATTATATATGAAATGGTTAAAATAAATATAATAAAGTTATCATTCACTTACTGAATAATGTTAAGATTTGTGTTTAATTTTATGACAATCTATGTAATCAAATAAGAAAGTTATGGATCATTAAAAATGATGTAATAGCAAAATTGGAATTACGTGAAACTATAATAATGCTAGTAAATGTAATTATTTTTTAGTTAACATTTATTTTTAAAATTGTCACTAAAGAAAAGTAAGAGGAGTTTACTCTGAAGTATTATGTGAAAAATAAAAAAAATTCATTTGATTTAAGTCTGTAAGAATTAATCAAAGTTTAGCATAATTTTATTACAATGGCACACACTCATTAAATCGGCTTCAGGAACATTTATTTAAAGAGATATGGTGGCAATCTATTATCAGAACAATTATACATTCACAACAATGTTCTTACGTAGTTATTTATTTTTTTAAATTTTAAGAATTTTATTAGAGGAACAATTTAAATTGCCTAATATACATTTTTGGAAGACCTAATTTTACTTTCTGGCACCGCTATACGACAAGTGATCCGACAGAATATTTGCGTTCATTTGATGTAAAGGATAGTATATTTAACGAAAATGTCTAAAAAATAATTTTAAATTTTTTTAAGATGGTGTTTATCACCATATAACGAACGCACTAATAATATATATACACACACTAGTATTTTTAGTCTTCTTTTACCTTTAAAACCCTACTGTATAATCTTAATATTAATTAATAAATAAAATTTACCTATATTTGTGTATTCTACTAACCTAACCTACCCTACCAACTAACCCAAAAAACAACTATCGTTACATAAGATACTTAAATTATTTTGGCACAAATATTTATTTTGACTTTAAAGTCGAATATCTCGAAAACTATTTGACATAATGAGATTTAGATTTCATATTCATAATTAGCATTGAAAAATACATAGAAAGTATGTATCATATTCATAAATAACGTCAAAAAAAATTTCGACTTTAAAGTCGAATATCTCGAATTGCGGAGGTCGGACAGCTATGTGGGTGGTATGGGTAGACTCAGGGGGGTCTGAACTACCATCACTATACGGGATTTTTAATTCCTTAAAGTGCTCTACCAACCATTAATATCAATGTATTTAAGTTACTATTGCATAGATTTTCTACACATTTTAGATATTTAAATAGCATTTAATTATTTAGCAAATTGTATGACTCATATAATCATAATTATTATAAATGACTTACCTTTAGGTTAATAATAATATATTTATTGAAATAAGAAAATATATTAAGATTTCAAAAGTTGTTGCAATGGCTAACCTTATGWGTGACTGAGCTTTAAGTGAACTGTACTGTAGTTTGCAATGAAAGCCAAATACTGTAATAATAACAGTAATAATGTATTAAATGCTAAACTTGTTTCTGTTTATTAGTAAAAGTCATAAAATAACGTTTTAAATGATTTCAAAAGTTTAGCAAACATTCAATAAAAACACTTTCTTTTCATTAATGATATCATATTTAAGTATTAAATGATATTAAATGCATTCAATGTAAACACAATCAACAATACAGTTATCAATTGAGGAAATTGTGAGACAATTAAACACTGAGACCAACATTGATGGCTATGTGTGTGTGTGTATGCCCTCAGACTAACCTACTTTACAATTACATACAGTATTACTTAACTATTGGCCAATAATATCATAAATTGATCAGTTATTTGATAGTAAATTAATGAATTACATACCAATTATAATACATTAGTTTTTAACATACATTACTGTATAATACTATTGTATATTTATTGATGAAATATCAAAGTTTGMATTTATTAGTCAATTTAAAACAAATTATAATTAATAATGTTGCCAGGGCTAATTAACAAATATAATGTATTTACTTGTATCCTATATTATATTAATAGCCTATATCTTAAATTAACAGTATTTAAGATATCAAATAAGTAATAAACTGATAATATTAAAGACTAGCAAACAATGAAATGGTATACTGTATTGTAAATATAAAAATTGATAAATTTTATTAACATTGTAATAAGTTATTTTTGAATTTTTTATTTGAGCAGGTACAGTACAATAATACAGTATCTGATTTTGATTATTTACCCAAATATATCAATATTTATTTAAAGTGTCAAATAAAAGATTGGCTTAAATTAAATATTTAATTTGTAATCACTAATTTACTAAAACTTTTTATTATCAATAAAAAATTTATACATTTGTTATTTGTGTAATTTAATAGTCAAAAATGTAATATAAAATAATTTCTAAATAATTAATTGACCATTGTCAAATTTATATTTGAATAGAGTATCAGTACTACTATATGGTTATAACTCGACATATTTATACAGTATTTTATAATTAATTTTAACAAAATTGTATTTAGAGTTGAGATTAGAAGTTATATTAGAATCTATTATTTTAGTCTACAGTAATGTACTATACAGTACAGTATAGCCTATAGTAAATTATTTTAGTTGTAATAAATAGTAGAATTTACTAATATTAATAATAATTTTTAAAATACTAATATAACAATAAATAATATTAAGATTTAAATTACTCATAATTATATTATTGTATTATTATATTATCATAAATTACTATTTAAAAAATGAATTTTATAATTTCATAGTAAAAGTTAGTGAACTGCAGATTAGACTGTAGATTATAAGATWAGTTTGTGTTACATAGTTTTAATTTTTTATTTTAAGATAAATTATAAATAAACGGTAAGAAAAGTATTGAGAGAATTGATAACTTAAAAAAAATTAAACTAACGATAGAGTAGTTTTCATCAATTTATGTCATTTTCATTTAACAAGTATTAAGTTTTTTGTGTAATTCACTTTTAATTTAATTTATTGAAATTTAATGAAATTTTACAAAAAGTCTATTACATTAATGAATAGATAATAATATTTTTGAATTTAGTGCTTAAAATGCTATTGAAGTGACAATTGGTTAATCATTGATCACATGATACAGACATTGATTGAATGAAAGCGTGTTTTGATTGAATCATTCATTCATTCATTCAATCATTTGTTTCATTTGTCACTTTGAAAACAAATTAATTATTTAATTAAATTAATTGATTTAATAACAATGTCTTCACTTATATTGTTTAGCAAACAATTTTTGAGACCAAATCATGTGATAAATGGGTCACTAAAGTGGATGCCATCGCTCACACAGAGTGTCATCAATGGTATTCACAAGAGATATCTGTTCACTAATGAAGTGTTGGGAATCAATGGATATCTTGAGACCAGAAATCGTATTTCACAACAATTCGGACAATTAAGAGGTTTTTGACCACTTTATTGATATAACTTTTAATGATAATTACTAATTGTTTTATTGTTTGCTTTTTTAATTAGAAAAGTTCTTCACCCGAATGGAAGAGTTTGCAACATCCGAGTCAAAGATGATATTCACTGAAGACCTGAAGAATATTGTTTTTATGACTGATAATAACGATCAAGAGTTACGACTTTTGACAGACGCTATTAAAAAGTATTAACCATTTGATGAATTGATTTACCGGTAAATTAAAATAACCGCTAATTTATGAAATGTTTTTAGATTTCACTCTCAAAACCAAACCTTACAATTCGGTACATTTGTTTTCGGACCAATTGTTATGAGACTTTTACATCATTTATCTGAATGGCAATTAGCTCTTCAACTATTTAAAGATCCGGTAATTTATGTGACTTATTATATCTTAAAACAAAATATTTATAATTTATTTTTAATTACCGGTAAATGCAATATTAAAGGAATTGAGAGGATTTTTTAGTCAAATCAAATCTGCAGTCATTTTAATGAATTTATTGTTAACTAATGGTAAATACGATGAATGTATGGATGTCTTTGATTACATTCACAATGAGATTACGTTTGAAATAAGATATCCACGCGATTGTCTTCTTTTATATGTTGCCGCCGCTTATAAACTGGTATTATATTATTAAAAATTGATTGAATAAAAATTAGTTTAAATTATTGTAATTTATAGAACACTGAGGAGGCATATAATCGTGTGTTGGAAACTCTTAAGAAGTCCCGAGAGGTGGGCGCACCCGTATCGCGCAAAACAGTTTGCTTGTTTGCAGGACTGGCTTTAAATCAAAACCAACCGAACACTGCTCTGGAAGTCCTATCATTGATAACACAAAGCAATTACATAACAGTTAAAAACTTAAGACTCCAAGCACTTAGCGATTTGGACCGATTTGATGATCTTTTTATCACTTTAAGAGTAATGCTTAATCGTGATATGCCTTCACAAACAAATAGAGGCGAATTGGTTGAAGAAACGGTTAAAAATTATATAATAATTTCTAAGTATTTATTATTAAAATAACAATATTTGTTTAGTTTAATCGGATTAAAGCTAAGATTGAGTCGAAGAATGATGAGAAACTGTCGCTCGAGTGGTCACAAATTGAAAGAGGTCTTAGCGAAGGACAGTTTATTACTAATACACCACTAAAAGACCTCTTATTAAGTCCAGTCGTCTTAAGAGAGAATTTGACCCCAAATGATAGACAACAGTTTGAGAGACAAAGAGGTTATCGAAATCCGACGATTCAACGAAATTTCAGACGAGAACAACAGCAACGACCACAACCAGAGAGGAGAGCATTTAATGAAGAGTTTTAGTGATTATTTCATCAAATGATTTAATCGTTAATCTATAAAATGATTTCATAATTATGTCATTCAATAATTTAATTACAGTTGAAGTTTTATAATACAAATAAAGTAGATTTGATATAATTTGATATAATTTTTCTATTAACGTATACTCAACTGTTTTGTAATACCGTTAGTTACATGTAGTCACTTGAGGTATATGTGACTAAAATTAGATTTTTATTAAATAAAATATTTGTTAAAAAATTTAAAAAAAAACTGTTTATTGTTGTTATGAGATATTTTTTACAAATTACAAATTTGTATGTCATTATCTAAAGTGAGAATGTTATAAAAGCATTGCTAGAAACAAACTTTAATGGCATAAAATTATATGGTAAAAAAATTCAATTTTAGTCATGTATAATATAAAATTACATCTATTCCGCCATTCTCTATAAATTAATGAAGAKATATYAAAATTTTAATGGTGATCCCTATACCTTATTTTTGATGGTATAACCAAATCTGAAATCACAATTTCAAAATTYGCAAAAAAATGGTACAGACATAGACACAGACACACACACACACAAACTCTCGTATAGATTTCAGTAAACAAATTTTTTCAAAGTTTGTTTGAAAACTTGTATTAATTTGAAAACTGTATTAATACTGTATTTATGTTGTCATAGCAACAGTAAATGATTGAGGCGTTTAGTGCTTACATTGAATGATAAATAAGATATTAAAACAATTATTGAATTAATATTATATTAATTGATTGAATGCATTGATTTGCAAAGTGTTTAAAGCAATAGTCTATTGATTGTATAATTGAGTGATTGTCTGAACATTGAAGTCATGTCTGAATCAAATCTCAAGCAATTGTTTGCGTAAGTCTTGTATTACTTATTATTTGACGATTACTTTGTCCACACTTTTACCGGTATATTATATAAATTAATTATTTTATATCTATTTAACAGTTATATAGACTCGCATTCAAATGACTACATCAAGAATTTAGCCGAATGTGTGGCCATTAAGAGTGTGTCGGGACAGAAGGATACCAGAGATGATACCATTTCAATGGTTAAGTGGATGCAAAAGGTTTGCAATTATTTGAATATTACTTTTTATTAATAATTAGGTTAACCTATAACTTGTTATAGCAATTGACAGCTGAGGGTGCTATCACACGGTTGGTTGACATCGGCGAACAGACATTTCCCGACGGTACTAAACTACCGCTGCCACCCGTCCTGTTAGCTGAATTAGGTTCCGACCCTAAGAAAAAAACACTGTGTGTTTACGGCCATCTGGACGTACAGCCGGCTCATAAAGACGACGGTTGGGATACCGATCCATTTGTTTTGACTGAAAAAGATGGCAAACTATACGGAAGGGGTTCTACCGATGACAAGGGACCAGTCCTCGGATGGCTTCATATTATTCAAGCTTTTCATAAGTTAAACATTGAAATACCCGTCAATTTTAAGGTAATCTCTAAGTTGTTGCCAACGCTATACAATACAATACAATACTGTTATTCAATTTATCTCTTTTATTATCTAATAAATTATTTAAAATTATGTAATAACTTATTATTTAATTAACACAGTTATTGTCTTATCATTATTATGCAGTATTTGACATTAATATTATTTCATAACTAAGTATCATATATTACTTATCGTATATTAATTCTGAATTTTTATTAGTTTAAACTTTAAACTATATTTGAATATTTTTATATTTTCAATTATTATAATTATTAAGAAAATAATTTAAATTTTATTGAATATTATATTAAAATAATATGAAAAATATGTATTTTAGTTTGTTTTCGAGGGAATGGAGGAATCGGGTTCAGAAGGACTCGATGACCTGATCCGAGCGGAGGCCAAAAAATTTCTCAATAATGTTGACTATGTCTGCATTAGTGATAATTATTGGTTGGGAACTGAGAAGCCGTGCCTTACTTATGGATTGAGAGGTCTCTGCTATTTCTATGTAGAGATCGAGTGCGCCGCCAAAGACTTGCATTCAGGTGTTTACGGCGGTTCGGTTCACGAAGCGATGACCGATTTAATCCAATTAATGGCTAAATTAGTCGATAATAAGGGAAAAATACTTATTCCCGGGATTATGGATGACGTGATCCCATTGACACCTAATGAAGAGAAATTATATAATCAAATTGAATTTGATTGCAAACAATTTGCTAATGAAGTCGGAACTGATAGACTGATTCATTGCGATAAAGTTAAGACATTAACACATCGCTGGAGATTTCCATCACTTTCATTACATGGTTTGTTATTAAATATAATTATATTAATTGAATTGAATATAAAATTTAAAAATTGTTTTACAATTCTATATAGGAATCGAAGGGGCCTTTTCAGGTGCCGGAGCCAAGACTGTTATTCCCCGTAAAGTTATCGGAAAGTTCTCTATAAGACTTGTTCCCRATCAAAATCCCGATAAAATAAGCAAACAAGTCAATGATTACTTAACCAATGAATTTAAGAAAATGGACAGTCCTAATAAATTGATAGTTCATACACCTAATGGTGGCAAACCATGGGTTGCCGACACAAATGATGCTAACTTTACTGCCGGAAGAAAAGCTATGCAATTGGGTTTGTATTTCTATAACAATACTCTACAGTATATTACTATGAATTTCAAATCAAATGATGAGATTGTAAAAGGTTTGATTCAAACAATTATTGTTTCAATTAATTAATAGATTATGCCTTTGATCTTAATTTTATTGTTTCAAATTAAAAAATTATTTGAAACTATAGTTATTGTCGGCTAAAAATAAATTATTGAATAAATTATTGAAAGATCAGAATTTGACTCAAGTTTTTGTCAATTCTGTTACTAATTATTTACAGAAACAGTAGTGTTTGAGATATGATTACAAGCCTTCATCAACTCTGAGATCTAATATTTCTATTAATTTTCATTTACTGTAATATTTTAATCAATACTAAAAGATATAATGTTATCAAAATTTACTCATAGTTTTTGGCGTTGATCCAGATCTGACCCGTGAGGGCGGATCAATACCGGTTACATTGACTTTTCAAGAGGCAACCGGCAAAAATGTATTGCTTTTACCTATGGGTGCCAGTGATGACGGGGCTCACTCTCAAAATGAAAAAATTAATAAAAGGAATTATATTGAAGGCACTAAAGTGTTTGCCGCTTATGTCTATCAATTGGCACAATTGAATTAATTGGTTTTTATCTATTTTTAATAKATTTTTTGTATCATTTGATATTGAATTTTGATATTTAATCAAGAATATATCTTAACAAATATATCTATCATAAAAAATGTTTTAATAATGAATTTTTAAATAAAATAGATTACATTCAATTTGATGGAAATTGAAAAATAGTTTTACATTTATTATTACCTCTAATTGAATTGAATGTCTATATTTTTTTAAGCAATAACTTATTTTCATTGTGTGGCATCAGTATTAAACTATCGGAAATAATATACACAAATTTAATTACACACATTTTATATTTATCATTCATTAAAAAAGTAAGTATATACCGTAATTTTTTAAATTATTATAAAATATTAACTTAATTTACCAGTAAGTTATAAATTAAGACAAAAATAATCTTTTAATATTTATTTAGTTTATTAATAATATAAATACAAACTATCTTTGGTTGGAATTAACAAAAATAATGCAAAAATACACCACAATTTTTGCTTAAATTAATTTATACTAAGTTAACAATAAAAACAAAATCATTATAAAATGGAAAACCATTTGTTAAACATATTTAAAACAAAATCAACTCTAAGTCTAATGATTTAAATAAAATAATATATATTTAATGAGAATTATTTGTTTCAATTAATAATTTATAATATCCTTAGTTTAAATAAATATTTTCATTACATGTAAGTTATGATACAATATTTATTTAAATGTGTTAAATAAATATATTTTTTACAATTTTTATTAAAAACAACTTAATCTATTTATTTACATTATTATAGATTGACACCTAAAACGGAGACAATAACCATATTTAAAAATTTTTAAATATCTATAACCCGGATTCATTTATTATACAGTATATCTAATGTATAAACATATATATTAATTTACATTTCAATTAATGATGTTTTAAAGATTTTGCATCTACTTCGTTAAATTTTCAAAATAATTTATATTTTTCAATTAAATTTTAAGTTAAATTACAAGTTAATATATTCAGGCAATTATTTAAAGAATTATTACTACTATATATCAGAAATAATTTAAACTAAATTTGATGATTAAATAATTATAACAACCATTCCTAACAATTAGAAATAGTTTATAGTAACTCAATAAAAGTTTTAATTATATATATATTTTACAAATTTATTGTATATTATTAGATTGGGGGTCATATATAGTGCAACTATGCGATAGATATATATATATATATATATAATAATTTTAACTTCCAATAAAAACAACTCAAATTTAAAACGAAATTTACTAATTGAGTTAACAATTAAAATATAATTGTCATTAATTGAAAGATAATAAATTTCCAGAAATTTACTAAAAGTTATCACAGAATTGTTTCGACAAAAAGAGCTTCATTTCGGTCGTAGTTTTGTTTAAGATTATAATAATTATAATTAATTAATAAATTTTTATTTAATGCAATAATGACTGGAATATCTCTGACATCAAAACCAAGTTTTAAACAATCATTTGACGAAAAATCGCTGAAATAATTGCAAGAAATAAGTGATAAAAATGATTGTTTAGACTCTCTATCAAATAAATGGAGAAAATTTTGTTTGCGTTGATTATCAACAAAACAATTACTCTCAACGAGACTTTTGAGAACAATTGACTTCAGAATTAGTTCATTGATTTTATTGTCAATGAATTTAATAATAAATGAAGAATTCATGCGAAGAGAATATAAGTCAGATATGTTTTCGCAAAGTTGTCCAATGATTGGACTCATTATTGCCGAAGAAGT